GCATCTCTACCGCTGCACTATCTGCGCGCTTACAATGACTTATGCAATCAGAGAAGTGGTTTGTATTATAAATGCTTGGACATATTCAAATATGAAGCAAGATCATACGCCTTCCCATCAGAAGATTTTGAACTTATTACGTGTTTTTGCCTATACCGATGTGAATATAAACAATGTGATCAAAGGGAGGTTGCTGGGTGTACGATGTACCTGCGTGTGGTCCGAATTTTTAATTTTTTGACACACAGTCACTTTTTTACTATGTAGTAGATTTGTATGGAGTAAGATCACTATTGGGAAGAAGTCAACCCAGCTTTCATTAAGTGTTTTATAATAATGGTGCTTCCATTCCATTATTCGAACTATTTTTTCCCATATAAAGAGAGTAATTGAGTCTGAATTAATACCCAGTAGTTTGCGACGTGACTTAATTTTCATCCATACAATGCGAAAATAACGGACCCTTTTAAATTTGAACCAAGATTTCTCATCTCATAGTGAGCTTCAGTAGTTGGCATAAAACCCATAAGAATACGCAGATCTTCGCCAGTATGATACAACTTTTCTTATTCCGGCAATATGAAGTTTGTATTGGTGGGTTTCATCCATCAGAGCACATTGGTGCTCCCGAATGAATCGTTTGCGCTTGCCAGGGTTGCGATGGGAACTAAAAATTTAGACTTCATTTTCCATTATTTGAAAATTTTAATTTTAAACAACTTTGAAGGTGAAGTGGGCTTTTTGCAAATTCTCGAATAGATAGAAAGAAGTCTGTTCTATGGGTCGATTTATAGAGTTCTCAAATCCCCAATTATTGTCATCATTGAGAAATTATCAGCAGTGGTCGATCGAAATGTTGAAATAGAAAGTGCAAGCTTAAAATCCTTACGAAATCAGAGTTTGCAGCCTCAGATAATCGAGTACAAGCCCAGTGTTCTCCCTTTTTTATGACCTGTCACAACTACTGTATGGGTCCCAGTCGAACATTTCGCATGTTGTTTCGGTTGTTGCTTGAGGTTTCCTCTATCAGTTACGGATGTCTTTGAATGTTGGCAAAGTCGATTTTCCCTAGAGTCTTGAAATAATCGTGCTAGAGTGTTCGCACTTGAACTGCAGGGAGTAAACTGTTCTCAGACAAGTCTGCCACCAATTTCTCCACCTCAGTAGAATAATAAGTTCAGTGGGTACTTCGTAGGGTGCAACCAGCACCGTGGTCGTAGTGAGTGGCTTCTATCAGTACGGTGTTCGTTCGCGCCCTTGGTAAAATTATAACGTGGGGAATACTACTGAAACTTGGTGCCATTTAGTGTAAGTTGGCTGTATCTACACCAATGTTTTGAAAGTTGCGAAGGTTTGTTTTTTATTAATGGAGACTTTTTCTTTTTCCTTATTTATTTCCTGTGGTAGATGTAATGTGATATTTGGAAAAGTTTTAACAGGATACTTGCAGAACTTTTTGTTACATTTCTTTACGCTTGCTAGGCCACGTAACCTGTGAAGGAGTCAAGTTGTGCGAAAATAATAACTCCAAATTTAAATAAACATATCTCAACTTGTAGTAAATCTTTTAGTTGCAATAAAAACTTGAACTCTTCATATGTTTGCCTGTAGGATAAAAGTTCCACTGTTTTAGTATCGTGATTTTCTGGGGCTGGTAACAAATATTTTTTTTGCATCCGGTCTCATATCCCCAACAAAACTGCAAGCGGGATTTCTTCCAGCAGGACATGGGAGTTCTCAAATGTGCCGTTCGTGTTTTTCGTATGGTTTTGGCTTTTGATTTTTCATATTCAAGTTTTCACAACAGCGGCTCGCTAACATTTGTGGATCGGAGAAAGCTTCAAAAATTGGTACCGATTCCCAACACTGGAGTGGTAGGAGCCTTAATTGAATTACTACGGGGTCGAAGTATGGCCTTGTGCGTACCTGAACAACATCTCTACCACTTTGGTAGTCGCGCCGCGATAAATGTAAATATAGGTGTAAAAATTACGTATTGCTTGTGGTGGCGTGACATATTCGGATGTCAACTTTTTTCCCTCCGAATCCATTTATAGCAAATTTTCACGGTTGCAATGTCGGCTGATTGGTCGGGAAAATATCGACCTAACATCCTGCTGGGCACTGCTATGCATTTGTAGGAACATACACAAAGCCCTTCTTGTCCGTCTATTTCCTTTTTCTGTCGTGTTTTCTCATGAACAGTTTGTCCATTCGTCTGAGGAAATGCTCCAGTCGTCCATGTTATTTTTGAGACTAGCGTTTCAGTTGTTCACGTCAGTATCGTGTGTTCCAGCTAATAATTTCCAAGAAGACTTATTCTGAGTGCGACGGTCCGCTTGTGACATTGCTCAGTGCCATCCCACGTTCCGGTATTACAGCGCGCTAACAATTGGGATCGCCTTTGTTTCAGTGGTGTTATTTATGAATCATGTTGTTGGCAAAACGAAAATGCGATATTGCTCATCCTCCCACAGGACTGAAATTCTCTTTCCTCATCAGCCAGTGCGTCTTCTAATGGAGCATGCGAAAAGCTTCGGCGAAATATTCAAACCGCATGCGATAGAGATTGCAGTCGGTGAACGCCAATGTGTGGGAGGAGGGTGAACACCGTCGTCGAGCTCTTCACAGAACACCATTCATTCCACCCTTTAAAATGCCTTATCTCGATTGATAGAGGTCAAGAACGAAGACGAAACTAAAATGCCTTATCTCAATTGATAGAGGTCAAGAACAAAGACGAAACCTATACCACTTCCAGATGTCTTCATCCTTTGCTGAACTCTTCTTGATCCTTAGAGGATTCTTCATTGCAAGGTGGTTTAAATACTGATTGCTATCGGTGAAGATCCTCACCTTGAATTATGAAGGTTATTTGTGTTACCAATCGTGTACAAACGATGAGTTTAAGGTTTTTCAGGCAGGGCATCACTGATAAAGTGTCGATTTCTGTCACACGTAAGAGATGGCAGAAATGCTTTAGCATATCCACCACTATTTGCGCTAATTTCAATGCAAACGTGATCGAAAGTAAATAATTTGTCCTTTCAATATTGAACAGGGACCTCAACCCATGGTGAGCCTTGTCTTTCCTAGGTCGCACACCTCTCTTTTTTCTCGCTCCTTTTTTGTCAGCGTGTAGACAGTCACTGTAGTACACTCGAATAACTTTTGCGTAATTTACAGCCTTTTCGTGAACGATCCTCGAAAGTCAGTTTTTACTATTACTTTATTAGCTCATTTTGTAAGATATCCCTTCGTTGACTCAGTTTCTATTTCTTTGATTATGATTATATCAGCCGACATCAAGTCTATCATCCCGTTTATCTCTCCGGATCCCAGTTCTTCTTGACTCATTTCATTTCTTCGCACACCTTTCCTCCACGGCCACGGATGTAAATTTTTCTTATGTTCAGTCTCGACTGCTGCTTGAGGATTTTTTCATCTTCGTCGCGAACGTTTGAATGCTGACCGAGTCGATTTTTCCTAGAATCCTGGGATAACTTGGTAAAGTGTTCCTACGTGGATTGCAGGTAGTTTTTGCCCTGTTCAAAAGAGAAAAAGCCTGGTAGCAATTTTCCGACCCCGTAAGGATGAGGGGCTTAGTGGGCTCGGGAGAAGTCGGGCCAATGTGTGAGTAGGTTCGTAATTAATGGGGTCACTACCACTGTGGTACCCGCTCTTTAGCTTAGTTTATCACATAGAATTATGCGGAATTCCTAGATTTTTTGAATTCTCTTTTTCCTAAAGGAAAGAACTACAAGAGAATCATTTTTGAGGAATTTGTGTGCAAACGTTCTTTGTACTCTCATTTTTTTTTGTTGTCATTGTAAGCCGTTAGTTGCTTAGTGTATATCGCTTCTTTATTCACTTTTAAGCTTCTCATTTAGTTGCCTTTTTAAACAGTGTTATATTTGCGCTGTAAATTTTCTTCGAAAGGATCATGGTTTTTATGGCATAGGCGTACAGTAAGGCAGACTCCCATTCTCCCATTGGAGGCGGTCTGTGTAAAAATGGAGTGGCAAACGCGCTTTGGATGCTCCTATATCCAAAGTAGGTTACCCATATTCCGGAAGAAAATCTTTAATGTTGTAAATCCAAGAAAAATTTTTGCATGGAGATTGATGATTTCGGTGTCATCTTCTGCAACGAGTTATCAGTTCATCATCTGCGTACTCCACGCGTGTTTTCTGCCCTGTCACCTAGTCTTAGTTTTGTGCCACTAATTTAATTTGTAGAGAGAGTTAAACACTATTCTGATCGTGCAGACAGAGTATTCGCTTGTCGCACACAAAATGTTTGTAGAGGGCATCGATTTTCTATGTATTAACTGATGACGGTTCTGTTGATGTGCTGCTACTATGATTTCGAGAACTTGCACGTAATATGAAGCTAAGACAAATAATCAGTTCCTGACTGTGAACGTCGTAGGATAAATGATGTTCCATCATTTGTAGTTCCAGTAAATTTTCTCTTTCTTTTTTTATCTAAACCTATAGATTTCATATTCTTGCAAAGCAGTCACGAAACTTCTGGTGGTTGTATCCTCTTTTATCCTACCACATATCACGAAGATAATAAGATTAACCAAAATTGCTACTCCGACTTGGAGTTTCGTTCGCAGTCGCATATGCAGTCTTGTTTAGTTGGCGTCGTTTGCATTTATGTGATGATGGCGGTACAATGAACAAGAGTTTTTGTAAGTTCATTTATCAATGAGACACGTTTGTAACAGTCAACATTGTTGTATGGGAATACAACATGAATTCATTGCGCCGTTACCACAACGACTGCTTTATGGTTCTCTATAAGTTTTTGCTTTAGTGACTTGTTTCACTACCACGTCCTTTATAATGTTCAGGCAGTTAAATTCTATAGGCTATACTGGACATAAATGTTTTATACATATGGAAAATAAGTGCTTATCTCGATTTCTTTTTTCGTACATGGTCGTGTTAACCTGGTGAAACAAGTAAATTTCATAGGATAATTAGGGAACGATGGTTGTGGGTGGCTCCGGGCGGAAGACCAGCGTTGTGTCAGGACCATTTTCGGATCGTTTTCATGTCTTCAGCAAAAATCATGAGATGGATTTCGCGAAAATCTATCTCGCGATGCAAAAGGGTCATAAGGTCCGTGTCCCTGCTAAAGCATTCTTATTATTTCGTAATACGACAACATCAGAAATTATAACTATAAATAGAGCGAAATTTGTGTAGGTGTGCAAGATCAATGTACTCAAGAAATGGGATCCGACATATAAGCTGTTAACGCTTAACATGGAAACACGGCAGCTGTTTCTCACCAAACTTGAGCAGACGACTGTGCGGTGAGCATTTCGTGACCGAAACCTTATTTGATTATTAAACTTCGATTATTAAGGAAAGCATTGATCCGCTTTTTGTGATCGTTCTCTTTGCGCTTCACTAACATCTACATTGTTATTGATTTTTCTAGGGTTTTTACCACACACGGTAGTATTCTCGATCAAATATGCTCTCTGAATACAATAACAAAGAAAAAGTACTGGATAACTCATAAATCACTGCTTAATGAATTTTCTAGTCTAGTCTGTAATAGAGATTCGCCCAGAACATCTTTTTCTAGCAATTGGCTAAATAATTCGTATCGGATGAAATGGAAGTTTTTTAGAGGTAAGCCAATTGTCCTCGATCTCCGCCATGTGCGTGAAGTTCAAACTTTGGACTACAAGTTATCTGCAATCCAGATTGGTGACAAATGGAAGAGGGATCGCGAAATACAGAACTTCGATCCTCTTAAAATTCTTGTTATCGCCCACGGGACCCAATTTACACTCAAAGAATGGACGCTTTTGTGTGAGTCATTTCATAAGTGATGCCGATGATTTCTGTTGCCAAAATGTGTCTTGTAAAAATTGAAGGAAAACCATTTATTAGGGAAAGTGACGTGTCGAATTAAGAGGGATGTAAAAATGTCGACATTATGAGAAATAAAACACGAAGGTTGTAAGCAAAAGAAAAATAATGCTGACCTGAGACGCAGTAATGGTGGGCGTGTCGGTACATAGTCATGATAAGCTACCAGAAGTTTTTTTCAATGTTTTTGCTAAGAGATTTTAACGGGGATCGCTAGCCCAGAATGAACACAAATCTCTGGACCACTTGCGATAATCCTAGCAGGATGCCCATTACTCCTTCTTAAATCTCGCACAGTAGCTCAGCAATGTACTATTGAGTATTTATTTTCTTCTATTTCCACTCCTTACAACATTAGTAGTAGCTAGTCATTGCTGTAGTCGTGGAAGACCAATCAATAATGCTAATAGGTGCAACGCATGGGAGGACTACTGCAGTATCGGTGTCGAAGATATATCTTCCATCTGTTCTACACGGGATTTGTTACCCAGCAAATTCTCGCTGGAAGTCGCTTCTTCATGTAATTATGTTTACGGTGGTACAGGCAGATATTGTAGCCTCAGTCGAAGAGTTTCTGTGAAAACGAAGATGAACTTCGGTTAATGTTTTCCTCACTCACAAATGATTAATACCTAACTTCCCTGAAAAATTAATCAACCATGAGTAATATGTTAATTTCTCACTAGTTTCCACAACCAGTTCCTATGAAATAGAAATCGAAGCATTTTATGTAAAATCGGAAAATTTAACGACGTCACGTAAAACTCAGCAGGACCATTAATCTCCGTCCGATAATAGTAGACAATATTAATAATATTGAACTGAATGTGTCGTTTTCTTGTTCAGCAATCGCGAGGTTTTTAAACAGCATACATTTACTTCCATAAAAAACACAATACAATACAACGCTAGCTGACGTTTCGGCAGTATCGCCTTCTTCAGAGCCGCTTTTTTATAATCAGCTGTTCTAAACTTCCTCATTGGAAGTCACGAAAAAAAGCGGCTCTGAAGAAGGCGATCCTGCCGAAACGTCGTCAGCTAGCGTTGTATTGTATTGTGTTTTTTATGGAAGTAAATGTATGCTGTTTAAAAACCTCGCGATTGCTGAACAAAAAAACGACGCATTCATATTCCAATGCCGAGGTTAATAGAAAGTCGATCCTGAGAAATATTGAACTGAGTTATGCTGTTCGCTGTGATTTACCATGTTGAGTAGCGTCAAGAAATCTCAGTAGGAGTTTTGGGACCGCCAAGTTTTTTCTGAAGGACTTCACCAGTAGTGCCATAAAAGTCATGGGGAAGAACATGCTTATATGCTTCTTTTTTCAGTTTTCATCAAGGTTTCATATCTACGACTGTGAAAACAGCAGTGGCACTATCTAGTGCCAACTAGAATTTCAAGTTATGAAATATCTGTAAAATCTATGAAACGTGCAAAACACAACATTTTTAAATACTAGTTGATGGGTTCTGCGTATTAATATCGAGTATATAAGTGGGGCGCATGTAGCGCAGTGGTTAGAGGCGCCTTGCAGTAAACATGTGGTCGATCTCGCACCCAGGCTAGCCAAGCGTTGCATATTTCCGGTCGGAAAATTGCTCAGATCTCTATGAGATGAGCACTAACTCGATATATCGATAACCCACAGTGAATCATTGTATTGATCAGATATACATTCATTCATCTCTAACGATGCTTAATGAAGTCGAATGCATCCCTGAGGGATTGATCAATGCCGAGAGCTTTATTTTCTTTATTATATAAGTACTGGGTAGGTGGTAGTGCAATGATGAGTGATGCCGTCGGTCAGGAATTAAAGTCGCTAGTTCGACCGCATCTCTAACGCTGTTCTTCAATGCACGTGGGAGCCCCTTAATTTGGTTATCTCTGAGATTGCAAGCAGTACTGACTTAGCCGACATTCTGCGACATTCGTAAAGGAGCCAATTCCTCAAGTGGCATCCGAAACAACACGCGAAATGTTCGAAGACTTATGGACGAGGAATGTGAGAAAAAACGATTCGAATGCAAGAAGTTCTGGGATCCACGCAGTAGGTGTGATGACGGGTCGTGTGAAATAGAATAAATAAAATGAAATATAAGCGCCGAAGACCACGTGCAGTAATAAATTAGCAACGATCCACCATGGTTATTTCAAGACCCCAGAGAAATTCGTTTTCGACTAGCAATGAACATATCAAAGAGGAACGAAAGCTAGGAATCTTCAAACGGTAGTTGGGTCCTTACCAGTATCGTACAAGTTTCGTGGATGATGAAAATGAAGGGAACCCAGACGACGACCAATACGGCCCTCCAGTTTACTCCACTATTATAAAGGGATTTGTACAGATGAATAATTGTGTGATGGTCCTTTACGGCCACATACAACTATCTTACAATCCATATGACTGACTAAATAAGATTTAGAATGAAAAAACCTGCATTAACGATAAATCTGTGTGCCTCTAGTGAAATACGATGTCAAGATGTGGCTATCGAGAAGAAAACAAAGCATGGTCACGTTGCTTCCAATTGCATCTAGAGAATCAATTAGTATACTGTAAAAGTTTCAAATATAGCTGCTTTAGCTCTGTGGATGATGGAGGCATCATGCTTAATAAGCTTATGTAACACCTACGTCTACTAAGAGACTTACACTACCCGTTTCTACGTGACATGCGACTCCTAGCACATTCTACATTCGTTTCACCGTTTAGCAACCATCATGCATGGATAGCTTTGCAAACCTAGCTGGAGTACTTTTTCACTCAATACGCGTTCAGAACACGAAGATAACCGAGACGACGTCCAGCACTTTCCTCCATAATAGGCTGTTTGGATCGGGCAAACATGAGCTCATCAACACCATTCGTCCTGGGCTTTTCAAAATCTGGTCTTTAGTGAGTGGACGTTTACGGTTACCACGTCTTACACAGATTCGCTGTATAACATAACCCTGCTTTGCGCGGTAATCACTCGATACACAGCGGAAAGCTGTCTATACCACCACATCCAATTCTGAAGAATATAGTACATTGCACCAAATTGTTTCTGACGCCATATTTATCGAACATACATTGTAAGCCTAATGTACCCAAACTTGGGTAAATAAACTCCATGTTTTAAGCGTGGGCAACTACGGTTCGATCGCTCAAGTTTGAGATGATTATCTTGTTCGGAAACGCGGGGTCTGTTTACCCAAGTTTGAGAACATAAGGATCACAAGTATGTATGGGAAATGTGGCGTAAGAAGCAATCCAACGCCATGCGCTCTGTTGTTCATATCCGGACGTGGTAGTATAGACATCTTTCCGCTGTGCACCGAGTTAGTCGTGCAACTCAACTTGAAAAGGCTCTTCGTATGGGTTACCGTGCAAAGCAGCGTTGCGTTATATACCGGGTCTGTGTACGACGTGGTAACCGTAAATGTCCAGTCATTAAAGGGCAGACTTAGAAAAGCCGAAGACGCATGATGCTGATTAACTCAGGTTTGCCCCAACCGAGCAGGCTATTGCTGTGGACCGCGTTGGACATCGTCTGGGTTCTCTTCGTGTTCTGATCTCGTATGGAATGGAAGAATACTCCGGCTACAAGTTTTACGAAGTTGTCCGTGGGTGATTTTTAAGTAAATGAACAAATAGATAGAAGATGTCCATGTCTAAACATCATTTCGAATGGTATTTATACTTACTTGATACATGATACTTAATCGGCCCATCATCATTAGTTGTTCGGGTCCTAGCATAACCACCTTTTTTCGGAGATTTGCTGGCTAATCCATTATCGTTTCCTGGAATCCCGAGGACAGCCTGACCAAAGTCTGTCCTAGGTCGTCACCACGACAGGCAGTCGCAGCCCTTATGGATCGGAGGGAGATTTACCACCATGCGACTTTGATACCAGGATGGTGGCGGAACCTGGTATTGGTTTACTTTTAGCTACGCTTCCTGATGGGAACGCCGGACTCCTCAGCTTGGGAGACCCTGCCGGGTCGACGAATCCCTCCGCTGTACATTGCAGTCAGACACCCAGGATCACCTCCCAGCCACGATGAGGCTGTAAACCGTTGGGAGGATGGTATTTGTAGCACACATCTAATTAGAAGTACTTGATACAACCAGTATGAAAATCAGTTCAGTGGGCATTTTTGAAGTGGTCTAGCTAACGCTCACCAACGTTGTAGTGATATGAAATCTGAAGAAAAACCTATTACTGGCGAAGGTTGATAAGTATGAACGACTTTAGCTTTCGATAATAAAGAATTGTCGTATTACTGGCATCTGGTGGGTGCACTCATTGATCAGTTGGATGATATCATTGAGTTATTTAAACTGAAAAATCCTGATCGGGCTTAATTTTAAAAGGGTTCTGTTGTGCATTTCTTGAAATACCTGTAACGTAAATTTTTCAGATTGAGAGTTTCATTGAGCATATGAATTTATATATTGATAGCAATATGTTTAAAAGAAAATATGTTATGGAAGCTTCAAAAAAAATTTCAGTCGAATCAGTGGAGGCATGTCGTCTTTGGAGAGAAGGAGTGCACAATCTTATGATCGATACCCGCGATATCTTCTTATCTGGTCATTCGGCCCGGATTGAGCGCTTCATCGCCAAGCATTTCATCAATCTTGTCACTCCGGGAACCGAATTGTTAGCAGTTTTCCATGTACCATTGTTCGAATAAAAAAGTCAAATATTGGCATAACGAAATTTTCAAAACATTGTTCAACTTTTTCTCTCCTTTAACCTTTTCTAGTAGAATTCTAAATTTCAGTGTTGCCAGGAAACACATGAAACCGTTTGTGCAGACTTCTTTGCAGTACAAAGTCCCGTCCAGGGTCCTTCAGGAAGTTACAGAAGATCAGATGAACTTGCTTCAATTTTCACAAGCCACGAGGAACTTCATCCATTCTGAGACGGTTCTTTTATTCTTCAAGTTACTATCATCAGTTTTGTTTGTTCTGTCGTGACCACGATACTTCTTTCAGCTGTTTGCATCAAGGTTCTCTGAGCTCTCCGAAAATGGTGCTACCGTTAGTTTCACAAATTTTATGAGGTTTCTTGAGAACATGCAAAACGACCCAATGAGCTCCAATCGAGCTAGAGTGGTTGGTTTTCTGAGAAGGTAAATTGCCCGAAGGTTAATGTGATTCAAAATTTTTATTTTGTGGTGTTAATTTTCGGGTTTCTCAACGAAGATGATTTTCCGGTAGAGGATATTCCAGACGAGCCCTCGTTATCCGTCATGGAAGTTGGTTTTTTTTCACTTTTTACGAAAGAACTAAAAAATGTGTTTCAATGGAATAGTAGGATTTCAGTTCTGTGATTTCTTGTTTTCCCGGGAGAACTCACTTTGGGATTCGATGAATGAGAAAGTTATTCAAGACATGACGAGACCTCTCTCTCACTACTGGATTGCTAGCAGTCACAATACGTAAATCCTTCGATGCTTTTTCTCCTTGTTATCTACCCCACTTTCTTAGTATTGCCCTTTGTTTTACCGTAAAATTAGGTCTTCTTTTAATATTCCTTCCTACTTCTTCTTGTTCCTTCCTTTATTTTTTACTTTTTCTTCATTCAGCGCTATCCTTATTGTTCTCGGAACTTCTTTTCTCCACGTACACTCTTTTCAGATACCTGACGGGTGACCAACTTCGGTCAGATTCATCACTGGATTCATATGCACAAGCACTACTAATGGGTTGTCGTTGTATAGAATGTACATTTTACTTCTGTTATCAACTTCTCGATTCTTTAAAATTTATTTTGATCGTTTTACTTGCATTTCTACTTTACTCATACTTGTCAGTGGATTGTTGGGACGGCCAGCGCAAGCCAAATTCACAAGAATTTATGGACATTGTGGTCTATCATGGGTACACAATGACATCCAAATTGTTGCTTCGTGATGTTCTTAACGTCATCAAACATTACGCCTTCATTACTAGTGTGTAAGTTTTCAGTGCTTGTATTGAATTAAGATTAGCTTTCAAACTTCACTACCAAAGTTTTGCAGTATTTATAACTACAACTAACTAATAGTTACGATTTTAGCATGACATCCCGCCTAGAGATTTCTTCTAGCCGAGGGCGCGTATAGCGCAGTGGTTAGAGGTGCCGTGCAATAGATAAGTGGTCTTTGGTTAGATTCCGCTTCCTGAGCTCAACCAGCCTTTATCGATTCGCCGTCGACAAATTCTTGCCAAACTGGTGGGAGGATAGCAGCGTTGACTCAATACATCGGTAGGCCACCGCGAGTCATTGTAAGGGCCAGATATGCATTCAGTCACCTCCGACGATACTTAATGAAGTCGAATGCATGGCGCATCCAACAGAAGTTGATCGACGCTGAAGACTATATCATTTATCCTTCATCTTCCTATAGCAGGGTAGGAAAGTAACAATTTCGAGTGCCTAAAAAACTGGGGGTAGGGGAATGGGGGTGGATGTGGGGCTGGGAGTACATTATCGGAAGTGGTTCTATATTAGTACCCTCACTTCAATGAGTTTTCACTAAGCTTAGCCTTAATGGTTAGATATATGTCTAAAGAAATCGATAAAATCCTTTTACATTTGTGAACTTCATGTACTGCATCCTGCTAATGGAATCAGTACTTAAACTTGTACTCTTATGAATTTGATACTTTACCGTGATGTCTGTTTTGTCGCAAAAACGGAAATGTGGTTGCTGGTGCATGAAGCAGGAAGTTTCATAACTTTCATTAGAAGTTTTTCAAGGTGAAGTATGGCTATTACTACAGATATCCCGTTATCCTGTCGATCGAGGACAATTGTTCCGTGCCTGCTCAGCGGTTACTCGCCCAGGAAATCAAAGAAATTTTGGGCGACGACCTACTTACTCAGCCGGTATTTTTTGTTTTCACAGGAAAAAGGATGATACTTACCGTTGGATACTAAAAGCATACGGAAACATTCTTGTAGGGAGTAGGATTTAAGATTTTCCAGGAATAGTTGCGGCCTGAATTTTTAAATATTTTGAATGGTCTTTCCGTAATATTCTTTTTAAAACTTTACTTCTTTATGTTCCCTATGGATGGTTTAGAAAAATAATGCATGAAAACTGAAGGTCGAAAGAATTTCGTATTCTTCGGTGGCATTGTTTTCCAATGAATTCTGTCATGGAAGTAATGCGTTAATTCCTCCATATTAAGCACTTTCAGGGGCTTCAGATGCCGGCTGAAACTACAGGGCTATCGGAATCCATTTAATTTTTGTGTCAAAAAATCGTATAGAGGGGACATTTCAGTCAAAAATCGACCTCTTACAAACTCGAAAGACCGACTTTCTATAAACCTCGGCATAGATAGTTGATATATTTATTTATGTGATCTTATAAACTGATCTTCTTAAGCTGACGCGAGGTTGGTACAGATCTTCGTTGTCGTTGTCGTTGTTTTTGATGTTATTGATCGATGGCTGACGTTTCGGCGACTTCGCCTTCCTCAGAGCCTGGACGTACTTTATGTTAGAATACTTTTTATTATTCGGTGGAAAAGAAGGTTAAAGCATTAGTGAAGATCAAACTTTCAAATAGATGCCATATTGAACAGAAAGGCCACTCACCGTGATGTTACGTGCGGGACCGGCCCACACGTAGTTCACATGGAGTCGCGAGCAAGACACACCCCGGGGTCCAAATATCATTTTGAAATAGGGCGCCAGGTCACGCGTGATAGTGAGGCATTCGTCTTTTCGGTTAATGTTTGGATTTTTGAAATTTATCCAAAACGCCTCAAGAGTTTGCGCGTTGATGTTTTCGATTCCTGCCCTAGGATCCGCACGGTCACTTCAAAAATCATCGCCGTTGTGCTTTTGAGCCCTATGCGTACCTAGAGGGGTGTTTAGACGGATTTTAGCTTTTCCATCAAGATGTTCTTTTATGCGCGCACAAAGTGGTCTACCCGTTTCGCCAATATATTCGTCGCCGCATGCATTACATGAGATCAAGTATATTATACCTAAACTCAGGCAATCCCCGTCTCTCCCGTTGAGACAGATCATACAGTTTTCTGAGCTGCACAAACGACCATAGAGACGGTTTACTCTAAATTTATATATATATATGTATACATATGTATATATATACATATATATATACATATATATATTTATATAAACATATATATATATATAAATATATAGATATATATAAATATATATATAAATATATATACATATATTTATATATATGTATATATATATATATATATATATATAAAGAGTAGACAGTAAACAAAACGGTTAAGAATGTGATTAAAATAACTAAAGCCTCAGCTTCACTGGGTTCTATGCCGATTTGGGCTCCTCAGATCAACCCCGCTAACGGGTGATTGCTGTGGCAAAAAGATCGATAGAAATAGCTGAGAGACAGGCGAAACGAAGGACCCGCATGGTGTGGTGGTGAACGCGTTACTCCCCGGAAAGGACAATAGCACGTTCGTTCCCCACCATAGACACCTGTGGTCTAGAGTTTTGCAAATATCTCAGCAACGTTGTGGTTGGGTAGTTTCCCAAAATAATATTTTGGACATAAGTAAGATCCCCTTTAAGCTACCCTTCATATCAAATGAAGTAAGTCACGTCATTAAAAAGTGCTTAAGAAAAAGTGGTCTTGAAAATTATGTAACAACCATTGACATCCCACCCAATACCCTACGCCGCCCGTTAGTTCGAAACCGTCTCTATGATCGTTTGTGCAGCTCAGAAAACTGTATGATCTGTCTCAACGGGAGAGACGGGGATTGCCTGAGTTTAGGTATAATATACTTGATCTCATGTAATGCATGCTGCGACGAATATATTGGCGAAACGGGTAGACCACTTTGTGCGCGCATAAAAGAACATCTTGATGGAAAAGCTAAAATCCGTCTAAACACCCCTCTAGGTACGCATAGGGCTCAAAAGCACAACGGCGATGATTTTTGAAGTGACCGTGCGGATCCTAGCGCAGGAATCGAAAATATCAACGCAAAACTCTTGAGACGTTTTGGATAAATTTCAAAAATCCAAACATTAACCGAAAAGACGAATGCCTCACTATCACGCGTGACCTGGCGCCCTATTTCAAAATGATATTTGGACCCCGGGGTGTGTCTTGCTCGCTACTCCACGTGAACTAGGTGAGGGCCAGTCCCGCAAGTAACATCACGACAGGCCTTTCTGTTCAATGTGGTGTCTATTTGAAAGTTTGATGTTCATTAACACTTTAACCTTTCTTTTCCACCGAATAATAAAAATATTCTAATATTAAATACGTACAGGCTCTGAGGAAGGCGAAGTCGCCGAAACGTCAGCCATCGATCAATAACATCAAAAACAACGACAACGATAACGAAGATCTGTACCAACCTCGCGTCAGCTTAGGAAGATCAGTTTATGAGATAACATAAATAAATATATCAACCTCTTACATCTACCCAATATCATATTCGGACGTTTTCGAATCCTGTTTTAAAAATGCTTTTTAAGATCAATTCGTCTGAAACTCAGCTTCCGTCTCCAGCTGCACTTAAAAGGAAGATTATATTGAAACACAAGAAATTACCTATAGAAAACGAAAATTTAGCCTCATTCGTCGCATCGAGTGCGGATGAATGTCAGTCATGTTCTCGTTTCTTTCATTACTATCGTGTTAAACAGGGTTCCATGTACTTCTCGTCGCTTACGATTTTCTGCTCTTTTCGCTTTATTTTTCTTTGGAATATATTATTCCTTATGTTAGCGAATATTGGCATTCGTGAAGCACAGTAGTTAAAGCTACGCTGCAGTAAACACATGATCGTTGATTCGATCCCGTACCCTATTAAACCATGCCCGTCGCCCTCAGCACGTTAGAAGATGGTACCAGCCTTCTCTATCGGAACAAGTGCATCGATTTGACAGATCGTTTAGCTGCCATAAGTCACAGTGTAGGCCAAATATGCGTTAGTTCACCTGCATAGTGTTGAGTGCAGTGAAATACATGGAGCATACGTTAAAGATTAATATCGCCGAGAGCTTTATCCTTTTACTAGCGAGTATCGCTCTATAGCGTTTCTGAGGTCAGTTCATGTACTCACGGTTGCTGGGTCCCTTATGGTAGTAAAGTCTTTCATCTTTAGAAGAGTCCGTAAAATGGTAGCTTATTTGTCATCAAAAGATAGGTGGATTTGCTTTGTTTCTATTCTATCACGAAATTGTGCATGCTAAATTCAATTTCAGCGTGTCTGCAAATTTATGTATGTAATCTGAATGAGAAAGAATTGGAGTCTTCTGGCCTGTCCTATATTATATAGAGCTTTTAATATTCTTGACGAATTCGCTGCCAAATCCAGTAGGATTCCGAAAAGACGGTGGGCTCTGTGGACTTGTAAGTGGGGTTGATCCAGCGAGCATGTGATTACGGTTATTGCAATGTGTCACACTATTTTTCCTTATGTAGATGTCCTATCATATTCTGCACAGTTTTGTTTACTATGTAACTTCTACGTTTAATATTGTGCATTTTTCAGTTCAGGACACCGATATTTTATCAAGAGAGTGCATAAAAAAAGGCGTCCTTGCTCTCAAGGATAATATTCGACATGTAGGTTTTAGCTTTTCTTTTAAAAAGTGAGGGTTAATTTATTTAAGTACTGGTTTAAAAACGAACTTCACCATGCTATGCAATCCCGTAGCGATAAGATTTCGCATTCAATTCTAATCTAGTATTAATATTCGTTTTCAATTGCTGGATCTTAGTTTTGAAGTAGTGAAAATTGATTGTGGAAAACTACCGGCTTACAAGCTAGTGCTTTCTATTTTGTGTTGTGAGATGGAATAGTTGGTTGGCCCATGAGCACTGAAGGAATTGGGATCGTGGCCGCTTAGTGAACTCCTCTAAATGCTATACCTATTTTGCATATTGTGGAAACTTTTTTAACATGATCCATCATCATTTCTACGGTGCAGGCACCAGCAATTCTTGCGTTCGATTCATTTTCCCCGTACACATCGTCCACAAAGGTCTTCGGACAATGTTTAGCTTTTATTTGCTAACTATTATTTTTTTTTTCGTGACAGACTGTTATGTGAAATACAACCGCAATGATGCTGTGATATTCATCGTTTCTCACAGTAGTTTGTTGCTTTAAAATGGTTTGCGAGTGTTTCATAGAACGACAAAGAAAGCGGTGCTCATCCCGATCCTACACACGTTGAGAAGGACACATTAATTTGGATCTCTGGTTAAGCAAAAGAACTTGTGCTACGGTAGAGGCTGATGAGCTACTCATTGTCACTTTCTCGCCAAAGATAGTTAGAATGAAAGACCTTGCAGAAGAAGGTAAGGCTTTTCTGGCTTACTCAGTTTAGCTGATTCCTTCTTATAGTCACTGGATATTCTGTGGGGGTGTAGGAGTGTGAAGTTTCTACTGATTTCTGTTAGAAGTACACGACAAGCAGGATTACTTCAGTACAGCTGGAGTGATTGTGGCTTGGTTTCAATGCAATACATAACTACTTCATTTTGTCGACGAACGTTCGTTTGTTCGTTATTCGATAGAAAGGCCATTAAACCTGAAATGGCTTTCACCTAGCAATTGTGGTTGCACCACAGGACATCACTGTCCACCCTGTCTTCGACCAATGGGTTCATTCATCGAATTATCGTCTTCTTTCAATGTATGCTTTAAATATCCTACAGTTTAAATGGATCAATATTGACGACGTTGGAGAATACTCTTCGCACTAGCATTCATTCTTCATTCTATTCCTTAAGTGTCGGATTAACACATGTCAATGCAGATGAATCATGTATATCGAAATGATCGTCTCCTAGTCATATCGCTTCTTTTCTTCACTTCGCTGCTATAATAAAATCAATAAATGGGATTGAATGCGAGGAAAAGGATCGAATTAAAGAAGTTCTAATGATCATATCTATTCTATACGTCACATCGGATCGTGTAATCCGCTTTCCTCGGAAAAACGTTTAAGTCAGATTGAATCACTACTTGTTACTTCCACAAGGGCACAAATGTAATCTTATCGATTGTTCGACCTCGATCGATACTTGCTCCTCTTGATTGATACCTGATGTGAAAAGCGCTCCGTGATCATGAAAGCAGAGATTGTGGTGTTACTGACCTTCGACCTTTACCCTCCTATTGTGCGCTTAGCTATATGAGTTGCTGCAAAGTTTCGAAAACATGGTGTTGTCATGTTTCCCTTTTACGTGTAAGATTTCTTTGCATACTGAGGAGTACGTGGTATGTGAAGGATTTTGTACAGTTCACGGATCTTTGCAAGAAAAGACGTCATCTAATACCTTCTCCTTTCTCTGATAAGCTTTTTGACTCTAAGGATGTGTACTCTTGTACTGAGTTCTGCTCAAAACCTAGTTTATCGGCATTTTTTAGTGAATAAGGAGAGCAGTGAAGGTCTTAACATTGAAGCATACGGTTGCTTTAAAATCAAATCTAACTTTTATGTCACACACATTCAAATACACTCGAAGTTAGCCAACATCCAAATCAAAGTTGGTTTTATGAAAATTCGTCCTATATGCTTTAATTTTCCGTGGTTTTGTATATTTCACTCATAAAGGACCTTTGATATGAATATGAATTACCTGTCTTAATGGCTAAGAAGCCATCAGAATGAAGGAAACTCTGACGCTCAGTAAGCTTGTTATGAGTTGAGCTCTCGTCTCTTCTATAGTTCGTGTGCAAGAATGAAATGAATTTCTCAACACGAAAATAAAATTGCACTTCTAGAACGTCATCAGGTGGGCAGAGATTTTGTTACGGAGCAAACTATAAAGAAATACTCTTCTTCTAAAACTTCTATCGGATCACGGTTCGGTAATTGAACGTATGAAAAAATATAAGAGAATATCTGTGGTGGATTGGGCCTATAAGAGAATTGTAAATAAAGTCGTGAATATAAGGCGAAAATCTTTCAATTCGAGAGCTTATTTATATGTTCATTACATTTAGGACATTGTTTCTCTAACATTAATTAAGGGCTAGTTTATGCAGTAGTAAGATGTGCCAGCTGTGCCCTGCAATACACACGTAGTCCTGGTTTCATCTTACACCCTGGTTTAACACGACTCCTTACACATTCTGGGTGGGAAATTACAACCACGCTTGTTAAGGAGGATAGAAACACTGACTTGGTACATTGGTTGACCACTGTGAGCCTTTGCACAGGCCAAATGTCGATTCAATCACCTCTTCGATGTTACGAATGGAGGCGAATGCATGGGGCTGTAAAGGACAAATCAATTCTGCTATTCTCATCCTTTGTCCTCTAATACATATCAATCGCGAATCAGGTCGAAAAGAAGATATTTTACGAGCTAACATATCTTTACTGGGAAAGAGAAGGGAAACAGACGCATGTTCTAAATGTTTAGTTATTTTGTATCACAGGTCGTAAGAACTCATAAAAAACATTATTTTTTAATCTATTTACTTTAATGCTATCACATAATTCAGTGGAGAGCTGTGTAGTAGGTTAGTAGATCAGATGAGGTAAGTCTTCTTATAGTTCCACTTCTTAACTCGGCGGATTCAGCGATATTTAAGCTATTCGTGTCATGGAAGCCCAATAATTTCAGGAGTGGTCATCGCACATATTCATTTTGTTCCCGGATCGAATTTGTTATCTACTTGAAACCTGCGATGATTCTTCGTTGAAGGACGACAACTCCAGCATTGCAGGAGATGATGAAAGAGAGGTGTCTCTTTCTTCCATGTGGTTGCTCTTTAAATCCCATCAATATTTATAATTATTTTTTATCAGCCACCATTCATATACTATACTGAGATATACCTGAAGCCTAGGAAATTGTTTTCGCAGGAAGAGCCACTAACTGGATTTGGTGTTCGTCCTGAGGAGCAGCACATCACAGAGGAATGGTTCCATGGTCATTGTGGACGTGAGGTAAGTAACTCTTCCCACAAATGTGATTCCGAAGGTGGCAGTAAGATAAGTTTTTCGTCCTATTCCCCAATACAACGCCTGATATGCATTGTGTGCAATACTTTGGTACGAGAACAAAGGCCACTTCCAGCTTTAGACCAGCATGTTCCAACTCAAAATGGATTTTCTTGGTTGAAATAAAAATAGAATAGATTCTATACGTCTTTATCTACAAGAAATAAGTTATCATATTTTACCAAGATGGACTTATGATTCTACCTAGCCTAGTCCATGACATACATTCCTTCTGCTTTATTCCTCCCAGGCTCGTATTCCGAACCCGAAAGCAAACGAACATGGGGAATTTCATCCAACAGGACAAGATGATGCTTTCCAGTGTGTAACTTATGTTTGTAGTTTCTGCGCTTGCGGAAGAAATTTTAGAAGCTTAAATTTTGCTACCAATTTTCTCATTTACAATTGAAAGGACACTGTATATATACATTGTTTATACGATTAAGGCGATAGAACTCAGTTATGAAGAAGTTATCGTCAGTTATTGGAAAACCAGCGTCGGGTGTTATGTGTTAATAACTGTTAATAACTACTTCAGTTAACAACATCTGTGTGTACGGCGTAACTTGTTCTGCTTCTCTTTTCGGGCCACTATAGGCGCCTCTTTTCGCTTGAGTCGGATAAATAGGTACTGAATGTTTCCCATATTAAGAGGACGAGGTTATAACTTCATAAACGCGATTAAGTAACATTAGATCTCGTCCAGACCCCCATGGATCCACCAGGACTGCGGGCTTTAAGGTTAAATGATTGAAATGACTTTTTAGGGTAAATAATTGAAATGAAAACTAAATTATTGTGGAGAATAAATAATTAGAATGAAAACTAAATTATTATAGGACCACAGCTTGAATAGGAAATGAAGTCATTTAGCAGGAAAATTCCTTTTTCTTCAGTGTCCAGTCATTCAGTTCTTTGAACCAATAACAGTCTAAAACTCCTTCACGACAACCTATGTACCCAAAAGACAGATCTCTAAGCACATTATTGGTTAATACTAGGTTTTTGCAGGAAGCAAAAATGCGGATTTTGCAACATAAAAGTCGAGGAAACGGTTTATTCATGGTGCGAGACTCAAATCTGTTCATCGGGGACTATTCACTGACAATTCTTCACGACGAAAAAGTTCATCATGTTCGCATCAAGACGAGGATTATAGACCGTAAGCTATTCTCTTATGCACCGTTCTAGATCGGCTCTAGAGTTGATTGGCGAGAATGAAGTGTTCGGAGTTAATCAATCACTGAAGGGATCCGCCACGCAGTCTATACATTAAGTGTTCTGTCACTCAGTGCGGTTATCGTCTCATACAAGTCGGGTACCAATTGGCTGACCCCGGAATAATGGAACGCTTGGTGAGTCCAAGACGTGAGAATGAACCAGTGACTACATGTATACTGCCGAGCACTTTGAACCACGTTGCTCCACTTTCCTCGCTGTGTTGTTACGAACAGTTTTTAATTCCATTATGTCTTATTTCGCATAAAATAAGGAGAAATGCTTTTCTGTGAGGCAAAACATCCTTATTCGTTTCAATCCTCGTTTCTGTTTCAGTGCAAAAACTGGTCAACGTAAATAAAGGACAAATCAACTGTATCATTTTTACCATCTGTAGCCACCTAGTCACCGATTAAATCTAGGGGACCAATGAAGACTACAATTCGGCGGTGTGCCGCTACAGAGCTACTGGGTTGGCTTTTCTCGCTCGAGTGGCAGATCACAGTTTTGAGATTAGGGCCTCTTATTCGTAAGTCTTTTTTTGGGGTGGAAGGGGAGGAGGGGATGATGGAGGAATTTGGCCATGGTTTAGTTGTTTTCGTCACTTTCTGTTTGATATGTTTACCACTCCCAACTTTATACCCCTTCTAGGGGAACCCCCATTTTGTATCGCTTTTCAATACCATGAAATACCAGTTAGCACTCAGCCATAATCAAGCGGTAAAACCATTTGGAAACTATCCATATTTGGTACATAATGAGGTACTCAGCTGAGTTACTATGTGAAAAACAAAATTTTTTTCAGGAGAGAAGAAGTACTACTTCATGGAAAACAAGTTGTGCGACACTCTGTATGAGCTAGTATCTTACTACACTCGTCACTATCTCACCACTCCCACGTTCAAAATGGTTCTCACCACACCTTGTCCACAGCCTCAGCCCCACCTTGGCCAACCGTGAGATCTCAACTCATTTCTATCTGCTGACTGGCAAAGCACATTGTAATATTACATGTATTTAGAAACAGAGGTTTGATCGGTTCCAAAAGTAGCTCTGTTAAAAATAGATCATATTGTTTAACGTTTTGTTTTCTGCCTTCTATAATTTTCATGGCAGGTTACTAAGTAAGCGAAATACAACCACAACGTTGCTGAGATATTTGCAAAACTCTGGACCGCAGGTGTCTATGGTGGGGAACGAACGCGCTATTGTCCTTTCCGGGGAGTAACGCGTTCACCACCACACCATGCGGGTCCTTTGTTTCGCACGTCTCTCAGCTATTTCTATCGATCTTTTTGCCACAGCAATCACCCGTCAGCGGGGTTGATCTGGGGAGCGCAAATCGGCATAGAACCCAGTTAAGCTATGGCTGTAGTTGAAATCACAATGTTTAACGTTTTGTTTTCTGCCTTCTATAATTTTCATGGCAGGGTACTNACCATGCGGGTCCTTTGTTTCGCACGTCTCTCAGCTATTTCTATCGATCTTTTTGCCACAGCAATCACCCGTCAGCGGGGTTGATCTGGGGAGCGCAAATCGGCATAGAACCCAGTTAAGCTATGGCTGTAGTTGAAATCACAATGTTTAACGTTTTGTTTTCTGCCTTCTATAATTTTCATGGCAGGTTACTAAGTAAGCGAAATACAACCACAACGTTGCTGAGATATTTGCAAAACTCTGGACCGCAGGTGTCTATGGTGGGGAACGAACGCGCTATTGTCCTTTCCGGGGAGTAACGCGTTCACCACCACACCATGCGGGTCCTTTGTTTCGCACGTCTCTCAGCTATTTCTATCGATCTTTTTGCCACAGCAATCACCCGTCAGCGGGGTTGATCTGGGGAGCGCAAATCGGCATAGAACCCAGTTAAGCTATGGCTGTAGTTGAAATCACAATGTTTAACGTTTTGTTTTCTGCCTTCTATAATTTTCATGGCAGGTTACTAAGTAAGCGAAATACAAACAAAGGACCCGCATGGTGTGGTGGTGAACGCGTTACTCCCCGGAAAGGACAATAGCGCGTTCGTTCCCCACCATAGACACCTGCGGTCCAGAGTTTTGCAAATATCTCAGCAACGTTGTGATAGATCATATTCTTCATCGGTTTGGTTCATTATCGGTGGACCCATCTCTATTGTATAAATAAAAGATAACGCCTTGTGCATAAATACCTTAGTACGGAGAACTTTCCTCTTAGATGGTTTTCGGAGACGGCTGACAAGGAGAAGGCGGAGACGTTACTCAGCCAAGCGCCTGAAGACGGCGCTTTTCTTCTGAGATACTCAGGGATCGACAAGAGCGTATTCGTTCTATCAATTAGGTCGGCAAGTTTTGATTGAAAAGCTGGTTCTTATAAGATCTCTGACACAGTGATATACTCACTATCGTAATCAGCTCAATATTCAATGGGATTGACTTTTATGACTTCTGTATATATTTGAGCAGAAATATTTTAGGGTGGATGGAGAGATTTGGCACTACCGTCTGAAACGAGATGGTCGCATCTTCGTAGTGAATCAGACAATGTTCGAAAATCTAAATCAAATAGTGGAATATTATCGTACTCGGGAATTCGTCCGTGGCATATCACTTAGTTTTCCAGTAAACGAGATGGCTGTTAACTTAAACCCAGGAAATATAGAAACAGCTCAAGGAAGTTATCAGGAATTGTCACAACTGGAGGAAAAGGTGTGCTTCAGCGATAAATACATACTGAAATAAGACCTGTACTTTTGCCTTATAATTACAAGATTATTTTGTATTATTTTTTCGATTTTTGTTAAATTTGATCTTAACTGGTGCACTTTAGTACTACTCATTTTTAATTGAAAAATAAACGTAGATTTTGGCACGCGCCCTTCGACCTTATCGTGGCATGGCGGAAGACGACCTCTCATTTCCTGCAAATGCCATTATAACGGTACTTCGGAAAGAGGAATCACTTTGGACAGGTGTTATTGGTTTTCCCAATTCTCTCTAAGAACATAACAAGAAGTTTAAACCACAGGTCGTTATGGATCATCGGTCGGCTGGTTTCCAGCTTCTTATGTTCAGGAAATTTTGCCGACGAAAACTATTATTACCGAAGGTAGGTAGGTTGTGTTCGTTCCTCAGTGCTTAATTTGTTATCGCTGTTATATATTTTCTGATTTGCCTTGAAAGTCTTAATCCAGGTGGCAGTGATTTCTGACTGGCTAACAATTTTCTCCCTACTATTTTTTGCGGGTATCGACGTCTTCAAATTATTTGATTTCTTTCTGACCTCAATAATGTGAACACCTGGATTAAGGCTGTCAAAGCATTGATAATTTTAAAATAGGACCTAAAAATCTAATGGGAATTCCCTGTTTTTTTTTAAAAATTGTTTCTCATTATTGGTTCAACAAGGTCTTGCTATATTAGGTAAACCACTATAACGGAGATGGAAAGACAATCTTTTGTTTTCCTCCGTATTATTTTCCATCCTGCAGCAGTCGATGTCATTGTCAGCTAACAGAAAGTGTCATATTATTTCAAAAACGAACTTTTGTTTGACCTCAGCATGTCTAATCGGCATATGTTTCGGACGTCTATATTCCGATCATTATCGGACATGAGTGCCAAGAACAGTCCATAATAAAAGAGCACTGCCGAGTAAGGTTACTTTTTTTGATCAGTGCTTTAGTATAGTAGATTCGACTCGTTTCGATCATAAAAACCCATATCGGAAGAACGAACAACTGTGGGCAATCGACTCTGATCATTCTGCTCCTGAGAATGACGAAAACGCCGAGCCTGTAGCCGTCTTTTAAATCCTCGTGTTTGCTCATCTAAGAAATTTTTGCCGCTAGTGAGTATGCCACTGGAAAGAAGCACCCAAGAACTGCCCCATGTATCAGATAGGACATCAGCGGCTTAAATTATTATCGGCTTCTTTATGCAAATTTACGATATAAGAGTTCAAAGACTTTAATGTGGTATTTCTGTCATACTTTGAAAATTATTTGCTTACTCACTGATAGAGTAAATTTACTCGATTTGTTTCACATTAGATTCGTAGTGATATCGCAATCTGATAAGAATAGTTGTGAGAAACTAATTGAAATATTTGTGAACAATAAATGACCACGATACTGTATACAGTGTATGTCGAGACTATAAGTGCACCAGGTTCAGCATCTCCTTGCTGTTGCTTGACTGGTCATTGTAACTTTTTGTATAATCACAAAACAGTGGAATTTTAACATCTTGAAGACTCAGGTCGAAAATTAAATATCAAGATAATACAGTAATTGTTAGTGGAAATTAGGTCTTAGAGCAATTTCTCGGCACCGAATGATCGTTGGCTTTAGCTAGAATGCTCGACTTCGTAGAAAGATGCCACACGGGACTTTTTCGCGGGTGTCACAGAGCAAAACCCAAAACTTGGGTAACTGAACTCTTTCACAACAATAACGTGAGAATAACGAGTAGCTTTGCTGTAGGTTAAAGGAACAGCGTTATAGGCACATAGAATACGTCAATGGTGTTACATGAGGTAAGCACATTAAGGAATTCATGTAATGCTGTAATACCTTATTCACAATAACAATACGATAGCGTTACACGCTATATGTAGACTTGTGATGTTCTGATGAGGTTCACATGTTAAGCAACAAATGTAACCTTGTGATCATATTGCAGTGAGATGAGATGCGAAATTGCAAATTAAAGTACTAAGGGATACATGTGAGTTTGTGAATACATTAACCTATAATGAACGCGCAATAGGGTTAATGTGTTTAGAGCTACATGGCAATAAAGCTGATATAGCAGTGACCATCTGCGATAATGATTATCTACATAGGGTAACGCATAAGACAAACAGAGGCCTTAACAAGAAGAACAGTGTAGTGACTTACGTGGCCATGTAAATGTCTTATGGAGGAGGCTATGTTTTGCCACAGGTCCAGAACATTTACCGAAAACAATCGTCGACTTCCGCTTCCAACTCCGTTGTGACCAGATCAGATAACTGAAGATGGTTTCCCAAACAATTTCATACCCTTCGTGTATTTGTACGCATCAAAGCTTCGAACAGGAATAGCACACAAAACGCTTCGATTGCACAAAGAGGTTTGCATAACAAAAGCTGCTTGTGCAAGGCAAAGTTTCTCAGAATGAAGTGAAATTATTTACATGCTTCAAGATTGCAAAGCGATGTGAAGAACAGCGAATGTGATTACTGTAGGAACATATGATAAGTGAAAGAATCGTAACTATTCTGGCAATAGTTGTTATAGATGCATTCTTATTGTTTTTGCCATGTAGGTGTTTTCGACACAATCGTAAATCGAGTACTGAATGCAGCGTTTTCAGTCACAAGTAACTACAACACCATTGAACTTGCTGGAACGGTGATTGAGCGGGTCTCGGACGACGAGAAACAATACGTCATCAAGATCTCACACACTGCCCAGCAGTGGAGTGGACAACAATGGTTCATTGCAGCAAAATGTAGGTTACCAACCTCTTTCGAACACTTGCTCTTCAATTTTTTCGTCGGACGTGATTCGTTCTCAGTAGTTCTTGCCACATAGGTAGCTTTGTTTGAGTTTTTCCGATTCCTCGCTTTTCGATTTTTTTAAACAAGGCGTGTATCGATATTAATGATTCTAGGATTTTTCTACTATGGAGCGTCTAACAGAGCGATAATTTCCTACATGAAAGTCTATGAATTAGCGTTTAAAAGCGTTATAAATATCTTGAAAAGAAATGAAGGTGATTTTCTTCGTATTTTTGTTGAGCAAACGCGAGGTGTTACTATTCTTTGTTCACGATTAAGCTGACGTTTCGACGGATTTCGCCTTCTTCAGAGCCTGGAAAGGTCAAGTTGATAGCAATCCACTCTGCCAGACGCCTCCATAACCAAACAAAGAAACTCCAAACCAAGATTTCAATCACTTTGAACACAGCTTTGCACACTCACCGCTTTCTATGAGGTTTCCACTAAGTATGTCACGTAGAGACCAACCGCACAGAAATCACGTGGAAGTATAATGTGCCCCCCACATCAGAAAAGCAGTTTTATATACTGCCCTATATCAGAAATGAAGGTTGTTATTACAGCGGTCGAAGAAGCAGATGACTGGCAGAATCAATTATGGGATCTGACTAGGTCGGTGAACAGCAGAATAAGTGTGCTGCGAACAAAAGAGAAAAGTGCCAGAATCGCCGCAGAGCTATCAAATCTTGTAGTGAGTGGAAGCTTTGATGTTTTTGGTCCCACTGGAATCTAAGTGGTTCTGTTGTTTCAGGTTTACTGTCAAGCGGTGCCTTTTGATGCTGCTCATGTGCAGACGGGATCTTTTTACGAAATGTGTTCTTTTGTTGAAAATAAGCTTGATAAGTTGATCGAAAAGGTCAGTTTGCACGAAAAATTAGGTTTTGCTCATAATTTCGGAAAATGGTCCATTTCCATAATCATGTGTTACTTTTCTGCAACACTTATTTTTGCATTTTAATACTATTCCATCTTGTCATACACTCCTATTTGTTGTTTTTGTGCAAAAGAAAGGTTGAAACCTACTATTCTTTAAGTCATTCTAGTTTTGAACTAAGCACGAGCCATTGAAGAATCCGTGTGGTATGCTTGTATTTGCATTTCCAGCAAAACATAGCTCTGATACCAGTTTTCCTCTCAGGGACTGGTTACGTTCAACATTCGGCAACTGTCGAGAGTTTATCCACATGGTTCTCGGATAACTTCTGCTAACTATAACCCAGTACCGATGTGGAACGCCGGCTGTCATATGGTAAGGCGCTTTACTTAACACAACATTCGCGACCATATGAGTCATATACGAGTCGTATAATGGGGTACAGTGAGGTGCAGGTCACATATGACTGGTTCCGCATTCGGCGGAAAACTACTCGTCATTGTACACAAAGTTAGCTTCTGTTGCGAATTAATTATCCAGACAGAGTCTTCGATCCCGTCATATTACAGGTGGCGTTGAATTACCAGACGGGTGATAAAGCAATGCAGCTCAATCAGGGGAAATTCTTGGGAAACGGTCGGTGCGGCTATGTACTAAAACCCGATTACATGATCGATGAAAACTTCGATCCTCTTCATGGCGAAGTGGTGAGTTGGAAGCATCTATGTATCCGAATGTTCTGCAGAATGGTTATTTTAAAACGTTCTTCCCAAATTTCCCAAGGTGTCTTCACTCGTATCGCCTCTAGTCCTGTCTATCGAGTAACCCGAGAGAGCCTCAGTAAATTCTCCTTTCAAATCTGTTGAGCAATAAAGCCTGTGGGCTGTTTTTGCTTGACGAGCAGAAAGGGCATCACAGTTTCGTAAGATGTCTTTTTTTGTCCTTGGCGGGAACATTACCACAGATAGCTCGTTGGACTCTGCTTTCTAATGATTTTCTATTAGATGACCGTCCCGGTGCAAATATTGATCTTCTTAAGTGAACCCGGTTTTGAAAACTCCGTTATCTCTATCTCGCTATTCAGTATCAAGGAATACCGTAGCCACGAGGAGGCGGTAAAACATTGGTGTTGAATTACACACTGAAGTAGACGAAGCATGAATGTAATGTTTGCCTATTTTTAACTGTAGTTTTTCGGGGTGTACATATGCACAGTTCCACTACTGAGATTTTGAATAAACGAGATAATTGGTGATGTTATCTGAAAATTCGAACGAGGTTTCGGATAACATCACTAAGTGTTTAAGGCTTTGTAGCGTTTTGACGACAGGTCACGACGTCGACGCCGATTCGGATTACAGTGCAAGTGATCGCCGGACGGCACTTGTCTCGTCGTGACAAGCACAAAGGAATCTGCTCGCCGTTCGTCGAGGTCGAACTCGTCGGCCTGCCGTGCGACGAGAAACTATTCAAGACGAGAACCATCGGTCAGTTCTGCAATCGGGCTTGTGCCTTACATTGGGACAATCAAAAAATATGCAGAGTTAAAAACTTTTAATGATAGTTAAATGTTTGAAGGAATGCTTAACTGGAGAAATATTTTCCTTAGGAATATCCGGCTAGATACAGAAAAGTAGTGATGCCTAACCTCATACGATTAACTTCTTAAAACACTCCTGCTGAAACATTTTCTATTTATTTCACGAGATGAAAGGCAGCGAAAAGAAAAAAACGCGAACGAAAAAAATCAAAACAAAAACAAAGGTTGGAGTACTGAAGTGGTTATTGGCCCAGTTTTCGGTCTAGAAGAATTTCTTCTGCTTCGCACTCGTGATAGATTAGTTCCTTTTATCGGAAAAGGAAGAATGAAATTCTGAATAGGACAGATGTCTCTATAGAGCAAAGCGTTGCGAGCAACCGTTGTGATTCAGCGTCGAATGGGTTGAATCCGATTTGGAATCAGACGTTCATGTTCGAGGTTACTTGTCCGGAGGTGGCATTGCTGAGGTTCTATGTTGAGGATGGCGACTTTGTTGGTCCAAAGACTGACCCATTTATCGGACAAGCCGTGTTTCCTCTGGATTCCATTCGTTGTGGTTGGTCATTCTCTGATCTTTGCTTTACTTCTATGGTGTTCTTTAAATTTCCAACGTAGATTTTCAACTCTGAATGTATATTGTTATACCTTTTCATTTTCTGCCTACTATAATTTCGCGGCAGAGTACTAAGCGAAATACAACCACAACGTTGCTGAAATATTTGCAAAACTCTGGACCGCAGGTGTCTATGGTGGGGAACGAACGCGCTGTTGTCCTTTCCGGGGAGTAACGCGTTCACCACCACACCATGCGGGTCCTTTGTTTCGCCTGTCTCTCAGCTATTTCTATCGATCTTTGCTGAGAGACAGGCGAAACAAAGGACCCGCATGGTGTGGTGGCATATCTGGCTTTTATAATGATCCGCGGTGGTCTGCTGATGTATCGAGTCAGTGCTGCTATCCACCCAAACAAGTTTGGCACCAATCTGCCGACCTTGGAGGGATGTAAGACTCGGTGGGCCTAGGGCGCGAAGATCGATCCCACATGTATTGCAGAGCATCTTCGACCCCTACGCCACAGGCGCCCAATATTTTACACGATTTAAAAAGTTTTTCGAAAAAAGTGTGCATGAGATTGTTTGATTTTATTGCCTCTGTATCGTCATTTGTGTTATGATCACCTCAAAAATATCGTCCTTTTGCACTAATCCTTTTTGGGAATTATGATTCTCTGCCATAGTAGCGGTTTTGATTACTAAGGGGATTCGGAACTTAACTTTTGCAACAAACATCCTTGAAAGTAAACCTTAAAGGGGATAGGCTTATCGAATGTTATCGCTAGGGCTTGTACTGTTTATTTCATCTAAGCAGAATTGCTCAGGTTTTCGTTCTGTTCCGCTCCTGAATCAGTTCAGTGAAGAGCTTGAGCTGTCAGCTCTTCTCATCGATATCCAAATGATCGCCTTAGGTGATTTGGTTCCCATTCAATCTGCTCGTTCTGTGTTACAGGTTCGTTCTGTTATTTATATAACCATTTAACCTCTCCTATAAACCAAATTGATTTTCTGTTGTTATTAACCGATTCTATGATTAGTCGCAAATTGGGTTGTTTTTGTTTTTCAGGAATATTCCTGGGTGGAATTTAAGTCTAATTTGGAAGGCGTTTAAAAAATAAAAACAATTGCAGTCATCTCGAATGGCCCCCATTTTTCGTTCAAAGCACGGCATGTTGAAGTCGTTCGACTCGCTGTCTTCTTCGGCGTCACTGCCTTCGTTCACCACGCGAGAGGCGTGTCAGCGTTCCGGAGGCTGTTCCCTGCCACGTCGTTCTGTGGATTCACCGTCGCCATCTATAAGTAACTTTGCAATCAGAAAAATATCCACTTTTCAATCCCAGGACAGCTTCGACAGCGTTGAGTATGTTTTTCTCCTTTTTGTAAAATCTCCTAATATGTTCTTCATCTTCGTGTCAACAAGGACAGATCTAATTACCTGAACATATGTATGGAGTGAAAGTTTCGTATCGCTTAAATAACGAACAGCTGAGAAAAGAAAGAAAAGAAAAAACTGAAAAGAAAAAACCAAAGTGAAAAAAAATCTTGTAGCGTCAATGGGAGGACTGGTTTGCTACTCGCTCTATGCTTCTTTCTATAATCGCTAACTTTTCTAGCATATCTCACTTTCTTATTTCCTCATTCCATTCGTCGTAGGTATTTTAGAAAAAAAGAAAGTGTTGATATCTTATATCTTGTAACGTTAAACGACCACCTTAATCAATTCGTGAAGGACGCGTCATCCATTCGACTCACTTAACATTGTAAAGATTGAGTCAGATTTTGCCCACACAATGACTTGCGGCCTACCGATCTATCAAGTCAGCGTTTTTATTCTCCTAAGCAGTTTAGCACCTATTTGCTGAACCCAGTAGGTAGGATTGTTCGATTTACGTGAGGCGCTAAGTCCAACCTACAGCAACGTGTGTATTACAGAGAACCGCTAACCACTGCGCTTTGTTACCTCATGTCTTCCTGTTTCTATTACTATGTTTCGCTTTCAATATCTGTATCGCTGTTCTTCCTGTACCTTCATTTCTTCTTTCCCATCCCCACTGACTTACCAAGTTCCACCTTCTTTCTTCGTCCAAGTTTGTTTTGGTCTACATAATTTTTTAACACTCTCTACTTGAATCTACTTCTTCCTTTTGTTCTTCTCAATTTTTCCTCTTCTTTCGTATTGTTTTTTCATTGGGTCATTATCTCTCATTATTTTACTCTGGTAATACTTTGTTTAACTTTGTGAACAGGCCAATAATTGGGAGGGTTTTGTCAAAGCGAGCCAAAAGAATTCTTGGGATGCGTACAAATATATATGTATACATAATGAGAGCTACACTTATGCCCATCATTGACATACATTCACAAAAGTGCTTTTGTTAGGCAAACTTTTGAATCTTGTTTCATTGATAAGCTAACACGAGGTTATTACTAAATATTTATTTGACTAGGGTTTCGACGTTTTCGTTTTCATCAATGTCGATGCTCCACAGTTGTTCGTCTTCTCGAATTCGAACTGTCTTCATATCGAGATCGGATCCAACGAGACGTCGAAACATTAGCCGAATAAATATTTTAAATTGATCATTTGTACCGAGGTTTAGGAAAGTCAGTTTACAATAATAGGTTTTTGTATTTTCGTACTTTGGTTTGATGTTACAGTTGACTGTTCTCCTCTGTTGTTTATCGAATACTATCAGAGAAGGTAAACATAGTTGAGAGGAAATATAGTTGAATGAACTGATTTAGCGAGAGGAGTAAGTAAATCGCACTCGAAACCCATAAACATCAAATATAAAAAGAAACTTACATCTCATCATTCTTATACTCAGCAGTTTCCCACATTGTGAACCAAGTGTTTTAGCTCGATGGGATCCTCGTCAAATGGATGGACGTCATCGGATAAGGAGAAGAAGCGTGGAAAATGGAGTTTCCCAGGATTTCGATTTAGAAGCAAAGACAAAGAATAGCTGACCGTATTCGTCCTTCTGCAGTTTCGTCTTTACTTTCTCACTCTTTACTTTCATTTCATACCCCTGTAAAAACATTATTTCCCAAGTATGATTCTGAGTTTCCTGTCACCACTTTCAGTGCTCCGTGTTTTGATGTTCTCAAGCATAATAACGTAAATGTTGTACATAAGGACATTTTCTATTCAAACTGAGTTTTGCTTCTGCTTAGAAACCATTGTATGTTCGTCAACACATTCGTGACGAGGCTGACACATATGAAAATTTCTTGTTCGCTACAGTATTACAAGAGTTCAGAACTTATAGATTTATAGAAGAAACATTGCTGTATCACGGTGATGACGTGTATATTTTTTATACAGTGTCCTTTCAGATTTGAATATTTTTAGAATCAAAACTTTTAAGGAGGCAATAACGATCTAGATTTTTGAAATTTCCAGCGGTAGAACGGCAGATTCCAACAGAGATGGGGGGGGGGGGGGGGGGGGAACCATCGTATCCCATGGGAGGAAATCCCACTTTTCAGTCTGCTTCTATGTCGGAAATAAGAGCCTTGAAGGAACAAATTGGATGAAATATGTGCCATTTGCTCTAGAAAATCAGAATTTTATCACTTTAGGGCGAAAAACTTTCGTTCTGTAGCTAAGTGTTTGTAGACTCTGATAGTTTTTATTCCAATTGGTAAAATTCACTATAAAGAGCGATATGTTGATCTAAACCTCAAAGGAGTTATTATTTATGCATCTTATGAGTCTTATAGAAGTTGCATCGTCACGAATGTCTAGAACGTGTTGAACTCTTTGGCAGTATTAGCCAAGTACTGAATGTAACGGCTGAGCCAATGCATTGGACTCACTTTGTACGATGCTCGCTTTAGTCACATGAAATCTCACTTCTCTCACCGATTTTACATGTTGGTTAATATTTCTTTGTGGTGGTGTTTCCATATGATGTTTTATGCTAATTTATTGAAAGAAATCATATTCTATGAGAATCACTAGCATTTCGACATTCATGAAAAAAGCTTTCATGTTTTGTGATACAGTAACCGTTACCGAGATTCGCCATTACAGCTGTTGAAGATTTTTGAAAGTTGATTTTTAAAATGAGGGAGTTTCCTTTGCTAGTGGCTTATTCATGGTTCGTAGATGATCCGTCGTCAAATATCGTACTTGCTCATCCCTTTCTTTCGTTTCATTTTTCGGAACCATCAACTAACCTTGGAATTGAGCTACCAGACTCGTCTGGAGGAATAACAGCACTGGCTCGATACATCGGTAGGCTACCGCTGTTCATTATAAAGGCCACATGTGTATTCATTCATCTCCAAACGATGCTTAATGAAGTTGAATGCATGGTGCATCCCTCAGGGATCGATAAACGTCGAGAGCTTTATCCTTTTTTTATAGTATATATCACGTGTTTTACACACTAATATACATAGTATATAAGTGGCGTGTGTGACGCAGTGGTCGGAAACGCCCTGCAACGCACATGGGATCGATCCCCTCCCCTAGTGCCCGCCAAGCTTCCATACCTCGGGGTTCGGGAAATTCGTAGCAAACATGTATGGAAGGATAGCACCACTGCCTCGATACATTGGTAGGCCAGCGCGGGTCTTTGTAAAGTCCAGATTTGTATTCAGTCACTTCCAATAATGCTTAGTGAGAAGCATGGGGAATCCATGGCCCATCCCTCAGGGATTGATCGACGCCGAGAGCTTCCCCATTTATACTTTTTATGTAGAATATACTATGTAGTTACAAGAATTGTTGAGAGACATGGGGAATAGGAGGTACTGTGTAGCTGATCCATCCATGTATTAGGAATGACAAATGGCCAGAGAGAATCACAACTGAACACCGCCCACAGAACGACCTGAAATTGAGGAATCTTATGAACCGATGGTGACGTTGATCAAATATTGGTATTCTAAGCAGTAATATATTTACACCTTCAACACTTTACCACTACACCGGTAATAGTGAAGTGTTCCTGATTATCCAACAATGCACAACGGGGTTTCGTTACTGCTGCCCCATAGTCCCTCTATCGAGAGATTCGGCATTTCCACCCGGAAGCCCAGGAATGAATAAACCAATACTAAGCATCGTCACCGTCTTGGGGCAGCAACCCGGTCGTAGTCGGCCAACTTTTCCTTGTCTACGACAAGTGAGCCACTGCGTCAGTGTTCAGGTGAGCACTGTGGAAAGGTCTGTTAACTCCCTCCGGAACAAGATTGCAAGCGGCCAGTAATTCATCAGTCAACTGGAAAATGGGCTGGAATCCACACCACCCTTCGTCTAAACGGTTATCCAAGCATCCACGTACGACATGTAAAACACGATGAACGACAAACATGAGATCACATTTGCTCTCGTTTTCCTCGTCAATCTGTGAAGTCTCTAGGGTCCCATCTGTTCCTACTTTCCTCTTATGCACGCAATCGCGTCCAGAAACCTACTGCTGAGCACTCATTTGGTTGCTTGGCTCGCTTATTCTCAACTTATGAATCCATCTGAAAAATATATGTAACCAGTTATTAACTATTTGAGCACAGCGTCTCACAAGAAAAAGACTAGTTGACTCAAGGAGTGCAAAACTCCATCAAATCGTCCCTAACACATTAGCATTAACTCTGCAGCAATTCGTTTGAACCTCCCAAGGGTTTACTGCCTCATCGTGGCTAGAAGGTGTTCATGGGTATTGGGCTGCGATATACAGCTGGAGCATTCATTCCCCTCCCGACAGGGGCTCTCAAGCTGAGAAGTCGTCCGGCGTTTCCATCAGGAAGTCCAGCTAAGCGTAAACCAATATCAGAAATCTGTCACCGTCCTAGTACCAAACTAGTCGCATGGTGGCAAATCTCCCTCTGATCCACAATGGCGGCGAGTGCCTATGGTGGTGATGACCTAGGGCAGACTTTGGCCTGGCTGACCACGGGACCACAGGTAACCACAATGGCTATTCGAAAAATGGAAATTATGCTAGGCCCGTACAACCAGCGACTACGGGCCAACCGAACATCCGAGTAACTTGGCTGAATGACAGCAGGACATCATTCGTGGTACGTAAAAGTGCGTATACATTATGAATTATCAAAACTGACGGGATATTACACCATTTTAGAATGTTCTGGAAGTTCTTGTTAGCGTTAACCTCTTATTTGCTAGCTACTAGTATTTTCACAGGAGGATATGATATAAGGCAAAACTTGGACCTTGGGCCAGATCGAACCCCTTGACCTCTTACCCCCTTAGAAAGGTAATCGTGGTTAAATCTAACCTAGGGTCCAAGTTTTGCGAATATCTCAGTTCGTAATGTTAGAGACATTTCTTCTAAACTGTTACTATGATTCTTGTGATATGTTTGGTAATTGTGATGTTTATTAGATAAAAATTTGTTCATGGACCTTTCCAGAATCTTAGAGCTCACCTACAAGTTGTTTGTGGTTTTGGTTGGTGACGTCTTGCTTTGTTATGTATTTTGTTGGTTTTTATTCTGAGCTAACCTGGAATCTGCATGACAAGAGTTTTATTCAAACAATTTATACAGAGTGTCGCGTGTGGCACAGTGGTCGGAAGCGCCCCAAGACACACATGGGATCGATCCCCGCGTCCCTGGCCCACCGAGCCCTCCATCCCTCCTAGGTCGGAAAATTGATACCTGTGTGGGAGGATAGCAGCACTGGCTCGATACGTTGGTACCCGCGAGTCATTATGAAGGCCAGATATTCAATTACTTCCAACGATGGTTAATGAAGTCGAGTGCATGACCGCATCCCTCAGGGATTGATCAAGGCGGGAGCTTTATCGTTTATTTTAATGTATACTGAGTATTTCAGCAGGATCTCCAAGCATGTGTTGTCTTCTGCTTCGGTCTTTTTGTTTCTAGCTATATAATTCTCTTTTGGTCTACATCCATTTTCAAATGTATAATGGAAAGTAAAATTTTTTTCTTTAACATTTTATCCTCTGTTTCCAGAGGGAATATGCTGCCTGTGCAAATTCTGAAGGAGAACGCACAGGAAGAGCGTGGTGCTACGGCTCGTCTGAGCTCTTTCGTCGGTGCCATAGCTATCGGAGACCTCGTGAAGTCCACCCTAGGGCCCAAGGGAATGGTTGGTTCCACACGTCCACACTTCGTTTTCTCAAGTGTCATACTAATTTTCAGGACAAAATCCTCATCAGTGGTAGCGGAGAGCACCAGGGAATTAAGGTTACTAACGATGGTGCCACAATTTTGAAGTCCATCGGCGTAGATAATCCTGCTGCAAAGGTTCTCGTTGGTTCGTTTCATTTTCTTTGTCGTGGATTCCACTTTGTTCTAGGTATAACCCTTGTTTGGTCAATAAGAAAAATGTTTTTTTTTTGATGCGAAAAGCTAAGTGGGTCATCTGGTTTTTGTAGATATGTCCATGACGCAGGACAGTGAAGTTGGTGATGGAACAACTTCTGTTACCGTACTGGCTGCTGAATTGCTGAAAGAGGTTCGCTATAACACATAGTCCTCTAATTAAAATTTTGGTGAACTCGGGATGGAATTGAGTTAGAAATTTGGTCAAGTTTCGTAGTTACTTTAAAATTATCAGTGCGCATCCTATCTATAACCGAGTGTATAGGCCGAGAAACTCATCGATCAGCGCATCCATCCACAAACTATCATATCTGGATATCGTCGAGCATTAAGCATCGCCCAGAAGGCACTTCTCGACTCTAGTGTCAACTCGGGGTTCGTTTTTTTTCTCGTATCAGTTTCATAGTTTGAGTTCATTAATTTATGAGAGTTTTGCTGAATAGCCAGGCAACGGCTTACCACGTCTTCGTGGTCGGGAGGTGTTCCTGGGTGCCGGGTTGTGATGTACAGTGGGGAGCTTCATCACCCCGGCAGGGTATCCCAAGCTGAGAAAGAGTCTAGCGTTTCCACCAGGTAGCTCAGCTAAGAGCAAATCAGTACCCAGGATCCACCACCGTCCTGGTATCAGACTAGTCATATGGTGACAAATCTTTCTCTGATCTACAACGGTGGTGACTATCTGTGATGGTGACGACCTGGGGCAGTCTTTGCCCAGGCTGACCTCGGGACTCCAGGGAAGCACAATGGCTAAACCAACAAAACTCCGAAAAATGAAGATTATGCTGGGACCCGTGTAACCAGTGAGGACGGACCGTTCAAGCATCCAAGTGGGAAATTGGTTAAGCATAACAAGTTCTTGAAAGTAGTTGAATTGGTTGTGTGCAGTACTGTGGGAGTTACAAATGTGTTCAAGAAGAGATATGTTTAACGTTAAACGATTATATAGAGAGAACATGAAGGAGGATCTGCTCAAAATCGCACGCACAACTTTGGGGTCAAAGATTCTGAATCAGCACAAAGAACATTTTGCCAAGTTAGCTGTTGATGCTGTTCTGAGGTTGAAGGTATGGATTGCTTCCATATTTAGTCCAGTTGTTTTTTAAACTATTTCCATATTTTATTCAGGGCTCAGGACATCTCGATGCCATACAAATTATCAAGAAGCTTGGAGGGTCTATGGAGGAATCATATCTGGACGGCGGTATGTTCAACTAAAACTGGATGGGGAAGTGAGCGTGCATCGTTAACATGTTTTAGCCATAATAAACTATTCAGGTTTCCTTCTGGAAAAATTGCCAGGAATGTACCAACCGAAAAGGATTGAGAAAGCTAAAATTCTTATTGCCAATACTCCGATGGATACGGACAAGGTGGAGACGTTTTTGTTGTTCAATTTCCTCTTTGTAGTGCAACACAAATGTTTAATATGTCACTGCAAAGGATCGTTATGTGGTTTTAATCCACTTATAAATATTACATCTTTGTATAGGTGAAAGTGTTTGGATCTCGGGTACGTGTAGACTCGGTTGCAAAAGTGGCTGAATTGGAGGCTGCTGAGAAGCTCAAAATGAAGGAAAAGGTACACTTCATCCTTCAGGCGTATAGTGGGATCTTGTTCATGATATACATGTTAGTGTGGAATTCTAGGTCGATAAGATTCTGGCCCATAAAGCCAATGTTTTCATCAACAGGCAGCTGATTTACAACTATCCCGAGCAATTATTTGCTGACGCAGGTGTGATGGCCATTGAGCACGCTGATTTTGAGGGTATTGAGCGACTAGCCCTAGTTCTAGGTAAGAATTTTCTTTGGAAAGTTTTTATCGAACTTTTTCTCTCTTTCAGAATATATAGACATACGTTTTTCAGCCTATTATTCACACTATTTTTACATTGTTGTTGAGGTGGTGAAATTGTTTCTACATTCGACACACCTGAAACTGTCAAGTTTGGTTCATGTGATCTCATAGAGGAAGTGATGATCGGCGAGGACCGCCTGCTTCGCTTCAGTGGCGTTCCGCTTGGTTTGTTCTTGATTATTGAAACTTAATTTCTTGATCTAGTTCATTGACACTTTCGTGACTATCAGATAATCTTGTGGTCTCATATATATACTGGTATGTTTTATTTATCCCTTCATCGTTAAACAAGCATATCTCAGCTCGTAGATGACTTTATTACTTGAGGTAAAAGCTTTTACAGTTTACAAGCTATGCTAATAAAGTACAAGTTTTCCGGTTTAACCACGTTGAAATCCTGACGTTTCTTGTAGAGGTTCATATATGGAGCAGAAAAGGCAGCATTTTGTATACCAGAGTATAAACAATGTTTCCGACTTCCTTCCTTATTAAATTTGAAGTTTATGGTTGTTTGAAAGCTTTAGCTTTTAAACGGAGACTAAATGTACATTTTAGTTAAGATTTATGTGTCCGTCAAATGATTGACGAAAGTTTCTGCTAGTTCTGGAGCTTCTCAAGTACTCTGGTCCAAAAACTATTAGTAGTAATCGAACAACTAGCGTCATTGCTAATGTTAGTCATTACGTATGTGTTGTATCTTATATAGTGTTCTGTTACTACATCTTTGCATACGCTCCTCATTCGCTTTACCTTTCACAGTTCAACAAAAGTTTATTTGACAGGTGAAGCGTGCTCCATAGTGCTGCGAGGTGCTACTCAACAGATTTTGGAGGAGGTAGAGAGGTCGATTCATGATGCGCTCTGTGTTCTTGTAACACATGTTAAAGAGTCCAAGACTGTAGCGGGAGCCGGTGCATCCGAAATTCTCATGAGTACCGCAGTAATAGTCGAAAGCCAAAAGGTGCGTGGGAATATTCCGGTATCATTAGCTTGTTGATAGTGATGTTCTGTGATTTCAGGTAGCAGGAAAAGAGGCACTAGCTGTGGAGTCGTTTGGTCGAGCATTGGCTCAGTTACCCATTATCATCTGTGATAATGCAGGTCTCGATAGTGCGGATTTGGTCACTAAACTGAGAGCTGAGCATGCGAATGGCCATCATAATATGGGAATCGGTAAACTGTCCTCTATTAATTTTTCATACTACGCTTTTTGTTCCGAATACGGTCGAGAGAAAAGTGGAACGAATGACTCGCATGGTGTGGTGGTGAACGCGTTAGCCCCATAAAAGGTAGCAGCGTGTTCGATCTCCACCGCGTGCACCTGCAGTTCGAAGTTTTGCAAATATCTCAGTATCATTGCAGTTATATTTTACTACGTTTTTTATTGAGGTCTAGTTCAAAATGTTGGGTAGTGATTGCTTTGGGATTTTAAAATACGATTAGTCTACCAAGGCAGTCTCTTAATGAAAGACATATTCTGTTGACTTGACGGTGTGAATTCTGTGTGATTTATAGTGGTTCTGTAAGTTTGTTTAAATGACTTCGTTCAGATATTGAGCATGGTGGGATCGCGGACGTAGTGGCATTGGGAGTGGTGGAGTCGTTCAACGTGAAATTGTGTATGGTTTCGAGTGCTGCTGAAGCTGCCGAACAGATTCTTCGTGTGGACGACATCATCAAATGTGCACCACGTGCTCGCGCTCCTGACAATAGGCCATGCTAGTCTAGAAGTTGTGGAGATCTTACCTCCCTCCTTGTTTTGTTGAATTGTTATGAATTGATTTTTGCCGATCTTCTCAACCCCGGCCACATTTTGATATCCATAGTAAATAAGCTGACCTGCTTTGTGTTTTTATCACTTTCTATTTTGCATCTTACTATTCTTCATAAACCTGTGCACCAAATTCACTGGGCTTTATTCCTATGTTTGTTGTGATCGATGAGTTCAGTGAGACCATGGCCAGCTTCTGCGTGCTGTTTGCGCAATAACGTGAACTAGAGTGGTTCCTGAAGCTCATTCCTGTTGTATGTTGCTTGTTATACTTTCTCCAGAGCCCTGCTTGATGAAGCGGCAAGTCATTTTCAGTCCGTTATGTAGTTGGGTTTTTTCGTCATCCTTTTTCACTGATATCCATCGCCAAATATCTTTCCTGGCTAGAGGACGTCTCTCGTAATTCGGCCAACATGCGATTGAACACTTTTTCCATGCTCTGGCAGTACAAAAAGAAGCTGTTTCATCCCTCATAAGAATTTTTATCCCCATAAATACCATTCTCTTTTCCGTCAATCCATTTACTTCTCTAATTCATTAATTCCCTGGTCGAACCTACTTTTCGGAGCCACATCGTTCTCTTGAAGTTCATCGTACTTCGTCTTCATAGGGTGGGAACATTCTTTTCCTTTCCCACTTTATGAACAAGTATTACGCTTTTCCATCTGTTTAACGTGATCAACGCAGTAATCATTACCGGACCCCATTGTTTCCAATTGCTGTTTTTGTGCAATTAGTTCTTATATGATCGGCTGGAACCATTTGGTTACGATCAGTAGCAGCGCAGAAGTTGCTTCTTTCCTCGTTTGTTCCTAGCATTCTCGAGTTCAGATTTCTTTGTAGACCGTTTGTTTCTACATGTACTAGGGCGGTATGGTATTCCGGAGCGATTCAGCTGGGGCTTTGAATGTGGATTGTGTAATGAAAGCGATTGGTTTCTCATAGGTCTGGGATGTTTATGATGCACTGCAACCATTAGTTTTCTTCAGCATCGTGGTTTTTCCCTGTTAACAACTTTTATCGCTTCTCTACACCTTATGGAATGAAAAGTAATATGTGAAGCCTTTACTGTCTGAGGTTGAAGTTGTGTAAAATAAGCGGTCTTGCTAGTAGAGGTTTTCGAGTCTACACGAAGAAGCAATATCATGTGCATCGTATGGCAAAGGGTTGCAGTCAGTCCATCAAGTTATCAGCGAGTGCTGGGCTGCGTGGTAGGTGGTTCGGATGGAAGTGTTAGCTGAATTCTCTTGACGCTAGACCCGGTTTTCCAGACTGGAACGTAATGGGCGCGTTTCGAAAGTTTTATAACTAATAAGTTTTTGTGTCGGCTAACCCGCTGTCCGAAATGTATGCATCTACTCGTTTTGTGATCAACCGTCGGCTTGGGCTTGATCTCGCTATGTTTTTTGTTTCTTCTTTTACTAACACTTTTCTGCAATCGCTTCTCTTAAGTTTAGGAGAGTGAGGACTTTATGAGAGAACAGAAAAAAGGGAGATTGTGAGGTGAGAAGGTGTATCATGCCAGTCTTTAAAGTGGTCCATCCGGAAATGACTCCCCGATTACTTGAGCAGTGCAGTCACTTTCATGTGCTCTCAGAGGAAAACTATTGTAGTTGAACAGGGCGAAACAACCGGTATGCATAGCCTAAGGAACACAAACATATGTGCACGTGTCACACTGTCACAAATAACGAGTTAAAAGTCATTTTATCAACGACGTTTTAGGTCTAATGGGACCGGAACCTTTTGCAGCCTGTAGGGAAACCAGACCGAAAATATTCATTGCTAACTAAAATGTTTACATCTAAGAACTCTCAAGAATGCAGCATTGTTGTTGGCTAGATTCGCTCGAGAAAGCATAACCTAGCCGATTTTAGCGGAAGTACGCCAGGAACTGCGTGGAATTTGCTGATGAGTTTTGTGGCAGCTCAGGCACATGCTGCTTCTTGACTCCAGTCCACCAACACCGGCCCGGCTCGACCGACCGGTCAGCTATTTGCTCAGCGGGCGCCTCCCTGCGCAGCGCCTTGCACACACCGTAGCAGTGCCCTCCCGCTCGGCCTCCGGCACCGTACTGCGTCGTCGTCCGCTGCCGTTCTGAGCATTCCAGCCGCTTCTGATTGCCTATATTGACAGAATATCAACCTGTCGCGATAATCTGGCAAACAAGATGTCTATTCCGCCTTCACGGGCGCAATCGGAGGTTTATAATCCTTTCTGTAGTTATCTCTATTCATTTCTACAAATAAGAAATTCGTAAGGAGATTAGCATGTATATATAGAAAGTAAAAAGAACCAGCCAACGCCAGCGAAGTTTCTCACAGTGAGCAGTAAGTGGTTTCTAACAGTTCGGGCCAGGATTTCTAGTCGTACTTTTCCTTTTATTTCGAGTCTGATCGAGATTTCTTCAAGTTCATAGAATTCTCCAGTTGCAATCGCACAGCCAAGTACGAGAAAGACGCTCGATCGTCTCTGTAGGTAGGATAGGATTTGCGAACGTCGCTAGCGCGTAATGTGAAATAACTGTCTGTTGTGTCCATGTTCAAGCCGAAAGGGATATATTATGTTCTTACACGTCTTAGATTAGCCCCGAATACTTTGGTGACTTTCTAGTTCAGAACATCGAACTCTACCGTTCATCGTTTCATGCTTTTACACATTCTGTTTATTTGCACTCAAAGTGTTTCAACAGCCCACAAAGTAAATGTGATATTTCATGGAACACGCGAGAAATCCCATGTTTCGTATTTTAGGCTTCCAGTTTGTTTTCAATGTTTCTGGATTACATTGATTTTCCATTTCTTTCGATAACGGCTTGGAATATTAACAAAAAAGTTTCTACTGCGGTCTCCTCTAGCGCTGTTCATCACGTTACCAACGTTATGTACTGAAAAATCAGTGTCAGACTAGGAGATAATGCCCTATCCAATTTGCTGGAAGTTCCATCTCCAGTTCTTTTCATCTTCTGTGTAGTTTTCCTTCTCAACTAGACTGCAGTTTCTGTCTTCGTGGCCAACATGAAATGAAGAAAAAAAAAACAAAACTTGAAATGTTGAGGAAAAGGACACTCTCTATGAAACACTTTTTTCTAGCAGTTAAAGAAAGTGTTGAAGAAACTCTTTCATAAATAGCGAATATATTGATTACTTCAGCACATTTAGACTTAGAGATAAAAGCTGCTTTAAAGTTGTACGCGTCCATCCGTTCACGAGGTATATGTAGGTGTACATTGCAACGATTGCACCCATAACAAACTTATTGTCGGAATTTAGAACATAATGTGTGAGCCACTAAGCAAACACTGAGAAACGTGTTAACGTTGGAGTGCAGATTCCAGCACGGGGTGTGGGTGGCGTTGGTGTTGGCGCACAGTCATCCGTTTCACGTCCTCCAGACTTCGACGAAGCCGTGTCTCGTCGTTTTTTCATTCAGCATCTGACGGGAAGAACACGTACTGTTTATCCTCCCTCTTGGCGCGTAATGTTGGCAGCACACAGTCCGTGTACTATAAACTCAGAGAAAAGATTACTTGGGGAAATAATGCGTTGTTTGGCGCTTGTAAATACGGAGCCGGAGAACGAGGCGGAAATGGGAACTGCCTCAGAAAATCAGGAAACAGTGAATATTCTTTGGGAAACGATTGCGTTTTGGAAGAGTCACACTTGTATAACCTTAACGCCTCCCTTTCTATCATTGTTTTTCTCGTTGCTTCTCAACGAGAAATTTATGTCACAGATTGAAGACCAGTAGAGATGCTGTCGATGACAAAAAGAAGAAGGCCGGAAATAAGGTAATGATGACCTGTGCAACTTGTCATCGCCCTTATAGAAGGCATGGTAATTAGTAAGCACTTCGACACGTAGAAGTGAATATACTTCGAAATCATAGCGAAGTTGCTATTGAAGAGCCAAGGTGATTCAACACAATTTCCAATCCATATGCAAGGGACCGGAATGCCCATATTCTCTTTGGAGAACAGTCACTAGGAATTTTTGCCATAAAAGGTAGAGTTGCAAAAAGATATTTATAAAGGGTGGTAGAAGCTCTAGGTGCTCTAGATTGTTATCATTCACAACAAGGCTTTTCTTCTATAGACTTAGTCGTTGATTATGGATTCAACTACGCGTTGTTTGACGGACATGGAGAGCTAAAGAGATTGTGAAAGAACACTGGAATTTAAATGCACAGGCTGATTTCTTCCCCATAAGAGTTTCTCATGCTCGGTGTTACGCTGTTACAACTTTGGTGTGTAGCTCTTACAAATAAGGTTCGTTCTTATCATGAAAAGCGAAATGGTCAAATGAATGGAAAAAAGAAGCGTTTAGGCAGTTTTTTAGACAGGTCTATGTGGTAGTTACGTGAGAGATATGGTTATATGAGAAAGAGGAACAAGCTGTGGTGGTTCGACTACTGCGAGAACAACCTGTACTCTCTCAGTTCATTTTCAGTTTTAATTCAAACTTCGTAGCATAGTCAAATGCAAAACAGTCTTCTTTATAGGTTACGGTAGTGAAATAAGTGAACAGATGAAACATGTACTGCAAATTGCCTTTGTAATAGCGCCGGGTAGGTTAAGCTAAGCTATCTCTGGGCAGCATCTCAAAGAGTAGCAGTGTTGTTGGCTATTCTGAGTTATTAGGTGAGTGAAATATGGGAAAAAAAAACTCATGCAATTTAAAAATTGTATCCAAAAACACAAAATGTTGCTGTTTGCAGGTGTTTTCTGCGTCGCAACCCGGTGGCCTAGCGATCCAAACTCGTAGACCAATGGTCAACTATTTTATTCTTCCCACATTCATTCTTCACGTGGTGGGGTTAGCCTGCCTTTGGGCTCTCTGGTACTACCTGCGGTGAGTTTCTGCATTTGCTCTGTCCTTCTCACACTTCCTCCTTCGAGTTGTAAGAACACTTAGGAATTGAGATGCATGTTCTTGCCGTTATATTAACTGTAAATGTCCTGTAATGATAGTGGAGATTTTGCGAAGAAGACCGTTACCAAGAAATGCTTTTCACAGAATGTAGTTTTCTTCATCTCGTTTTTAGTAGAGGAACATAGAACCCACTCAAGTAGCCCAATTAAAATATATTCTTCAACATCTTCGTTTTCGACTATTCTTCCGATTTCCGATATTCTACGCAACGGTGTCAAGGCATTAAACCTTTAATTTCTTCCAGCACTTTTTCCATCTTTGGAGCATCATTCTGTTGATATCTCAGACATCCTAGTTTTTTTCTTCTTTTGTTTCTGTGACGACCCTACACTTATTCATTTTTTTGTGAAGGTGACAAATTTTGCTGCTATACTGAGCACAACGTAGGCTGGTATGTGAGCGAGTAACTTAAACTGCAGTTTCAAAGCTGCTTCTCATTTATAGGGACATACGAAAAAACAGTGCAGTGGATTGATGGATTGATGGATTGATGGGAGGCTTAAGTTTGCAAGTTCCATAAAATATTAGAGCTTGAGATATGAACAAAGTTCGCTACCCCAGTTGCGCATAGAACTCGTGACTACCCTTTGCAGGGGCTCACATGCTATCCACTGCCCCAATCGAGGCCCTTGCTTTGCCTTTCCTCCGCCCACTTTTTCACTCTAACGGCGCTATCGGCAGTCACTCTTCTAGAGTAGTGGTCTAGGAAGCCTAAATCGATATTAAATTTCATAACTTGAATTTTGGTTGTGTTTCACATAATACCCTGTGTTGAAAGAGAATACTATTTTAGCCTGAGCTAGTTTTATTTTTTTAAACTTTATTTTACCCGACCCGTCATCACAGCTACTTTGTGGATCTCAGCATTTCTCACATTCGGTTCATTTCCTTGCATACATCATCCACGAATGTCTTCCAACTTTTACATGTGGCTTTGGCTGCTGCTTAAGGATTTTATTTCATCTTGAATGTCATAGAATTTTGGTTGAGTCGACTTTCCGTGTAGCTCTGAGATAGCTGGACAGGAGCGTTCCCAATTGGACTGCAGGATGTAATTTTTTCCCGACCAAGTGCGATACCGATTTCTCGACTGCAGAGAAATGAGAGGGCCGGTGAGCCTGGGATGGAATCGAACCAGCGACGTGCTCGTGATGATCTTATTACTGCCGGTGTGCTACCCGCCTCTAGTTTCGTTACCAGATAACGACCATTTTTGTAAATTCACATACAGAAGTCGTTCATCATCAACGGATTTGGTGTTCTTCTTCAGTAACTGGCGTACTCCGGTTTGTAGATGCTAGCGCTTTACGTTTCTCTTTTAGTTTGACAACTAGCAAACTTTAGGACAGAACTTTAATTTATCAACTGAGGAATCAATAGAAACAAAAATAATGAGTCTCTATGTTAAAATTCGGTTGAAGTCAAAAGTTAATTCAAATGGAATGCACGTATTTTATCTCAGTTCAAAAACTGGTAACGCAAGGCTTCTGTTCAGGTTCACCACCGTCTTTCCATTCCATCATCGCGTTTTCTACTGCCGTGATGTGGATCTGTACAAGCCGAACTATGTACCTGAAGATTTCAACGTCTACGTTTCTGATACACTTCTGTACTCTTTAGGATTTACGTTACCACCACTTGTGGTAGGTTAAGCGTTTTCGTCAACAAAATGGAATTTCTCCTCACTACATTTCCGATTTTTATAATAGTTAGCGGTTATTTATGTTTATGTTTATGTGCACTAGTTCTCTTGACAGCACGTGTAGCGCAGTGGTAGGCCCTGCTCTGCAATAATACACATGAGGTCGGTTCCCGCACCTCAGGCCCCCATCCCTCCGGTGTCGGCAAATTGGTACCAGACTTGTCTGAAAGCATAGCAGCACTGGTTCGATGCATCGGTAGACCACCGCAAGTCACTGTAAAGGCTAGTTGTGCATTCGATCACTTCCAACGATGCTTAATGAAGTCGATTGCATTGCATATCTTGCGTATCTCTCAGGTGTAGATCAACGCCGAGAGTTTTATCCTTTTTTATTTTTATTAGTTCTCTTGACAGCGGATAGAGCTTTTAGAGCACTAATGTTAGAGAGAACGAGTGCGAAATAGAATATTTTACGTAAGGAAGCTGTGAAACTTCAGAGGAAATCAAAGTAGCGATTTGGCATTTCTCGTGACAGGAGTGGGACTCGACTATTTAGAAGTTTTTGTTGTAGTCCCTTTATCAGCTCCCTTTACCTTTCACTTGAGCAGTTCTCAAATACACCTTCCACAGTGACACCGTTCATAAAGTATGGTGTCATTTACTTTCAGTGGTCTACCCCTGTTCCATATTCAGTTAGCGTAGAGAGTTTGGGAAGTTCCTTAGTTTCAAGTTGTTCCTTTGTTGGTTCTACGCAAATTCTGCAGCTAGAATTTCCACGATTTTTCGGAATTCTATAAGGACACTAGCATACACTGAATTGATGATGGTAGCTTACCGAAATTCTTATTTACAAATGCTGTATATATGCTGAAGTGATTGTGAGGCGACGCAGTGGTCTCGGAAATGTCCTTCATATCTACGTAACTCTCCGTCGGACCATATGTTCGCCTTCGGAAGGAGATGGATTCAGATTATGAGCTCTCTGTCGCCGAAATGACGTATATTTTCTATATGTACATGTATGTATTCATACTATGGTTAAACTTTCGAGTACGCGGACTATATTATGCATGCCGATTTGCTTGAAAGCTTGCAACCAAATGACCAGAAGGTATTCAAGAGGCGCTTTCGAGTCACCTTCAAGGAATAAGTTTTTAAGTGGACTGACTACTCGTAGTGGTAGTTACCTCCTACTTTTTTGTCAAGAACAGGAAAAGTAGAGGAAATCATTTCATACTGGATTATCCACTGCGTGGAATGAGCTGGGCGATTTTGGGTAGGGCATGAATGCTAGGTTCGTTTACGACAGCTTTGAGGGCGAGCTGTAATGCTTCCGGTATTTCTCTACTAGCGAGTGTTCATGAGTCCATTTAAGGCAAAGACAGATGGAGATGTTGACGCTCTTATAGGATATACGTTTTTCGCACATTTGTAAAAGTATTGCATGTGACTGTCGTCTTTTTTCATTTTATTCTACATGGCCCGAAATCGCGTATACCGAACTGGTTATACCAGCCTTCTCGCTTTCTCAGTTCGTTTCCTCGCATTCACTATCCACGAAGGTCTTCGAACTATACTTTTGCATGTGGGTTCAACTGCTACGTGAGGATTTTTATCTTCGTTACGAATTTCGTTTAATGTTAGTCGAGTCGATTCTCCATGGAATCCTCGGATGACCTCATGGAGCGTCCCCACTTGGACTGGAGGTAATTAACCGCCTCAAGATAAGTCTGATGGCAATTTTCCGACCTAGGAGAGATTGACTTGATAAGCCTGGGGCGGGGTTGAAACAGTACTGTGTATTTTTAGTATTAAGACGGAAGTTCTATAAACATTATTGAGTGCTTTCTTTTTCTACGTCTTTTTATCGTAACAAATGGGTTTGAAAGAGAAGATAAAAAATACAACAGAGCTCGTCCATCGACGACTTGCTTTGTATGGAATTGGCCGCACAGTGTTTGCGCTGCAGCTGTGGGTCCTCGAGGACGTCTTGTTTGGCGATTAGGCGATTTCGCATCGTTCAGCACAACATCGTCTTCCACTGTAGCTTATTTGGAAGAAAAGGAGGGAATTCTGTTTGTAGACGGTTATTTTCTTTAACATGCAATGCCCCAGGTCTGTTTTCCGACGACACAATGTCTATCACTATCACTGAAGTGTCTAAAGAGCTGAGGACTGCATAGAAGAAAGCGTACTGCATCGCCTTCTTTGCATATGTAATCTTTATACAATATTCTTCTAATTCCAATCATGTTTGGAACTCAAATCGTAGAAAACCCGGAAACAAATTTTAAATGTTTGAAATTTTCAACACAAGAGCGTATACTACTCGACAGTATCCCATTTGTTCATTTGCTTTCGTGTTTCAAGTATGCGCCTTGACGCAAAAAAGTGAGAAATATGCCGTGGGCTCCAGAAAATCAGGATTTCATCTTAATGGAGTAAGACATCCTCTAGAGAAAGATCTATGGATTCTCATGTTTATTTCAACTAATGCAGTTCACTACAAGCAAATATGTGTTGGTTTATTGTTTGTAGTGGTGAGGTTATGGTTAAATGAAACCATTTTCATATCACATGCATTGTAACCAATGCACCTCATACGTCATGTGTTATGGAATGGAATATGTTTCTATGTTTCTTTCCACATAGTGCTAGAATATATAGGGAGCAGATGACGTAGTGGTAGCGATGTCATTCACTACTAGAGCGGTGCTGGTTCGAACCCATGTCGGACTCATCAAGCCTTTCGTCACTCCAGTATCAGGAAATTGATACGACACTTGTTTGGCGAACAATTCAATCTCTGCAGTCTAAGGGGGATGGTCTAGGCAGACTATCCCAGGATTCCAACGAGAATGGACTCGGCCACTATTTAGCGGCATTCATAAGAGAGAAGACGACAATTCTCAACTAGTAACCGATGCCGCACATGAACAGTTCGAAGACCTTCGTGGATGGTAGGTGCGAGGGAATGATTCGAATGGGGAATGTGCTAGAATTCATAGGTGATGTGAAGGCGTGTGTAAAATGTTTTATTTCCTTCACTTGAATAGAATAAAAATGGCGCTAGAAAAGAAATAGAAAATCGTTCAAAACTCGGAAAGCTTGATTCAGGATTGCTGCGTGGATTTTTATTGTTGTGGGTAGGATACAAGCTCTGTGGGAAGGAAACAAAGCATCGGAGTTGTACGATATTCTTGCTAGACATTTTGTTTAAATGACAATCTAGTGATGTTGTAGATATTCATTGGCGAGGTGATGTTCTGGCTTTTTTCAACGAAGCCGCGGAAAATGGTGTATGCGAACTGCGCCGAATGCAAAGTGCACCTCTTCACGAGGAGACTTCTGAGATTCATCGGTTAGTCTATATTTTTGTTTTGCAGATTTGCAGGGTATTCCAACATTTTGAAATCTCTATTTGTTCTCTGTGCCATCTTTTCAATATCCATTCACCAATTGTTCTATAGTAAGGATCTTCTTGGTTATGAAACTAAAACTTTTAGCCTGGTTCTAGTCCAGGTAAGACGCTGTTCTGAGAAAAAGTTGACAAGAAACTAGACAATAAATGTAACTCTATGTCAGAAGGTACCAAAGGTCTGTCAGAGTTTATGGCAAGATGGCAAATGTCATCATTTATATAAGGACCTATTTTGTCTGTAATATAACATAATACGGTAACAGCACGTCTATCTCTGGACTCTAACAAAAGACGATTCAGTCAAACAGTGAAGGGCGAGTCTAGTGAAAGTATGTTGAGATTGGTGCGGTCTTCAAAGTTGGAGCAGTTTACTATCCAGGTAGTATTGAATGAATTTCCATGTAGTTTTCCGGCTATTTTCCGTTTCGGACCGGTGGCGATGCAGATTGACTACGTGTTCTGTAGTGATAATGGTTTACCCACAGGTGATACGCTACTGATCCTTTTTATGTAAAGAATGCTGACATATGAGTAAAGCTAGTCTTTTTCATAACTAATTCGTTAGTAGAACTAGTCTATCTGAAATAAGCAGTCTTCAGTCATCCTTGTCGAATCACGGAGTTGACCAGCGAGTTCGACTTCCTAGAAAGGTAATATCTTAACTTCTATTTACTCCCTATTCTTTTTTCATAGCAAAGTACGATTTGAACTATAACCACGAAGTTGTTGAGTATGAACAAAGTCAGATCCTCTGGTGGGCTTCCAACTCGCAATTATCCTCACCGGGGATCCATGTTGTATCCACCACTCCAACCAAAGTTCTTTCTTTACCTTACTCTCAAGGATTTTTTTTTACTGTAATTCTACTACGTAAAAAAGAATAAAGAGTAATTAAAAGCTAAAACATTGTGATTTTGACTCTAGCTTCAGCTTAACTGGGTTCATTGCCGATTTGTGCTTCCAAGATCATCCATGTTGACGCGTGATTGTTAGCACTGAAAGAGTAACAAACTGGCTGAGAGAAGGTAGGGGAAGGGCTATCATTGATAGTGTGGATAGCACGTGAGTCCTTGTTGTTAAGGGTAGTCGCTGGTTCGAAGCCCATTTGATGTTCCGGGTTTTACTGATGTCTCAGTATCCTTGTCTCGAATGAGTCGAATAGCATCGTCGTCTCGTATTCGGCTATTTTGAAAGGTTAGTCATGGTAGCGGTACATCAGAGAAGAGAAGTCAATCTTCCAAATCCAACTACCTATCGCGTACTGCAGGTGGTTGGAACGAAATTGAGACGGAAGACCTTTTATCATTGGTGCGGTGCAGGTTGTGTTTCGACTGATGTCAAGCAACGTGATGTCTAAACTTTGAGAAAGTCGCTTGTTCTATCGAGGTGTATTGTCCTTCTTTTACATGACCCATCTTCACATCTATTGTGCAGGTTCTAGGATTTCTTACATTTGTTCTTTTTCACCCATCATCCGCGCTGATCTTCGAATTTTCTGTATGGTTCCGCTGCTTCTTTAGGGTTGCTGCCTTCTTTATGAATGTTGATTGGAATCAATTCTTCCTCGAATTCCGAAATGGCTATGCTATAGCGTTTCTGCGTTGGTTTAAAGAACTGAATTGGGTCCACACATCTGGTACTAATTTTCCGACCCGACGAAGATAGCAGACTTGCTTGACCGGTGCGAGTTCGAACCTGCACCGTGCTCGTTACGGACGGCATCACTACTACTGCGCCACCCTATATTGTGCCTTCGTCTGCTGTTTTTTCTTGAAGTTGTTTTTTAACGTAGGCTACGCTGTTGATGTTCTAATGGTCGCTTATAAATCAATAATCCTGCGAAATAATTCAAAAACGCCTCGAAGGCTCACTCTACATGCCCCAGTATATGGGGTTCATAAGTTCACGGTCGTCGCCATTTTCCTGTGGCGATCCCATCTTGCCGCATGTCATTGTAGCACAACTGAGATCCGCATTGAAATCAAGATCTACTATCGGAAGCGTGCTGCAGCGTACATATTGGAATGAATGTAGATGGTCGTGAAGGGTTAACTGAAATTTTATTGTAGAAACAAGTCTGTCCTTATTGAACAAGTCTAACTCAGTCTTAATAAGTGAACATGCTCCAATTCAATAACTGATGACCTAGTTGGACAAAACAGGTCCCAATCGTAATGACACGTCCATAATACCGATGCGTATCCAATAACTAGCTGCCACAACCACGCGGTTCCCGAACCACCGCGCAAGCAAATTTGCACTGGAGACGTAAGCACGCATTCCCGTCAATGTAATTCTCATAGGAAGACGAAAACTAGTCAAGGCGAAACTCGTATGCCATCTATCTATGAAGATACTTGACGCAGCAATATGTTTATCACCTTCAGAAAGAGAGTCTATGTCATAACTCAAAAGACCGACTTCCTATTAACCTCGGCATAAACAATCGATATATTCGTTCATATGTTCTTATGAACTGGCGAACTCAGTCCAGTGGCGTCTCACTCGTAACAGCACGGCTCCGACCAACAACAACAACAACGGCAACTACACTAACCTCGCTTCAGATCAACAAGATCAGTCCATAAGAACATATAAATAAGTCTACGTGATAGTGTCTTACTTAATATAGATCTATTTCTGATTTAAAAATGGTAAATCCTTCGGCGTTGATCAATCCCTGATGGATGCGTCGCGTCATGCATTCGAATTCATGAAGCATCATTAAAGGCGATTGAATGCCTTTATGACTTATACGATGAATCGCGGTGGCCTATCGATTTATCCAGTCAGTGCTGCTATCCTCGTAGACATGTTTCGTAACAATTTTCGATCCTGGAGTGAAGCATAGCTTGGTGAGCTTTGGTCGCGGGTTCGAACCCATGTGTATTGCAGAGGGACTCCGACCACCATGCAACACGCGGCTTTTTAACGCGACTATGGGCTTATCAGGCCCAGTCGGTTACAGCAGAAACGTAATTCACGAAAAAAAATTTTGTAAAGACGTCGAATAGGCTTGTCAATAAACGAAGGCGTTGATTAGTCCTCACGGTGAGCGTAGCGCAGTAGTTACTAGTTGCTGCGATACACACGTGCTCATTAGTATGAACCTCGCTTCGGTGTAACTAAGCTTTTCATCACCTACTTCGTGGTTGGCAAAATGGTGCCATGCTTATCTGGGAAGATAGCAGCACTGACTTAACACTTCGATTGGCCATCGCAAGTAAGGCTTTGTGCAGGACAGGTATGCTTTCAACCATCTCTACGATGCCTAATGGATTCAAGTGCATGGCGCATCTCTCAGGGGTTGATCAACTCCAGTAGTTTTATCCGTTATCCTTTGCCGATTAGTCCTTATATGACAAGGAACATCTTCCATCAGATGAAGGACGGCTTCCTTCACACAATATTTGTGTAGAACTCAGTATAGCAGAAAATTTATTCAATGCATGCAAAAAGGATTTATTTGCACAAATCATGGGTAACGACTTGTACACACATGCACTGCCATTTCGTTTCTAATGTGTTGATGAAGTTTGCTGCGAGTTGGCATGTATTTGAAATTGAAGGCTAAAAATAAAAATGAATAATGCGATTATCTATTAAATAGTTCACTTGCTGCTGTGAACAGTGGCACAGTGAGAGAGGTGCTTTACTATAGGCGGATGCACAAGACCTAGCATGGCAATCCCAGTATTCCAATGAGAACCGATTCAATCAGCACTTAGCGACATTCATGAAGAAAACCAAAAACCCTCAAGCACGAAGACCTTCATGGGTAGAGGGATGCGAGGAAACGAATCGAATGCAAAATATGCTGGGATCTGCAAAATGTGTAATACATTTGGTCAGGTCCTGCAAAAAATAAAAACTTGATACAGTTATTATTCGAAAGCACTGAAATGATATACGACTTGTTGAATCTTTACCAAAAACATTGTTCAAATAAAGCAAAACAGAACCTGTCGAATTCGTCACCACATAAACTTCTAAGGTCTCATAAATATTCCTAATGTTTATAACACTTAACAGGCTAGGTTCATCTTTTTGAAAGTTCTCTGGTATTGTAAACATATTATTCAAAGTAAGATGTTTATCTCTCCCAACGATTAACCGCCTCATCGTGGCTGAGAGGTGTTCCTTGGTGTCCGGCTGCGATGTACAGCAGGGAGATTTGTCCTTTCAGTAAGGCTGAGAAGGAATCAAGCGTTTCCATTAGGAAGACCAGCTAAGAGTAAGCCAATACCAGTATGCACCAACGTCCTAATAACGAACTAGTTGCATGGTGGCAAATCTTTCTTCGATCCACAAGGGCGACGACTTCCAGTTGTGGTGACGGTCTGGGGAAGACTTTCGTCTGGCTGACCTCGGCACTCCAGGGAACCACAATGGCTAAACCAGCAAAACTCCGAAAAAATGGAAATTATGGTGGGCCTGCGCAACCAGTGAAGACGGCTCATCCAAGTATCCAAGTAAGAAACATGTTTATTGGTCTAAATAACCAATCTACGAAATGAGTTGGTATACATGGTTATCACAAATTCTGAGAGCAACAGATGATTTTGAATGATATCCGCAGACGAAAACACCCGCTGTCAAAATATGAGGTCTCGGTTTGGTTTTCTGATTTTTAAAAGGTAGTAATCGAATGGCTCACCGAATGGAACCTCATCAGAGCTGTAAAATGACATCTCGACATTTCGCTCTGGCACATAAGTTCACACTGGCTAAGTTTCGCTGAGTGTGAACAAGCATCGTCGCTTAGGAGAAAGACACCTAGATATCTTGTGAACTGTCTTTGTATGATATCCGTCAGTTTTCCAAGTTTAGCACAACAGACGATTGTGTATTAACTCTGGTCTTGGCTGGGATCCAACTGTCGCTTAGAAAGCGCGACGCCCAATGCGAGAAATTTTTTCGCGGACAGAAAGCAGTTGTAAGCGACTGATTACCATAGGAGTAGTTTCCAATTCGCTTGAGGTATAAGATCACTCGGCTGCAAGTTGAGAAGACGACATTTTCAAATGATAGTCCTTTTTTAATTGTGGAGAACGTCTAATTTATACTGGCTTGGTTGGGAATTAATTGCTCTGATGTTACACTTGAACAGCTCAACAAGAAAAGCGCCTTAAGTTTATGTGTACTGGACCGCTAGCGATATTTCCTAGCCCGCAAAATTACCGCCTCCATGGAAATCACTTTTTTTACACATTATTAAGTATGCAGAATAGTATTGCAGGTGTTTTACCCAAAGCATCTGCGGTTAATAAGTTATCATGTGGTCATAAAAGACGTAATACGGGACAGCCACGAGTGGCTCTCTGGCATGCGCCATGGAAGTGCTTTATCCGGGCTTAGTTATGCAATCACCGAGCTCATTCACGGCTTGGGTGACATTGCCACTCGAAGACTCACCTAATGTGAGCCGTAGTTCGATAATTAGGAAAACGTTGCATACTTACATCATCGTTGCTGTTAGAAATTCGTTCTATTGCATAATAAAACCGAGGTCGAGGAAATCGCAGCATTTGCTAGTGAACCTAATATTTTTTATAGTGTGATAATTTGCGTAGAAGTGCGAATATTTACAGCCGTATTTCTGTGCGGTGCACTGGTGACGCAGATCTTCGTGGATACGATTAAGCTGATGACCGGTTACCAACGTCCGTACTTTCTCTCGTTATGTAATGTTTCAATTAGGTAAGTCACTTATTTGAGTAATGCCTTCATTTCTATTAAAATCCGGTGCACCAAGCTCAGAAAAGAGAAATGTATTGACTAGTGCATCTGTGTATTAAAGTGTCCGTAGAGGTCCTCTCTGATAAGCATCGAGACAATCGTACAATATAGAATCGACGAACCAAGATCACTGTGCATTATGATTGCTGAAACTAAGCGTAGATGAGCGCAGACGAGTGATTGCTAATGGTAGCTCGTATATAATGTTGAGATATTTGCAAAACTCCAGACCGCAGGTGTATGCGGTGGGGAGTTTTGCAAATATCTCAGCATTATATACGAGTTATATTTCGCAAGATATCCTGCCATTAAAAAGAACAAGGCAGTAAATAAAAGGGTTAAGCCAATGGTAGCGTTAGGTAGAAAACTAGCTAAGAGAGACGCAAAGTAAGTGTAATGAAGAGTTGGGTGCGGAGAGGAATGTTTCAGATTGTGTAATTGAGTAAGCCATGCGGGTCTTTGAGGTGTTAAGCTGATCGATCAGCCTCAGACGTGGGTAATTAAACCGTTTATATGCATAAATATAACTTAATAACATAATTATAACGATAGAAAAGTAGTGGCTCAAGAATCACGCAATTAACGCAACAGGAAATGGCACAGATCGCTTAGGGAAAGGAGACTCCAGAAAATTTCTGCTGGACGGTATTATTGCTCGGATGTTTGAAGAAGATTCAGTAAGTAATGTAGTGAATGAAGTAGTTTCCTGCCTTTTTACTTCATCCATTACGAATCCGCTCATTTCACTAGATTCAGATGTCTCGGCTGAATTCAAGGATTCTTTGCTGTGACAAATACTGGCACTGGAAACGTCCTTCGTGAAAACGTGCCCTATGCAATCTAGTCAACAGCGGAGGAGCTGACAGAGTTTTCGGATAATTCTATGAGCACGAACTCTGATACGATCATCAAATTTGTCGTCTTTACAAGACTACCAGTTTGCCCATGTCAGCAATTAAATAAATTGTTAGCAAAATTCGTAATTCATGCCATCATTGTACGGAACGACCGATGTTAATACGAGTTGAGCGAATCTTGATCACGCATTGAATAAAACAGCGGTATCGACCGTAAGATTATTGACATCTAGTCGGCGTATATTATCGAGGTAGGGGATATTCTTCAGAACTCTCACTAACTGCTGAACCAAATGACAATCAACATAGCACGCTGGAGCTGCATTTTATTCTCGAAAATCTTGAAAACAGCTGAAGCCATATTCCAAAACGGAACGGGATCCGTAACATTCTGTTCAAGTGTAACTAATATGGTTTGGGAGCTCGTTTCCTTCGACGTTGACTGGAGACAACATGAAGTATGGTGTCGTCTCTGGCATTTGAAGCAAGATGATTTCTTGGACTTAGGCTGTGGTGTGGAGATGCACAAGTGGCGCACAATTTGTTAGTTCGGAGGTATTGTGAGCGATCGTACGGCGTCTTGTACAGGTTGCAAGTGAACGATTTGTGATCGGCTGTACAGTACATGCAACATTACGTCTTGTCGGCGATTCACGATCCGTTCCTATTCTCTTGTTTGCTTGCTGACAGCAACTGACATTGATTGGCACTCTGAGGTGTGTTGTCATAGTTTTTCCTCCTTGGAGCTAACTTCTTCGATAAATTGTAGGAGTTGCTCCATCTGGAAGGGTTTCTCTATCACGACGTCATATTTCTTTTCGATCATTTTCCGCTGTATGTTATTAGGAAAATTAGTCAACATTTTCTGAAACCTACATTGAATGTCCACATTTTCACCTTTTGCTTTTAACTGTGTTAATACTAAGTTCAAATATTCGAATAGTTTCCGTTGATCGTGAACCGTAGTGGAACGAAGCTGGCTACTGTCAAGTTTGTCCATGAGTGTTATCATGAGTTTTTCCGAGTCTGCATACTTTTTGGTGAGAAATTCAACTGCTTTAGCACAGTTTTTCTTAATGAGTTGAAATTGCTTCACCGCATCGAGTGCTTCCCCTTGTAGCGAATTAAGCAAGTAATTGAACTTATGTAATTCTGGGATGCTCTGGGAATGTATGTTCGCTTCGAATAACTCGCAAGAATTATTCAATTCCCATATGTTAGCACTGGAAGTTGGTATCGGTAGTGTGGGTAGTTAGAGATGTCTTGCTGTAGCTATTGTTCGGGGAACTTCGACTGCTTGGATGTCCGTTTGTTCAGTATAACTATGTTCGAAATTATGCTTCCACTCTTTGACGCAATCCTTCGCAACGACTCCGTATAGTCCTCAAAAGCCGGCCGTTCGATTTGGGCGTCTTTTCCACTGATAGAGGACCATGCTTGGTGGTCGTTCGTCAAAGCGGTCTTGTAGCATGATCGTAGCACGCTTTCTAGATTTGAATGTAGTTGAGCAAATTCGTTATTTCGAGCTTAATCAACGAACACTTGTTGTGTGGAGGACACCATTTCGACGAGAAATTCGCTTTCGTTTCATTTCCATCGCTTGGCACTTTTCGAGTTCATACTTCATGTCTTCGATATAAGGAGTCCTCTAGATACTGGGATTGAACCATTCGTATGCATAAATACAACATTAATAACATAATAATAACGATAGAATAGTGGCTCAAGAATCACGCAAAGTTATGAGGTGTCGTGGCTGGTAGCGAAGTGAGGCTAATAACAAGATATTGGCATTGGAGCATTACTAAATCATTAATACAACAATAATAGCAATAATAACAACAAAAAAAATAGCGGCTCGCTAACCATGGGCGATGTTGCGCTCGCACTATCCGTGGCCAGTGCAGTGACTGAGGGAGACAGTATGCTGGGGGTGTGGAAGGATAGCCATGAGCAATGTTTTCGGCTGAGCTAAGGATCGACATTATAGCGGTGAGGTGCACTTTAGCATGATCGATGAGTACAGTAAGTTGCATGAGCATTGATGGTGCCATGGACAACGACTGATGAGTCATCTACGGAACACAGTTATGTGATGCAACGAAGCCAATAACTTCAAAAAATATCACCGGCTGGTCGTGGATAACGCTATTTTGCAACGTGAAGTATGAGCATCGATGGGTGCCACCATTGCCTACGAGATATCATAGGCCAGAAAGATTGCGAATGAGAACAGATAAGTCTGGGGAGCCTAAATCAAACTAGGTCAATCCCGCTAACGGGCGATTGCTGATGGCAAAAGATCGAAAGAGCTAGCTGAGAGACAGGCGAGACGAAGGACACGCATAGTGTGGTGGTGAACGCGTTGCTCCCCGGGAACGACGATAGCGCGTTCGTTCCTCACCGCACACACCAGCGGTCCAGAGTTTTGCAAATATCTCAGCATCATTGAAGTTATTGGCTTCGTTGCTTCACAAAGCAATAGTAAACTGTTCTACTGCTACGCCTCTGCTCTCGGATAAGCCATCGTTGTTGTGCGACAGAAGTCAACTACCTGAAACACTGAACGTAATTGACCGAGTAAACCACAAAGGTTACATTGCGACATGTGGCGTGCGGCTGCGAGGCAGCCGTGATATCGACATCAAGTACTGTTGTTTAGATAGATAGAGAACTTTTCAAGAACGAAGTTCTCTATAGCAAGGGCATCAGTGGTGCCAATACACGAGCCGCCGAAAAGGGGGTAATCGTGGTTCGATCTGGCTCGGCGTCCGAGTTTTGCGAACATCTCAGCATCGTTGTGGTTGTATTTAACATCATAATACCCTGCGGTGAAAAATTATTGTAGGCAGCAAATGAAAGGTTAATAACTAAGCGTAGCGTTGAAGGAGAATCATTTTATGACAAAACAGTGTCTATTGCATACTTAAAAAGGAGTGCTATTGTTGCAAAAATAGCAGTAATTTTGTCAAAATAATCCTTTATGCATCACGCACATCAATGTTCATTTGTGTGATGAGTGTCGACGGAAAATCGACGATTGTGTTTGGCATTTCAAGCTTAGGAATTGCTGGTTTTTTTCACCTTCGTCTATGGTGGTAGTTGTGAATTCAGTGCATGTACGGCTCCACTCGAGCACTCACCATCACCATCTCCGCATTTGGCCTGCAATTTCCGAGGAGCGGACGAACTGAGATACGCCTGGCTCACCTTTCCGTCTCTTCATGCCGCATTTTCCAGCTACTCTGCCATATTTGCATCGGTTCGTTCAGTTTCTCCATTCTAGTCTTTATAACACCTTTAATTGTTTTTTTAAAATTTAAGTGGGCGAGTATAGCGCAGTGGTTAGAGGTACTTTGCAATTTGTGCAGAATTGATCGTTGGTTCGATTCCGCGCCTCGGGTTCACCAAGTTTTCCATCCCTCCTGGTTCAACATATTGGCACCGTGATTGTCTGGGAGGATAAAAATAAGGGGATCTGAGGATTTCATCCGTTCTTAGACTGTCATGAGTCATTGTATAGACCCGGTGTATATTCAGTTAACTCTCTGACGACATCGAGTGCATGATGAATCCCGCAGGGGTGGTGGACAGAAGTTTTGAGTTGATATATCCTGAGGTATGTCATTGTATAGGCCATGTATGCCTTCAATTATCTCAACGATGCTGCGAATGGGATCGAATGCATGGAAAATTACTAAGGGATTTCTTGAAGTCGAATGTTTTATCCATTTTGTAGTAATTCCCGCAATCGACTTTCTGTTAACCTCGGCATTGATCCAATAATTCTTTATCCTCTTGTTGAGCAAACACGAGGTGTTACGCTATTCTTTGTTGACAAAAAAGCTGATATTTAGGCGGATTTCGTCGTCCTCAGAGTCTGCAAAAGTCAAGTTGATCTGTCTCTCTCTCTCTCTCTCTGTTTCACTTTCGTCGTTGAACCGTTAGATAGACAGGCCGTCTTTACCCAGTATATAGAGATTTCTTTTGAGCTGTATAAAAATTTCACAACCAAAGTATCACCATTCCTCAACGATATGAGCATCGACATCAGATGGGGGATTAGGCAAGAGGCGATACCATCTCGCTAAAATTATTCAACGCCACACTCGAGAACGTCATGCGAATACTGGAATGAGACGACATGAGGGTGAGAATTGATGGTCGACAATTACATCATTTTTCCTTTGTTGATGACATCGTTCTTTAATACCAAACATTAGCCAAGCCGAACAAATGCTTGACGACTTTGACAGTTCTGTGGAAAAGTTGGTTTTCGGCTAAATCTCACAAAAGCGATGTTCATGAGAAACGCATTCGTTTCATATACCCTATCCACGCTCAACAGTACGAATGCCTCCAAATGCTCCACCTACCTATGTCAGAAATCAATATAATGAACGGCTAAGCTCTAAAGCTAGGCAGGGAGAAGCGACCGGCTTGGGAAGCTTTCAAGAGCGTCGAAGTTGTAGCGAAGAGAACAAAAAACGCCTGACTTCCTGCCCACCTTTTTGACTCAACGGTACTTTCTGCCCTAATGTATGTGTCAGAAACCTGGTCTCTGCATAAGCAGGATGAAAGATCACTCAGCGCTATCGGAGGTGCAGTCGAAAAGACGATGCTAGGAGTATCCCATTTTACACAAACGAGTGAAGGTATCCGAGGCTCCGACCTGCGTCAACAATCAAGAGTCGGAAGTGTAGTTCTAAACGCCAAACTGTCAAAATTCAGGTGTTCCGAAAAGTTATACGTACGAACGACTACCGATGAACAAAGTCGTTAGCAACTGGATTGAGGGTGTGAAACGGGATGTGAAACGCATTGCAGGAGACCACCCACCCGATTGTCAGTTTTTTCACGACAACCCTAGAAGAAAAATGTGATGTTGAACGAGTCCATAGAGTGAGCAGAACCTACTGGACTACTCTTGCACACTGCAGGCAGAAGTGGTAGACCTACTGGCTCGCGTTCGAGTCACTCGACGAGCAACTGGTAGCTGTATTTTCGTAGTGCGGTTCCGACAACAGTCAGATAGTTTTTATGTAGGACGAGCCAGTCTTTGGTCGACGAGAGTTGGTAGCATTACATTCGTTTCGGCGTTGTCGAACGCTTTTTCGTAGTCGACAGATAAGGAGTAAGGGTAGGTGGTATTTCCGGCAAGCTTCAATGACCCTTGATACAATTTGGATGTGGTATGTGGAGCAAAATCCCAATCCAAATCCTACTTGCTCAATTGGTTGCGTCTCATACAATGTGCTTGATATGCGAGACAGGATACCTTCGTGAAGAGCTTGTACAGAACACTCGACAAGTGCATCAGACGACAGCTACGAAGATACCTTCGGTGTCCTTTCTTGGACAGGATGACCGTGCTCGACGTCATCCACCACTGTGGGACCGTGGGGAATTTTTTCTTTTGAAGCTAGAATATCATATGGTTTGCGAGAAGTACCCGTGAATTGTAGCTTCCAGCTCTGAGGAAGTCGGCAGTGATTTCATCGGATTTTGTGGCTCTGTCTTTTTTCATACTTTCTATCGCAACTGGAATCTCTGGCGGAAGAATTTCAGGTGATTTTCTCCACGGACATTTTAGGGTCTGCGACGGAGATTATGGAACCAAAAAGGTTAATGTAGAATTTTCCCGTTATTAATTCCATATCATAGCGGTAAGTTTTCTTGCTCCCTTCTTCGTTCGTCAGAGCTGACAGCGGAATATTGTAACCGCACAAGTCACAAATACTAGCGACATTTTTGGGACTGGTTTTTTTTTTTGCTGTTTCTAACAGTTCCTTCTTCGTGTACTGTGCTGTACCTTCCTCTTCTGCAATTGATATTTATTACTTATTATGTTAAACGTGTTTCGACGGTATAAAGCTCCAGTTTCCATCTCTTCTCAAGCAGCTCATTGGTAATGACGGTGGCTGGTTTTCTGTTTCAGGAACTGAGGCGAATTCGACACAGTGTTTAAGTCCTTCAAAAAGTAGCTCCTAGTCTTCGGTCAGATCTTCCTTAATCTACCTGTCACGCTTGGATAGGTTTTTGTTCAGAATGTTTTCCTCGTATGCATTCACACTTTTTCTTCGTGGTCAATGACATATTCTTTTCCTGCTTATAGCTGAAACGAATCGTCGCATGGAGAAGGTGGTTATAGAAAGCAGTCCACAATGATGAGACCACTGATTTGTCAAGTAGGCACCATCTTCTGTTTGCAAGAATATGGTTGGTCTCCGCGTGAATCGTACCGTCAGGAGACTCCCATATCTAGCGTTCCACGTTTATTTTCATTTTGTACAGATCCTTATGCGTTAGTGTGTCGTAGCAATTCATGGCAAAGCACGCCTATCATTGAGGTTGTTTCGTCTGTCGCTCAAACTGAGTAATTTCGGATTTTTGCCTTCTCATCTTAAATTGGCAAATGAGGTTTAATTTTAAAAGTGTTACTAATAACTCTTTGACGAATCATACGCGTTGATTTCGATATGCAGGCCGCTGTACGTTTCGGACCGTACATTTTGATTTCAATGTACATTTCGATTTCGCTCCAGTGACACGCAGTGCGGCGGGTTTTGCACGCTAGAATGGACGCGATTACGAAAGAGTCAAATATAACTAAGATTTTTTGTTTCATTTGTCAAATTCCCTCAGAAATGTTTTAATTGAAAATTATAAGTGTTTGATTTAAGGTGATGACCTGTAATTTCATTCGAGAAAATCTAGTGCATTTCGGCAGTATTTCGACCGGAATATCTTCTGATTTTGGCCATAATGTCGCTTATATTCTATTACTCCTTTAACACTTCATGTTTCCTTATCATTTTTCGAAAATAATAATAACAGGACGCACAGTCATGATGGGGAGGATTTTGAAGTAGGGGTTACGGTCATCGCACAGGAATCGAAAACACAAATACGCAAAACTCTCGAGACATTCTGCATTAATTCCAAGATTCCAGTAGTGAACCGCGGGGAGAAATGCCTCATAATCACGCGTAATATTGGGCAGTATTTAAACCTGTTATTCTGACGGGAGCGGAGCATTAAGCTTCCATGTGAACTCTGTGTTGTAGGTCTCCACGTGACATATTCAGTGGGAGACTCGTAGAAAGCGGTGAGTGTGCAAAGTAGCTATTCTGTGTTCAATGTGGTTGGAATCTTCGTTTAGCATTTTCTCTATTTGGTTATGGAGGTGTTTGGCCGTGTAGATTGTAGGTAACTTGACATTTCCAGGCTCTGAGGAAGGCGAAATCCGCCGAAACGTCAGCTTGTTCTTCAATAAAGAATAAAATAACACCTCGCGTTTGCTCAACAAGAATATAAAAAACAGTAACAATTCAACGTATTATTTACTGCCTATTCATTTTAATGGCAGGGTATACATTGTGAAATATAACTTCAATGATGCTGAGTGATTTGCAAAACTCCGGACCGCAGGTGTATGCGGTGGGGAACGAACACGTGCTGTTGTCCATACCGGGGAACAGCGCACTTCACCACCACACCATCCGGGTCCTCCGTTTTCCCCGTCTCTCAGCTAGTTGACGGGTGATTGCTGATGCCAAAAAGATCGATAGAACTAACTGAGAGACAGGCAAAACGAAGGACCCGGATGGTGTGGTGTGAAGTGCGCTGCTCCCGGTAAGAACAACAGCGCGTGTTCGTTCCCACCGCATACACCTGCGGTCCGGAGTTTTGCAAATATCTCAGCATCATTGAAGTTATATTTCACAATAGTAACAATATTTGTCATTTGTTATTTACTTTACATGGCCCGTCATCACATCTGCTGTGTGGATCCCAGCATTTCTTCCATTAGATTAGTTTTCATCGCATTCCTTTTCCACAGCAGACTTCGAACGCTTCGTTTGTTCCCAGGATCGACTTTCTCTTAACCTCGGCATTGGAATATGAATGTGTCGTTTTCTTGTTCAGCAATCGCGAGGTTTTTAAACAGCATACATTTACTTCCATAGAAAACACAATACAGTACAACACTGGCTGACGTTTCGGCAGTATCGCCTTCTTCAGAGCCTGGAAGGGTATACTGATATACAATCTACTAGGCCAAACGCTTCAATAACACTTACAGAAAGACGAAAGACTCTTTGGTAATTACATGATCAACAACTTCTCGAAAAAAAAACCCACCGCTTTTTCGTGACTTCGTTTGTTGTTTCAACTGCTGCTTGAGGATTTAATTTGCTTCATGTATGTCGTGGGATGCTAGTCGAGTCGATTCTCCTTTCAATACTTGAGATTGCAAGGTTAGGGCGTTTCATCGTGGATTGGAGGAAGACGTTGTAAAAAGGGTCGAACCAGGATCATAGTATTTCGTGATGGACTGCATCACTAACCACTGCGCCAACCCCCCTTCCTGTTAATGTTAGCAATAATAATGGTAATAATAACAATAGTAATCTTGAAATCACTTTTTTGGACTGGATTATCGATCATTAATGAAAGTCGCTGTTATATGTTATAGTTATAAAAAGTTGAGAATGACCACCGTTTTTTTTTGGCTGATGTGTCGATTGTTCCTCATAGGATTGAAATTTCAAGTATAAAATTAAGAACGTTTCCTTGAAAACTGAAGGCGATTGCCTCAATCCTGTTTTCGTAACGTTTTGCTTGTAAGGAATGAAAAAGACATAGGGCTAACCCGTTTGCCATCACGAGAGATGATTTTGTATTGAGTTCGACCTTTATTTTGTCCACCCAGTATGTCGTGGCCTTTCTTAGGAGCCACATTAGTAGCCAATCTTCGATGATTCGCCGGCTCTACAGAGATGGTGAACTTGGTTAGCTCGGAACATCAAAGATAATGTGCTTTGCAAGCCACATTCAAACCATTGCATTAGTCGCACCCGTTTTATTGTGATATGTCCAACAAATATCGTAAGCGAGAACTTTCATAAGCTGTTCATTATTTTAAAATCATTTCTTAAATTCTTTCAATACGACGTCAACGTTAGAAGACTCGTTGTCGCACTGTCTCTCAATCTTGATTAATGATGGGAATGTTCAGTCCTACATCTACTTCATGATCAACCTTCGCGGAGCGCCTCTGCTTCGGCCATTCCTCATCTTCGGTTTCATCGGTCTGAGCATAGTGGACTCATTTTCGAGAATCAACGGCTATAAGAACCATTGGCGTGATATCTGGGTCGGTTGGCTGATCGGATTCTTGATCGCTTTCTTTTTGGTAAGTCCATGTTTATTTGAAACATATCAGGCTCAGGCTAAAAGGTGACCAAATAAAATCTCTCAGTTTCGTAAGAATGTGTTGAACTTGGGACCTATATTTTTCAAAGAGTTAAATGTGTAGAAAAAGAGCACTTTAGTTTATGACTTTCAAACATTCCAATGAACTGTGAATAAATCACTGATTCTCCTCCTGAGCCTCCAGAGCATCTTAGTGGTCAATATAGCGATTGCCTTCTCACATTCCGTGTTCAGTGTTACTGTGTGCTATGCTTCCAAGAAGTCTATCACATGGTGATTGAGAAGACACCCGTTGTAGAAGAACGGGTGTCGCCTTTCTTCTCTTGGTTCCGACTCCCAAGGGTTCAAGCCCCATCTGTTCGCGAGGAGTATGTGTAAGTGTTTAGCGTGCCAAACCTAGCCTAATGCTCCATGCGGTGTCTTTTGCTGTTTCAGAGTTTACGAAGAAGACGTCCCACAAGCAGAAGCAGGACCACGCCGTCGGAAGGACCAGGATCGACAATACGAGGCATGTTTCTATTGCGTATATGACAACGAACATAGAAATGAAATTTGTCTAAAATTCCGCAAAGTAGCTTTTCGAGTGATTTAGATAGGTTTAAGTAGAATACAAGCCAAATACTTACATAGTGATACTGTAATTTTTAACATTCAGCTCTATTGTGATAGAAGGATAAAGCTCTCGGCATTGATCAATCCCTGAGGGATGCACCATGCATTCAACTTCATTAAACATCGTTGGAGCTCGTCGAATGCATATCTGGTGTTTAAAATGACTCGCGGCGGCTTGCCGATGTATTGAGCCAGTGCTGATATATTCTCAGACAACACTGCTACCGATTTATTGAGCCCGGAAGGATGGAGAGTTTGATGAGTCTGCAGCGCGGGATCGATCCCACGTATATTTTAGGGTGTTTCCGACCACTGCGCCACACGCGCAATATTACTGTGGTAATGTTTGAAAAAATGAGCCGAAAGTCTTTTCGGAGTTGTTTTCAACCATTTTCCCTAAGTCGTATTCGTTGTTCTTAGATGTGCCCACACAAAGTCTATAAGCGAGCCGACCTGTGATAGACTTTGGTTAGGCTGATCCTGGGATTCTAGGGTGCCTCAATGGTTGAACCAACAAACCCCTCAAAAAATAGAAATTATGCTGGGGCCCACACAGCCAGTGAAGACGGGCCATCCAAGTTTGTAAGTATTTATCTGTCTACTTATGTTCGTTGTTTGATTTTTTAAGGTAACCACGACAACGGAATCGTACCATCGAACGATCAGTCCTCCACAACACAACGGATATCAGTACTAGGAAACTGCGGTCTACAGTTCACCTTATATGAACGTTGTTCAGGAGAAGAACTGCTCCCAGTAAGAGAAATCCGTCGCTTGAGTACCAGAAAATTCTTTGCAACAGCATGATAATCTTTCTTTAATGTTTTTCAAATGCTACTTTCATAGTTTTGATGTCTATGTGATGAGCTCCTATTCACTGCCCTGCTCATGATTCGAATCTTATGCTATCCAGAATGCCTACGCTTAGAATCGCATCATGCTCCTATATTTGATGACCCTGTCGAGTTCGGTACAAGGAGTCTTTGTTTCCTACGATGATACGTAAATAATCAACAAAAGTGTTTATAACTGTGATTATTGACGAAACGAGGTTGCAGCTGTTGTAGGCAAGTAATTTGCATTAGTGTTTACGAAGTAGCAAACAGTGAAATGCTTTATGTCTGCATTATGTCTGCTTCTGATCAAATGTGAATTTTCTGCAGAGAGCCTTTGTTCAGGAGACGTCTTATAGTCACATTTCGCAGCGTCATTCTGTAAGCAGCCGACATGTCTTTCCCTTGCGCTCATTTTCATCGACCCCTCGCATTTCTGCTGCTACTCCACCATATCTAAAACTCTGCAATACTTTGCACCAATGCAGAGGATTCTTTGCAATAATAATAACAAATACTTTGTTGTTTTCATGATGTAGAATTTCTTTCTTCTTTTAGATTCATTTTTGTTGTCTCCGTCTTTACTTCAAAGTCTATTCTCTTTTCCACTTTCAAGAGCATGTAGAGTAATAAATATCTATAAGAAGCTGTCCAATGTATAATTTCATTCTCTTACCGTAGCGTGAAGGTCCCATGGAATCGCCCCATATGGAATCGCCCTGCAATATTCATCATATGGTCTTTTCTTCTTCACGAGAGATACTAGCTGAAGAATATTCAGTAGTTCCATTCTAAAATTCAAAAAAAATTTAATGGCTACAATTATCCTCCTCCTTCTTCGAAAAACCTAGTACGCTTGCAGCAAATTTCCCTATCTTCCGACGGGTTTCTGAATATCTGCCATGACACTTCTGCTTTGTACAGAAAAAGGCTGCCTTCCCAAGATCAACTTTCTACTAACCTCTGCATTGGTGAAATAATTCACTTTTATCATTTATAAGCAAACACAAGCTGCTATCGCTTAGTATTTATTCAAAAGATTTGACGCTCCAGCGCATTTCATCTTATTCAGAGCCTAGGAAGGGCAAGTTGACTGCAGTCTATTCAGCCCAACACTTGCCATAACCAAACAGAGAAAGTACTAAACGAAGGTTTCAATGGTATTGAAAACAAAATATTTTCTTCTCACACTCAACACTTTGTATAAGCCTTTCGCTGCCTTTGTCACGTGTCGAGCAACCGCAAAGAGATCTCGTGGGTTCATATGGATGGGTAATGTGCCTCTCTCAGGTTAAAATATCATTTCTATACACGGTGTAGGATCATAGGTGATATCGTGGCATTCCAACCTGCTGTTCATTGTGGGTTTCACGGACTTTATTTCGAATAACGTGAACTTTTTTACTAACTGCCTATTACAATTTTTCATGGCAGGGTATTATATGTGATACAACCACGGCGACGGTGAGATATTTGCAAAACTCCAGACCAGTGGTGTTTGCAGTAGGCATTAAACACGCTATTACCCTTTCCGAGATGCAGGTGAAACGAGAGACCCGCATAGTGTGGTGGTGACCGCGCAAGTCCTCAAAATGGTAGATAGCGCGTTCGTTTCCCACCACAGACACCTGCGGTCTGTAGTTTTGCAAATATCTCAGCATCATTGTGGCTATTTGGAATAATTCGAGAGTTATGGGCGTTGAAATGCGTGGATCGTAACTTCCACTTCAAAAACTCCCCCGTTATCTCTCTGTGCCCTATTGGCGCCTAATGGAGTATTTGATTTAAAGTATTTGATTCAATTTTAAGTTTACGGACTAGGTGATTTTTTTTCGTAAAGGCACAAGGTGGATTACCCGTACGCCAATGTATTCGTCCCCACACACTCTACAAAAGTTCATATAAACCGTACCCCAACTCATGCAATCTTAATCTCTACTGTTAGGGCACATGATGTAATTTTACGTCGTGCATTGACGCTCACACAGGATTGCGAACTAGCTGGCGTCTTAGAGTGCACGGTGCTATTTCAATCATTGGTACCAAATTCTCTAGCTAGGCCCCTCTTAAAACGACATTTTGTAGCTGCACTGTTTTCGTTGGAAATGAAAAGCGGGATAAACGGGACCTTATTATCGCTAGTGTTATCCTTTCGTGGCTTGAGTTTTCCTCTATACTATCCCGATGAGCTACATTCTCGTGCCCATTGGAAATGGCTATTTGTTGCACCAACTTCCGGAATTCCTCCTTCTGCTCTTTTCCTGTGCACATGCTGGTGGGCGTTCGAAACATGTTTCTTACGATCGCCCTTTTTGTCTAAAAGTGGTCAGAGGTTATAGAAAACTTAGTGCATTAATATGCCTTTTTAACTTATTTTTTCGATACCACGTCACAAAGTAGCCGTTTTCGGATAGGATAATTTGAATGTTCAGAAATGGAACAAAGTTTTCTTTCAGTTTTCTTCAGGTAACCTTGATGTACTGCAACTTTTCATTCATTCCATACGCTGTTGCAGAAAAGGTGTGGCGGAGATGTAATGCGTATAAACGACTACCGATGGACCGTTAGTGAGTGGATTCCTTGGGATGTCAAACGTACTGCAGGAAGATCACCGACCCGATGTTCATAGTTTTTCACGGCAACCCTAGAAAAAGATATGACACTCAACGACTCCCTAGAATGAGCAAAACAGGACAGTCTGAGCTAATCTTGGGGTGGACAGGGAAAAATGGAAGATTTACCGGTGTCCGTTCGAGTCACTCGACGATTAAGGTGGCGACAGGTGATAGGTGTTGCACCTGAGCGTCCTTTCAATAACTCACAACACTCGTCAATGTACTATGCTGTGGAACAGATGACAAAACACTTCTCTGTGTATCTATAGTAGAGTAATGGCCTGAAATCGATTACTGGTGCCTTTACCATGGACGTAAAGGCAATGACAAGGCTTGAGGCGAGTTGCTGTCCAATTGTCAACTCTGTCATTTGTGCGTGATATTTTCCGGATCACCTGAATGTTGAGATGTTTAGGCACTTCTTTAAAAGAACTACCACCTGATGAGTCGTGAAGCCATGGATTTACCACACCGCCGTGTTTTGCCGGGAGTTCGAGGTTGACATGCATAGCGGAGTCGTTTAACACGTTTGTATAACGGGCGGTGACGCCGAGAGACTCCATCACAAAGGCGCCATTGAGCGCCCAGGACGCGCGCGCAGACGATTCAGGAACATCTGAGTGTTTGCAAAATGAGATGGAATGTGCTTTAATAACTGGGTAAGTATTAGGGTTAGAAGCCATGTTATTCCATTCCATTAGCGCTGCAGTAGTACCCTTTGTTACGAGCCCGACCAAGATTTCATGCAGACCCAGGAGAACTAGGCCCTCCTCTGACCTGCCAGTGAATGATCAACGTACTTGTCTGGAAAGCCCCATAGATCCGTAGAAGCTACGCATGGTGGCTATCCCTGGATTTCAGACAGAGTAAACTTGGCTGCCATTAAGCGACACTCACTAAAAGGCCAAAAAATCGAAACGAACACACAAGCAAAATTGAAGCACTTTATGGATGGTGTATGTGAGCAAACGAATCGAATGAAAGGGTTGCTGGAATCCGCATAATACTGGATTTTGGGTCGGCTAGAGTAGAAATAGTCATTTCATAAGTAAGCAACATTAGGAACTAATTCTGGAAACGTCCTTTCGTTACAAAATTCCGTTCCTGATGAAATACAAAAAGAGCACTCTTGCTGTGACCTTCAAGGCCAGGTGTTGGGCTCAGTGTTCTGGAAATCTCACACTGGAATCACCTTAGAAAACTATACAAAAAAAAACATTGAAATGAAGCACATTAAAAGTTTAACTCGTTTCATATTAATACTAATGGGAAAGAAACAAAAAGGACTGAATCCTTTGCACATGCTGAAAAGAACAATATTTATGGTATCTCGTAGGCACTATTATTTGCAGAATGCTTCGTACAGAGCAAAGGTTAAAGGGGTCATTGAAAATGCATGGTTCTCAGTTTAATCTCGCGCCGCAGCCAGGCAAGCCCTCTATTGCTTCTCGGTCAAAAAACATTTAACTGATTAGCCAGGCAAGAATTTCCGTGGAACCTCTTGGGATTTTTTATTGATAGGTACAAAATTTTACTATAACAAGATTGGGTCGACCAATCCCAAGATATGAGATAAATATTCACTTCACAACATCTGAAGGTTTTTAAACATGAAGTACGCTGACCTGCCTGGAATAATAGTCGAACCAACTGGTCTTTGGCCGCTAAATTTTTAGCGGCCAGTACACCCAGAACACCTGATGATGACATCTGTTAAGCGGTTATCGATCTGCTTTATCCTGTTTGTGTTACTTCCCAGGCCATTCTGCTCTGATAGTGTGCTAGCCGTGTTGCGTCTTCAGCCTTTCTCTTCTTCTCACTTGATTCTTCCCAATTTAAATTGGAATTCATATGTTGTTCACTCTTCTGCTGCTTGTCCTCAGTCCTTCTTCTGCTGACCGCTGCTCTTCCGTCCCTCCCTCGCTGTGGTGTGGCAGTGACGAGCTCAGCAAGCAGTGTGGATTTGATGATATCTGTACTCGGTACGTCGATCTTCTTATAGGTGTAACAAACGAATTCGTACACGTAAGAGTTATACTGTAGAGTTTGTACCGTTTCATGTTACAGTGCCATAAAGTGACACAAACCATTACAAGCAAAGCATTTATGTGTAAGAAGTTCTCGTGGGAAAGCATGACGTTTTTATTGCCTTCCTTAAGTCGTTTGGTGGTCTTCTAAAATGGTAAGAAAACGTTTTATGTATTAACCATGATTTCCACTCATTGTTAAGAATATTGAAGAAGTAGGAATTCCGGCACGCTATAAATTGGCTAGACCACCCTTTCTCTTGTCTCCTAGTATTTTCTGTGAGCTGACGATTTTCATTAAGTTAAAAAGTAAAAAAAGATATGAGTAATAAAGGTTTAGAGCTCATCACGGTTTGGAGAACTCGCAGCTTATTGTTGCTTTTAGTAGGGTTTCTCATATTTTTATGCAGATCACGGCGCTCGGTGCCAGAGTTCACCTTTGTGAAGTGAACTGATGCACATTTATTAGGATCCTTTGCCTGAGTGCAGAGTTTGTAGTCCAATTGTTCAATGAAATAGAAAAGAGATAAAGTAAATTACGTAAGTAATGAACTACCGATATCACCTGGGTGCAGGTAGCGCTGCGATAGTGATAGGCTCTGCTACGAGCCAGACTAAGGTTTAATGCCGACCAAGGACAACTAAACTTTCCTCTCTCTGACCTGCCGGTGAATCGGTACTGGGTTTGCCCGAAAAGCTCCCGTAGATCTACAAGACCTACGCGTGCCCTGGCATGGCCCTCTTTGGATTCTAGAGAGAATAAATCCGACCAGAATTCTACGACATTCACTAAAAAGGCCAAAAATTCTAGACCAGACGATCAGGTAAAATTAAAGACCGTCGCGAACGATGCATGTCAAGGAACGAAACCAATAAAGGTATTGCTGGAATCCATGTAATATTTTATACTGCGGCAGCTAAAATGAAAAAATCTTTTATTTGTTAGCAACATAAGAAGCAAATTCGGGAAACATCGTTTCGTTACAAATTTGCCTTCTTGATGAGATACAAAAAAGGATGCTCCGGGTGTGACTTTCAATGGCAGGTTTTGCGCTCATTGTGCTGAAAATTTCACGTAGAAATCGTTATATAAAACCATACAAAAACGAGGAATATCGAGGTTAAGCACGTTAAAAAGTCCAACTTATTTCGCATTAATGACAAAAAAACAAAGTATAGCCACAATGACGTTGGGATAATTACAAAACTCAGATCTAGACCAGACTTCGGCCTCAGCTTAACAGGGTTCAATGCCGATTTGTGCTCTGCATACCATTCCCGTTAACCGGCGATTGCTGACGCCTTCGTTAAGGTATGAGGAAACTAGCCAAGAGAAAGGCAAAACAAAGGTCTCAGTGGTGTAGTGATTAACACGCATGCCTCCGGGAAGGGTAATCTTGGATTCGAATCCGGCATAGTGTCTGAGTTTTGCAAATATCTCAGCATCATTGATGTTATTTCTCTGCATTATTGTGGTTGTATTTCACATAACACCTTTCCTATGAAAAAAATAACAGGCAACAAATAAAAATGTAGGCAAGAAGTTGCTGAATTCCTTGTATATGTTGAAAAGAACAATAATTGTGGTATTTCGTGGACATTACGATTTACTAAATGGCCAGTGGTTGCAGTGGTTAAATGGGTTATAGAAAAGTCATGCTTCTTAGAGCAATCTCGCATCATAGCCAAGCAAACACCTTGTTTCTTCTCGGAAAAAAGTGTTCGTAAACTAGTCTAAGGTGATAGAAACACGACTTGATAAACCGATGGGCCCATTGTAAGTCATGGCACAGGCCACACGTGCACTTAATCACATCTACTATTCTGGAATGAAGTCGAAAACATGGCACATTATCGGGTATTGACGGGCAACCAGGATTGGTCGGCCGAACAACTGGACCCAATGCCAACGTTCAGTTGGTGTCTTTATATGATATTCCTAATAAAGACACAGGGCTAACTACCTAATTGTGCAAGAGTAAGAATGATTTTACAGGTACCGTTTAGCAACTCGCAACAAACCCATAAGGCTCACGGTGCTCATGGAGGCGCTGTGTCCCGATTGTCAGCTGTGGATTGTCGAAGAGTTCTATCCGAAAGTTTTCAAAAACTTTGCCGAATTCATCAACATTGAGTTCGTACCCTTTGGAAACGCGAAAATCACGGTGAGTACCTGGAAGAACATGTCCCGCTCACTATCCACAGTAGTACACTCTAAGTAAAATTCCTACAACCTCCCTAGACAAGTGGTGCTCCTACAATTGGTCGGTTCCAAAGGTCAAAACTAGTAAAATGATATTTTTATGCATTTTATTTACCCAAATGAGGAAGAAATAACTGGATAGAACTAATCGTTTAACTAATTAGTCGACTGCAACAGTCAAGACGTAAAAGACTAGAAATATTCCACAGCATAAACGCGCTAGGGATTCTTCAACCTTCAAACTTGAAATTTCTTGAACTTCGTTTACTGATAATCTTGCCACTTCAGCAATATGACAGACTAGCTTCTAACTAGAACAAATAACTTGTTCAGAACGGTACGATTACGTGCCAGCATGGCTCAGAAGAGTGCAAGATCAATCGCTTTGAATCGTGTCTGATCGATGTTCTTCAATCCCAGGACCATTATGTGCCTTTCATTTACTGCATCGAAAATCAGCTCCAGGCATGTATTCAGTTGTTATTTTACTAAACTGGCCATCATTTACTCTAGACATGACTAGTAATTATTTTCTTAGATTGTTAAGCTACCACGAGGTTGTCAAAAAAGAGTTTGTTTTAGCCGCAATAAAGCTTTTGACACCCACGTGGTAGTTTGATGAACCAAGAAAGCATTCGCTTGACAACTGTACATTTCAACTACTCTTACGAGCACCGCCATCGTTTTAATTAATAAACAAATGAAAGAAAACTGATGGAGGTGAAACTACTAGATCGAGACTGCAGAGTCTGCGTGATTTTCGCATGTAAGTCGAACCCTCAGTACTTTACATCATCGCAAATAATCCATTTTTCCTACTGTGTATGTCAATGGTTGGATGATTTGTCGTCACTGGCTCACAGCATTGTGTGTCATTAAATTTATTCGTGGTAACAACCACACATAAAATAATAACTGTTGACCTTAGCGGCCTCCAGATGCGCTCATTTGGTGTTTTTGCCGTCTTCCATGTCCGTTTTGTCGAAACAAGAAGTAACGGTGTCGATTTCAGCTAAAAGTCCCGTTCGAGAACGCGACCGCCAAATGCTTCAGAAGTCTGTCAGTCGGTGAAGAAGTCCAAAAGCTGATTCAGTTCGTGGTCCAGTATCATTACCGTTCATCTCGCGAATCATAAAATCCACGCTCTCCTTTATTCTTTCGGTTGTTGTGGACCATCAGTACTTATTTTTTTATGTAAACGTGAAAGTATAAGCCATGCAACTGAACAAACAAAACTGATTGCAAGTCAGCAACTTCATGAAACGCTGTTCTTTGGATTTCATTATAGACTGAGGAAGTTTGCGTATCATACAATTTTGAAAAGGAAATGAAATTTTCAGATCATGTGTCGTTTCGAATATCGGGAAAAAACTTCAGCAGGAGGCAGCTGAAAAAACTGGTTCGTTCACCGTTGTTTTTAAATTTCTTACACTTTCCGTTAAAGGAACATTGCTTGTATAAAGTACGATAAGCACATGCTCTTGAAAAATGGTACTACTAAAATATAAATTTCACAGTTGAAACAAAGGACACTCAAAGAATCAATTGTTTCGATCGGTGATAGAACATTCCTCGGTGAATGCTAGGTGAAAAGGCTGATACAAGGATTTGAAAGCGGTTTAGACCAGTGCAATCGGATGTCCCATGGTGTTTCCTAGCGCCACACTTGTGCTATGCGTACTATGGTTGCCAGAGTGTTGTTTGAGAACTCGATGACTCCGCTGCTTGGATCTCTCTTGGACCCACCATAGATGGGTTATGCTTTTGCTAGTTCGCTATTCCAAGAAGTTCTGACGAAGATTCTTTCTACAGCTAAATTATTAATACGTAGAGATGCAAGAAAACAAGTGATACAACGAGGGATTACGAATTTTGTGCCACGAGCTTTTTCTCAGATGTGAAATTGTTACGCACTATCACAATGTGAAAACGTTTTGCTATATTTTGAGAACTAGGCTGTGATGATTCCGAGTAAGTATTCTTATCATTCGTGGAAATTTGTACCATCCAAGTAAACGTTTTCTTCCAAAGTAGCCGTGAATCCACGGTTCGCTACCACTTTTTCCATGACAATATTTAATATCGATCTGAAAAGAAATGTCTGATTTTAGTGTAGTTTATGATTTTTATAGAGGTTATAGCAGAGAAGTAATAAAGACGAATAAAACTAACAAAGTTCGGCAGTAGAGTGAAAGGGTTGCGATCAGGATTGGATCGATTGGGCCTAAAGGAGCAATAAAAACAGATCGTGATTTGGTGAGCGTATTCTAGTGTCTGAAGAGATCCTGAGTTAACGCCTATCACCACTTAAGAACACCCTACAAACACCAATGTAATGATTTCTTAGAACGCTGGACATAAGACCTATTCTCATCTTTGCTTCCTTGTTCGGCTTTTAAAAGTCAACTGTGAAAACCAGTAGGAAATCCGTTTTTCACATTTACTCAGCTGCTCTCTAGTACCTCTATTTGTGAGGCACTTGATTTTATATAACTACCTCTAACTTTCCTTCCATGGATCTCCCTCATATGAGGCATCTCGAGCCGGTTAGTCGCGAGGCTACGTGGCGCGTCCCTAGGTGATTGATAGGGGGTTAATCACGGACCAAAAGCGACTTTTGCTTCCCTAAGACGCAGGTGGATCCAGAGGATGGACTCCCTGTTTCTGCTCCGCCGATTTGGCACATACTTTCTGTATTTGCTAGGCGTATTCATGCATGAGTGTATGGGTGCGTTCTTTCTTATACGGATTGTATTCTACGAGTCAATTCGAACAAAAGCCTGCAAGTGGTAAGGAAGTGTATAGGAGGCGGTTAAGAGTCGCCTCCAACAAATAAGCTCCATGTCCACTCTGGGAGAGCCTGGAAAGCTACCCGTGAGTATACCCAGCCTCCACGTTCAGAAACTATGACGAAGAAGAAGTCGAAGCGTTCTATATGGACTTGGAGAAGTTCTACAGAGAAGACCACACATTCTTCAAGGCAATCATTGGAGATTTCAATGGTAAGGCTAGACCAAGAAGAACGTCTTAAGAACGTCACATTGAGACCAACGGATTGAAGTGGAACGAACAGAGTGAGCAGTTTTCTGAGTTTATAATGGCGACCGAGACCATCCATGGGAACTCGCAATTTCAGAAGCCTCACCCTAAACGCTGGACTTGAGAGTCTCCCAATGGAGAGTACGACAACGAAATAGACCACATCATAGAAAACAGAAGGTTTTGTCAAACTAATGTTGATGTTGTCCCAAAATTCTATACGGGATCCGACCATCGCCTCCTTCGTTTAAGATTCTACTTTTCACTGAAAGGAGAAAAAGCCGCTAAATTTGAAAACCGAAGTCCCGGAACCACCATAAACTGGGACTTATTCAAATCACTAGTCAGCTGTTGGGAAGATACCATTGTTGATAGCATCGACGAAGAATACGGTCGGCTCATTCAACATCTTCACGTTAGCGCTACGAAATCTGAGAGTTCGAAAGTCACCAGGAGACGTCTGCCGCCAGAAACAGCCGCGAAAGGCAACCGCGAACTAACGTCCGAACTTGCAAAACAATGAAGGTAGGCGATAAAAGAAAATCTTAAAGAGAGAAGAGCGGCAGTAATAGTCGGAGCTGCAGAAGCTGGGAAAAGCATTCGCAAAGCCCATCGAAGCTTCGCCAATTACAGGACCACTCGGACGCCCAGACGGGTCAGGTACAGCGTCCAGAAAGGCAATGAAGAAAATCCTTCACTAATACTGCTCAGATCTCTTCGATAGCCACGTCCACCTCACGTCATATGAAATAAAGGAGGATGGATATGTTGTACCACCGGTTCTCCCTTCCGAAATCCAACATGCCATTTCGTCGGTGAAAAATTGAACAGCACCAGGTCCGGACAGGATAAGACCGGAACTCCTGAAGAACCTTCCGCCAGCCCTCGTAAACACACTGGCTCGGCTTTTCGCACGTTGCTTGTCTGAATCCAAGGTCCCTACTTAGTGGAAGACCATCAAGACCGTGTTATTCATCATGAAGGGTGAGCTGCACGATATCGGCAACTATCGCCCAATCTGCTTGCTGTCTGTCGTCTACAAACTTTTCACTCGAGTCATCCTGAACAGGATTGACGGAACACTGGACGAAGGACAGCCATGTGAGCAAGCAAGGTTTCGAAAAGGATTTAGTTCGATAAACCACATCCATACGATAACAAGGATCATTAAGGTATCGCGAGAGTACAAAAAATCGCTCTGTCTCACTTTCCTCGATTTACAGGAGGCCCTTGATTCAATTGAAATAGAAGCAGTTATGGAAGTCCTTTTATAGATAACGAGTCCCCACTCAGGACATAAAGATTCTTTGTGAGAAGATTCTGTATATGAATTTCCCAACCAAGATATCACCATTCTACAATGATATTAACATTGACATCAAAAGAATAGTTTGGCAAGGCGATACCATCGCGCCAAAATTATTTACCGCCACCCTCTAGAACGTCATACGAACATTGGAATGGGATAATATGGGAGTGAAAATCGATGATAGGCAGCTACACCATGTTCGCTTTGCTGATAACATCGTCCTTATAACATCAAACATCAGCCAAGCGGAACGTATGCTTGCGGTCTTTGATAAAGCCTGTGGAAAGATTGGTCTTCAAGTAAATCTCACAAAAACGACGTTCATGAAGAATGGATTGGATTCGTACGCCCCATTCACGCTCAACAACGAATATCTCCGAATGCCCCAGTTATGTCTATCTAGGTCGGGAAATCAATATGATGAACGACTTAGCTCCATAACTGAGCAGAACGAAACGAGCGGCTTGGGAAGCTTTCAAGAACATTGAGGATGTGGTGAAGAGAACAAAGAACACCCGACTCCATGCCCACCTTTTCGACTCAACGGTACTTCCTGCCCTAAAGCAAGCGTCAGAAACCTGGTCGCTGCGTAAGCAGGATGAAAGGTCACTCAGCGTTATCGAACGCGCAGTCGAAAGCACGATGCTGGGAGTATCCCGTTCCACACAAGCAAGGGATGGGATCCGAGGCTCCGATCTCCGTCAGCGATAAAAAATCAAAGATGCCATTCTGTACGCCAAACAGTCGAAGATAAGGTGGACCGCGCAAGTAGTGCGCGTGAATGACAACCGATGGACAAGAGTTGTTAGTGACTGGATTCCTTGGGGTGTCAAACTCTTCACGAAGAACCTAGAAGAAAGACGTGATGCTCGGAGAGTCCCTAGAGCAAGCAGTTCCCACTGGGTTACTCTTGTTCGAGGCAGGGAAAAATAGAAGATTTACTGGAGCCCGCTCAAGTCACTTGATGAACAACGGGACAACAGGTGATACAGGTGAGATGGTGCCGTCACTTTGAATATTGTTGGTGTACATCGGAACGGGCAAAGCACTTCTCGTCCACACTGGTCCCAATCATTATTCCGTCAGCTGTGATATGTTCACCTCACAACAGCATACTTTCTCAACCAGTTCTCTAGAATTGGCGTGTCTCTTAATAAGTGACTGAGTCGTGGTTGGCAGTTTAATCTTTTTCAGTTATTTAACTACTTATTTCTTTCGTTCTATATTCACATATTGTTAAAATACACAGGCTTGCACAACAGGCTGTCACATTTTCCGGTGTGGGTGAAGCATTTGTCAGAAAAGCCCGTAGCATTTACAGGCTCTAAAGCAGATGGGGGGCAGCGTTGACCCGGCGTGGGGTCGATCGAGTGAGCATATCTCTATTGCGCGCTCGCCGTAACCCACTCTTTCAACAGTCTTTGGTCGCATCTACACACCTCAGAAGTGGACACCAAATCAATTACATGCCTTTGTACAAAAAAAGTCTGGAACTAACGTCTCCATGTACCGACTGATTTCGCAATGGGAAATCGTCTCAATTCATAACAAGCTTTCATTATTGTGTTTAAAAGTGACTTCTACACAATTTTTGAGCGCTTTAGGAAACATTTGGCCGGATAAACACACTTTTGTCCCGTGGATAATAGTGAACGGGGTATCGTTGAGGAGCAAACAGGTGTTGATCAACAATCTGCCGTACCTTCTCTGTGACTGGTGAGTTGCATCACCGAAAAGGACGAGAGAAGCGCGGTAGTAGAGAAACATGTAAGATAGGTGGGATGTTCCTTAATTTAACTCTTAATTAATTCAGGTACACTGGAGACAAGGAGATCCCGTTCTGTAGCTCGCAAAAGAAAAAAGGATGCTCAAAAAATGCTTTGAGAAACTACTATCTATCGATGTAGCGCCCGAGAGTGGCCTCTTTGACTGCCGATGTGAATTCGCTGATCTTTCGTGCCGATTAAAATTGTCCAACGCAACAATTAAAGTTAATATAAGTAATAAATGAAAGTTACACGCCAAGGACATTAGGATATATATATATAAAGAGTAGACAGTAAACAAAACGGTTAAAATTGTTAATATAATTAAAGCCTCAGCTTCGCTGGGTTCATTGCCGATTTGGGCTCCCGCATCAATCCCGCTAACGGGTGATTGCTGATGGCAGAAATCGATAGAGCTAGCTGAGAGACGGGCGAAACGAAGGACCCTCATTGTGTGTTGGTGAACGCGTTAGTCCCCGGAAAGGACAATAGCGCGTTCGTTCCTTACCGCAGACACCAGCGGTCCGGAGTTTTGCAAATATCTCAGCATCATTAAAGTTATATATATATATACATATATATATATATATGATATACATGTATGTTATACATATATATATATATATATATATGATATATGAAAATATATGAGGTGAAGGAATCAGGGCTAATACATACAAAAATTCTTGTGTTGTTCGAAAAAACAGCTAGAGATACGCTGTTATTCTAGCAAAATTGCAAACTATAAACGTCATTAGAAAACAGGTACCTAGCAATTGGTGGTTTTAAATCCAAACTTGGAACGAAGCTCTGTCGACGGTGACAAATGCACTGGCAGTTAATGAATTGGTCGAGTCGCTTCCACTTCCGAAGTCGTCATATCTGCAACGTCTCGCTCAACACAAACAGCTGAACCTTATAACCGCATTCGTTTTTTGATGGAATGTTTTTGTGGTGTTGGCAGACGACTTAGCTTCTAATTTTGCTTTATCTTTCGGCCGATTCGTGATTCATAAGCCTGATGTTCCTCTGGGAATTGTACCTGCCTGCAAATCGAGATGCCATGTGTGTGTTTGTTGCACGCACAGCAGCAGCCTCCTTTGAAAGTTGAAGTTTGACGAAGCTTTGATTTAGAGTTAAAGCAAAGATTTCGATCTTTTATGATTTGCAGTCTTTATTCATAGAGTTCGCACTTTTGTGAATGTCCTATTGTTTCGCATTAGAAACATGAATATGATCTGCTCTTGAGTATTTCTTGTCTCCGAATGCTAAATTCCGCTTTTAAGGAAGGTCTTTTTCTTCAAGGTTTTGCAGTTCTTCCTGATTTTCTAGCCGATGTATTCCTTGATATCTTTCAGCAGTCCGCCCATTCTCGTACCCTCTGCTCACTGTTATGTTTTTGTCGACCGCCTCGTTGGAAACTACCACCGCGGAGGAAACTAGGCAGAAAAAAATTTTTTGGAAAACTAGTTGAAAGAGACGCAAAGCAAGAGCCTTCGTGGTGCAGTGTGTAGTAGCCGAGCCTCGGAAACGGTAATTGTGGTTTTATCTGGCCCGGGGTCCAAGTCTTGCGAATATCTCGGCATCGTTGTGGTCGTATCTCACAAGATAGAGATGCTACTCGGGTTTTATGGGTTTCATTCGTGACGTCTCACTGCCTTGCGAACCCAACAACATAGTTATCTACTGATTCACACGCGTAACCTTTGGTCTCGATTGTTTACCATTCCTGGTAGCAGGCACAATCGAGCATCGCTTAGAAACCCAAGTGCTCAATGCAGTGTTGACCAGAAAGCTAAAGAACAATACATGCGTCGACAACATAATTATGACAAGTTCATCCATAGAAGAGCCTATGGACAAATATAAGCACGCAAAGTAAATTTTCGAAGGTTCGGGCAGGAACTTAGGGGAATTTATGTCGAACACTCAGCAATTGCTCCCGTAGATGCCCTCAGAAACTTGGAACCTGGCACTCAGAAAAAGTCCTGGGAATACCATATGATTCCGAAAACGACAAATTACTTTTCTGATGCAAATATCCATATTAATTAAACTAACCAAGCGTTCAGTAGCTGAGCAAGTACCAGCCATCTACGACCTCTTAGGATGGCTAATGCCTGCCACAGTACGAGGAAAAATTTCTACTAATCCATTGTGGAACGTCGGTTATACGTGAGACTTACCACTCTCAAAAGCACATACCTGCGATTGGCAGAAAGTAGTCGAAAATCTTAACAAAGTCGAAATCTACATTCAACAAGGTATTGCCTAATTCGAACTTGATACCAGACTAGCCCTCTTCGCAGACACCAGCAGTGATTAAGAGAGGGAGAGAGATGGCCCTCTTGAGCTTACTTGGTATCAAATAGTTCTTTATATCTCCTAATAAAAAAATCCAAACTGCGATTAGACAACTACGTCACCACCATTTTAAAACTGGATTGAAATGCTGTAACTATGGCAGCCCACTTAATACATACAGCCTTAAAAAACCACATATCTGTCGAGGAGATACTAATTCTTTCTAACTCCGCAATTGCGCTGCACTGGATACGATCATCGAATTTAGGAAAGTCAGTGGGAGAGCTGGCAAAAGACCGCTTCATAGAAATACGTCGATTAGAAAAGGTTATGGAAAATCTCGTCCACTTTGCTCACCTCCGGTAGGCCTTCCACGCGAAAATGGTCGCGCTCATGAACGGGTAAAATATAGCTAGGGATTTAGTTGCTTCATCTGTCAGATTCTTTCAAAAACGTTCTTAAGGAAAATTATAAATGGCTAATAGACACTCGGTCAAGAGTTACTATAAATGACTAATTTAGGATCAGGATCTTAAGCTTCGTTCGAGAAAATCTGGAGCATTTTCCAAAGCATTCCAGCCAGAGTAGTTCGATTTTAGTAATATTGCCGCAAACATGCGCCTTTATAATTCACGCTCCATTGTTATTTTTCGATTGTGATAAGAATACATATTGATTAGTGATACCGAGGTTCAGGGAAAGTCGGTTTCGAAATATTACTACGCTTTGTGATAAGAATGTTTATTATTTACTATTTATTTTATATGACCGCTCATCACATCTGTTGTGCGGATCCCAGCGCTTGCACTAGATCCGTTTTCCTCGCATCCACAATGGACTTCGAACATTTCGCTCGTTCTTTCAGCTGAATGCTAGTGGAGTCGATTTTCTCTGCAATCGTAGAGATAAACGGACTAAAACTTTCCCACGTGAATGGCAGGAGAGCGTTAGGGTCGAACCAAAACCTTGCTTCCTGATGGGCTGCATCACCAACCACTGCACCACCCTCCCCACTTCCTCGCCCACCGCCCCCTATAACGTTAATAATAATAATAATAATAATAATAATATTAATAATAATAATAATAATAGTAATAGTAATAGTAATAACAATAATAATAATAGCAATAATAATAATAGCAATAATAATAATGGCACACATTGGTAATGACCATAATAATATAGTAATTTAGAAACAGCTCTTGGACCGGACCATTCTTTATCATTCTTTAAAATCATTTAATGTTTCCCGTAAAACGTGAAGAGCATCTCCATTGCGTTTTTGGCCGATATACAGATCTTTTTTAACAAAACTAAAAATTCATGTACAAAACTAAGAACGATTTTTTTTTTCGAAGACTGAAAACGGTCGCATGTGCCCCAACCCTGTTTTAGTGTATACCAGGCATCTTCTTCCTTAACAAAATTTTGGAATTATCATAGACGCTTGATAGGCTTATCTCACACAGACAGGAAATTCCTTCATTACAATGTCAACGTTGGATTTGATAGCATTATCACAATTAGACGGGAAACTCTTGATACTGTCGCTAAGTCCTGATTAATGATGCAAAAGTTCAGTGCTACATCTAGTTCATGACCAACTTTCGGGGAGCGTCTCTTCTTCGGCCATTCCTCACCCCCATCCACGATTATTGGACCCGCACAAACACACACACACACACACACACACACACATACGATGCTCAGCGAGTCCCCGGAACGAGTAGAACCCACTGGGTTACTCTTTCATACGATGAGGGGAAATGGAAGATTTGCTGGCGCTAGCTCAATTACCCAAAGACCAACGGAACGACAAGCGACAGAAGAAACATATGATCCATCCATTCAACAAGTTAAAACATTTGTCTATTTCTTCTTCTGGAAAGCAGAGGGCGAAATAATCATTTTTTCCCAAGACTGATTTCTATTAACCTCGACCTTGGATTATTGGACCCGCTCGAGTCATCCGCCCAACAACGGGGCAAAAGGTAGCGAGTGAAACATATGATCCATTCAATAATTTAAAATATTTGTCTATTTCCTCTTGTGTGGAGCAAACGGCAAAACCTCATTCGAGAAGATGGCTCACTGAGGAAGACCTGACTCGACACGGAGGCGAAGCTGCAACGTCGAGACGAACAACAAGCATAGACCATCGACTCGGATCATCGACTCTGAGGAAGACGAAGACGTCGAAACGTTAGCCGAGAATAAATAAATATCATTATTAACCTCGTGTAAGCTCATCAAAGAAAGAATACATAAACGGCAAAACAATCATCTGTGTATCTACAGTAGTGTAATGGCCTGAGATCGATTACTTATGCTACAACCTTAGGCATAAAGGCAATGGCAAGGCTTGATACACTCGCTGTCCCATTTCCAACCCTCTCAATTGTGCGAAATAATTTTCAAACCATGTAAAGATTGAGCGCTTTAAGCACTCATTTAGGATGGACATGAGACGACGAATTTCATGCCATACATGTTCGTTGCTCCTTCGTATTCCAAAAGCAGTTCGAGGTTTGCTTGCATAGTTAAGTTATTTTACACGTTTGTATAAAGGGAGGTAACGTCAAAGGGCTCCATCATGCATAGGCTCTTAGGACGCGAGTTACGTATGCGATCCAGGAACATCTGGATGTTCCTAAAATGAGATTGAATGGGCTTCAGCAACTGGGCGAGGGTTAATTAACTTGGAGTATTAGGTTAAGCAAGTTAGTAACGTATGAGTTTTTACAAGGAATTGTGAGACGAAGCCCGTTAGTGGTTTTTAACCGTCCGCCTTTGCCAATTTGACCCATTCTTTAACTTTCGGCACTGAACTTTGAAATACTTTTCAGACGATGTGCGATGAAGGAATGCATCACGAAGAAGCTTCTTCGTTACCTCAACATCTAAGTGATGATGAATTACTACATGCTCACTACTTTTATTGCCAACAGATAACCTAATATTTTATAACCTATCCGGCTCTCGAACCTCTCGCATATCACATTTTTGCTCCTCTGTGAGGTTGGTTTCCTTTACTGAAGAGTAATATTTCAATGTGAGAGAGGCTCACTACTCATCCATGTGTGCTCTGCGCGGTGGGTATCCATGTGAAATACGCAGTAGAAAACTAACAGAAAACTGTGATTGTGAGAAAAGGCTATTCTGTGTTAAATGTGAGAGAAGCCTTGGTTTAGGATTTAGTGTTTGGTTGCGGAAGCGTTTGGAAGGCTAGATTGCAGTCAACTTCACCTTCCCAGGTTCCGAAAAAGGCGAAATGCGCCAAAACTAGCTGTTGTGAATAAACAGTGTATAACAACAAATCGTGCTTGCTCAACAAGGTAAAAAGGAAGAAAGTTGTATCTTGAAACCTTGAGAACAATGCTACATAATAAGGGATTGCGTTACAAGGACGCCATTTCCATTCATTTCGAGCTGACGATTGTCGCCTTGTGTTCATTTGGAGCAGAAGCAAATTTTCTCTATTACTGAAATCATTGATGTTAACCACATAGACGTGATTTGCTTTTACCAGTTCCCTTGGAATGCCACCCTTTGAGCTTTCGTTGTCACACTGAAGCGTAGGAAGTGCTCAATGGAATTCTTCAATACGGACGTTGTTGGATTGAAAGTGTTTCAATGGAGCCCCCCTTAGGAGCTCTTATTTATGTACACAAAATTTTACTACAGCAGACTCCGTCGCTCGGCCTTTGACTGTCCGCTCCACAGCATTTTAAGGTTTTTAAAATAAAATGCCCTGATCTTCAATGAATGCTTGTAGATTCGAACACTTCTTTTTGCCCGATCAATTTCTAGTTGCCATTGTACCCAAATCACGCAGCGTTGGCATATTTTCGGCGGTTATCAGTCTTTCTTATCTCGTTGCTGATTTCTCTCTAAGGCATTCTGCTTTTCCAGTGCACTAGACGCGTTTCGTTTTCATTCTTTCCCTTTTTTTTCTTTATTTCTCCAATTACAGATTCGAGTTAATATGTTGTTCACTCTTCTGCTGCTTGGCCTCAGCCCTTCTTCTGCTGACCGCTGCGCTTCTGTCCCTCCCTCGCTGTGGTGTGGCAGTGACGAGCTCAGCAAGGAGTGTGGATCTGAAAAACTCTGTACTCGGTACGTGGATGTTCTTATGGCTAGAATAAACAAATTTGTACATGGAAGAGTTTTTTTGTGGAGCTCACACCGTCTCACGTTACAGTAGCATAAAATGACACAAACCACGATAGACGTTGATTTGGAAGGCACTTTCACGAAAAACTTAACATTTTCATTGCCTTCCTTAAGTCGTCTGGTGAAATGGTTAGTGCAATGTTTTGTGTCTTAGCCATGATTGCCACTCGTTGCTAAAAAGACTGAAAAAATGGAATATAAGCAGACAATATTTTGGCCAGACCATCTTTTCTCTGCTGTTCTAATATTACCAATGAGCTGATGAATTTCATTAAGTTCGAAGGCGAAGGGAAGATATGGGTGATATAGGCTTAATGCCCTTCACCGCTTGGAGAACTCACCGCTTATTCTTGCTATCAGTAGGATTTTTCATGGTTTTCCTGCAGATCAGCATCACATTTGGTGCTAGAATTCATTTTTGTGGAATGAGCTGAAGCACATATATTGGAATCTTTTTTCCACGTGCGGAGCTTGTAGCCCGGTTCTTCGATGAAATGGAAAAGGGATAAAGTAAACTATCCAAGTAAAGAACCATCAATATCTCCGGGCTCAGGTAGCGCTGCAGTGATGCGCTTTGATACGAGCCAGACCAAGGTTTCATGCAGACCCAGGAGAACTAAGCCCTCCTCCTCTGACCTGCCAGTGAATGACCAACGTACTTGTCTGGAAAGGCCCCATAGATCCGTAGAAGCTACGCATGGTGGCTATCCCTGGATTTCAGACAGAGTAAACTTGGCTGCCATTAAGCGACACTCACTAAAAGGCCAAAAAATCGAAACGAACACACAAGCAAAATTGAAGCACTTTATGGATGGTGTATGTGAGCAAACGAATCGAATGAAAGGGTTGCTGGAATCCGCATAATACTGGATTTTGGGTCGGCTAGAGTAGAAATAGTCATTTCATAAGTAAGCAACATTAGGAACTAATTCTGGAAACGTCCTTTCGTTACAAAATTCCGTTCCTGATGAAATACAAAAAAGAGCACTCTTGCTGTGACCTTCAAGGCCAGGTGTTGGGCTCAGTGTTCTGGAAATCTCACACTGGAATCACCTTAGAAAACTATACAAAAAAAACATCGAAATGAAGCACATTAAAAGTTCAACTCGTTTCATACTAATACTAATGGGAAAAAAACAAAAAGGACCATCGACTTAGATCATCGGCTCTGAGGAAGACGAAGACGTCGAAACGTTAGCCGAAAATGAACATCATTATCAACCTCGGGTAAGCTCATCAAAGAAAGAATACATAAAAAGGACTGAATCCTTTGCACATGCTGAAAAGAGCAATATTTATGGCATCTCGTAGGCACTATTATTTGCAGAATACTTCGTACAGAGCAAAGGTTAAAGGGGTCATTGAAAATGCATAGTTCTCAGTTTAATCTCGAGCCCCGGCCAAGCATACCCTCTATTGCTTCTCGGTTAAAAAACAGTTGACAGATTAGCCTGCGCTGTTAAAAGCACATGATTTGATACGGCAATAGGTCCCTTCTATCTTATCGCATAAGCCCAATGTGTACTTAATTCATCGAAACTTCTGCGAGTCGAACGCATGCACATTTTTGCAGGTTTAATCTAATCCGGACGTCTTAGTCTCTAATTATCCTTGTTGTTGAGAGCTGGGCAACCATTATTGGTAGGGGGAACAAATGGGCCTTACATCACAGTTCTGCGGGAGCCTTTATGTGGTATTCTGTGTAAGAAAAGGACTAAGGATTAACTAATCATGCAAGTGCAAGATTGATTTTACAGGTACCGCTCAGCGGCTTACAACAAGGCTATAAACCTCACGCTGCTTGTGGAAGCACTGTGTCCCTTTTGTCAGGGGTGGATGGTCGACGAGTTCTATCCAAACGTTTTCAAAAACTTTGCCGAATTCATCAACGTCGAGTTCGTGCCGTTTGGAAACGCTGAGATTATCGTGAGTGCCAGGGAAAATATTTCCAGCTCATTGTCCACAGTAGTACCGTCCAAGAATAGAACAACAATCAGTCGGTTTCGAAGATCAGAACTGGTAAAATGATATTTTTTGCATTTCAGGTATTTAAATGGAAAGGATTTAGAACTAAAATTAGTTAATGGCTATGTTAGGGAATGGGTGAGACGTGAAAGGGTAGAACTACCCCACAACATAGAGGCACTTGGGTTTTTGTAACCTTCAGTTTTAAAATTTATCGAACTCCGTTTATTGACAACTTCACCACTTTGCTAATGTGGTCGACCAGCTTTAATCGATGACATAAAACTTTTTCAGAACGGTACAATTACGTGTCAGCATGGACCAGAAGAGTGCATGATCAATCGTTTTGAATCGTGTCTAATCCACGTGCTTCAGTCGCAGGACCATTATGTGCCTTTTATTTACTGCATCGATAATCAGCTCCAGGCATGTATTCGTTTCATATTTTTCTCAACTGACCGTCATTTCAGCTAGACATGAATAATCAACACTTAGATTAGGAAGCTACCACGAACTTGTCAAAAAACTTTGCTTTAGCCAAAACAAATTTTTCACACCCACGTGCTAGCTCAATGATCTTAGAAGGTATTCACTTGACAACAGTTCATTTCGGCTACTCCTACGAGCACTTTGATCGCTTAACTTAAGAAGTGAATAAAAGAAAGTTATAGGAGCCCAAGCTACTAGATTGAGACTGCAGAGTCTGCGTGATTTCCGATCGTATGTCGAGCCCCTGGTGATTTATAACAACGCAAGTAATTCATTTTTCTCAGGTCACATGTCAACGACTGAGTAGTCATTATTGACTCATAGCAAGCAATAGCTATTTGTGCACAAAAAAAGATTATTTCATCAATTTTTTGTGTTTCATTACATTTATTAGCACTACCAACCAGGCATGAAATAAATGTTGATTTGTAGCGATGCCCCGCTGTGGTCATCTAAGGTTTTGCCGTCTCCCATATCCGTTTTGTTGGTAGAAGCAGTAATGGTGTCGATTTCAGTTAGGGGTGCCGTTCGAGAACGCGAGCGCCCTGTGTTTCAGAGATCTGTCGATCGGTGAAGCAGACCAAAACCTGATTCAGTTCGTTGTTCACTATCATTATCGTTAATCTTACGAGTTATAAAATCGAAACTCGTCTTTCTCCTCCCGGCTTTTATGGGCCGTCATTTTTTACTTTCTGATATAGACGTAAAGAAAGGGTGGACAGCACAGTGGTTTTGGTGCCCATCATCGCGAGCACGGTGGTGGTTCGATCCTTCACCAGGCTCACCAAGCCTGTCACCTTTCCGCGGTCGGGAAATTGGTACCGAGCTTGTCTGGGAGAAAATCACTCTCTGCATTCTAATTTGGAACGCTCCAGTCCGGCCATCTCAAGACTTCAGGAAGAGTCGACTCGGCCGGGATTCTACCGACATTAAACATGAAATAGGAACCGTCAGGCAGCAACCGAACCCACACGTAGAGTTGGAAAATCTTTATAGACACTGGATGTGAGGAAACGAATCGAATGTAAGAAGTACTGGGACCCGCACAGTAGTTGTGAAGACGGGTCGGATGAAATAAAAATGTATAGATGTGAAGTGCAAGGCATATAACTGAACAGAAAAATCTGACTGAAAGTAAACAAATTCATGAAACATGCTGTTCGCTGACTTTCGCTGTAGACAGAGGGAGTTTGGGTGCCATATGATTTTGAAAAACCTGATGAAATATTCAGATCATGCATGGTCTCGGAGCTTGGGGAGAAGCTCCAGCAGGAAGCAGCTGAGAAAACTGGTTCGTAAGCATCTTCGTTATTTTTAAATATATTGCACTTTCCATTGCAGTAACGTTCCCTGTGGGAAGTATGACGAGCACTGGCGCTTAAAAAGCGCTACTACCAATATATTAACTTAATAATCAAAAGAAAGGACACCCTTTCAAAATTCCCACTGCCCCACTCGGTGAAAGAGCATTCCTCGGTGAGTAGTAAGCGAAAAGGCTGCTACAGGAAAGTCGAGAGCGGTCTGGTCCAGTGCAATCAGCTGTCACATAATTTTTCCTATCGCCACACTTGTGCTATACACTTTAATGTTGTCAAAGCGTTGCTTGAGAACTCGATGACCCCCCGATGGATTTTTCTTTTGCCAACTATGGTGGGTTATGCTTCAACGAGGTTACCATTCCCAGAAGTCATGATGAAAGTCCTTCCCATGAGTAACACCTTTAACACGTAAAGATGCAAGACAACAAGTGTGAGCTTTTTCTCAAGCACGGAATTGTTTCGCAGTATCACAATGTCAGAGCATATTGTTATATTTTTAGAACTGCGTTAAAATAATTCCGACTAGATAACCTTATTATTTGTGGAAATATGTGTTATCCAAGTAAGCATCTGCTATGGAAAGAACCATGAATTCTTGGGAGATCTGACATGGTTTAAATGTTAAACGGTTCACAACCTTTTAAGTATCTTGCATGATTGAGAAGAAAGAATCTAAGACCGGGTAAAATTCTTGGTTCTTGTAGAGATCATGAAATAGTCGCATGAAAAAAGAATAAAACGACCAAAGTTTAACAGTAAGATGAGGGACGCGACGAAGATTGAAGGGATTAGGCCTAAAGGAACAAGAAAAACGGATTCTTGCTTGGTGGATGTATTTTGGCATCTAAAGAGACTCTGAGTTGACACCTATCACTGTTTAATAACGTCATAAAAACACCGATTTAATGCGCTCGTCAAAAGACGTACTCTCATCTTTGCCTCCTTGTTCAGCGTTTAAAAGGCAACTGTGGAAAACCAAGAGGAAATACGTTCTTTCACATCTACACAGCTACGCTCTCGTGATTTGATATGACTACCCCTCACTTCCTCATTTTGAATATTGTTGGTGTACATCGGAATGGACGAAACATTTCTCGTCGACGCTCTTCCCAATCACTATTCCGTCACCTGCGACATGTTCATCTCACAACAGTGTACTTTTTCAAGCAGTTCTCTGGAATTAGCGTGGGTCCTAATAAATAGGTGAGTCGTGGTTGGCAGTTAAATCCTTTTGAATTGTTTATCTACTTCTTTACTTCTCTTCCATCATCACATACTATGCAAATCCGAACAACTCTTTCATCCATTTCACTGTCCCGCATCCATCCTTTACGCAGGTTCTTAGGTTAGAGTGTGAGTTCGCCTACCAGTTGAGGATTTCTTCTTCATCGTGACTACCATCGAATACTAATCGAATTGTTTGTCCCTGAAGTCTTAATTTAGCTCTCATAGAGGGCTCGTGGTCCTTCACAACGAGTAGTCACTTTTTCTGGCATGGATGGATCGTTTCTCAGAGAAGCTCGCAGCATTTACAGACTCTAGAGCAGATGACGGCATCGCTGACACAGCGTGGGGTCGATCCAGCGACCATGTCTCCACTGCGCGGGCGCCGTAACCCGCTCTTCCAGCGGTGTTAGGTCGTATCCCCACAGTTCATATGTGGTGGACAACAAATGAATTGCATGCCTTTGTATCGAAAAAACTTGGAACTGTCATCTCCATGTACTGACAGATTTCTCGTTTGCAAATCGTCGCGTTTCAGAATAATCATTCTTTACGTTTTCTTGAAGTGGCTTTCATACAATTTTGGAGCGTTTTAGCAAACGTCTGGCCGGATCAACACATTTTTGTCCCGTGGATAATCGTGAACGGCGTATCGTTGATTAGCAAGCAGGCGATGATCGACAATCTGCCGTATCTTCTCTGTGACTGGTGAGTTGCATCACTGAAAAGAACAACAGAGGAACTGTGGTAGAGAAGGATGACAAGATAGGAACAATCTGACTTGAATTATTCAGGTACACAGGCGACGAGGAAATCCCGTTCTGCAGCTCAGAAGAGGCAAAGAGACGCTCGAATAGTGCTTTGAGAAGAAATCGATTGATTAATTAATCGATGTAGCGCTCGAGAGCGATCAGTTTGACTGTCGATATGAATCCTCAGATTTTTCGTGTTAATTGGGAATTTGAAGGGCAAGAATTAAAGTAGATGTAAATGACAACTCAGATTTCGTACTGAAGAAGCCTGATGACTGAGGCATTACTTTATACATGCAAAAATTTTTGTGCTGTTCTAAAAAACAGTTAGGGGATTAACTGTTGTTCTAGAAGAAGTGCAAACTATAAACGTCATTAGAAAACAGGTACCTAGCAACTGATGGATTTAAATCCTTACTTGGAACAAAATCCAGTCAACAGTGACAAATGCACTGTCAGGGAATGAACTGGTCGAGTCGCTTCCACTTCCGATGTCGTCAGATTGAGAACAACCCGCTGAACACGACAGATCAACCAGTGTAATAATAAGCACAAAAAAGTACAAACCACTTTTGTAAACAATTATTTATTGAAATGGATCGTCACGGATCTCACCGACCTCAGTATATTTATGATTCGTTTTCTTCTTCTTTTACGACCACAGAGGTGGGATGTTTCATATCCATTGATCCATCCGAGCTCTTGAAGTCGCATCCAGATCCAGTTTCTAGGCCAACTGGTTAGCGTGACTTCATGTACTCCATGCATTGAAGAACATATCGTATTTCGCATGTGGGGAACTGGGTTCTTAGTTTAAAACTGAGGAATATGCCGTCGTGTGAAGGCTGACGAATTGTCCTTTTGTTGTACGAATAGATATAATGCTGACCATACGCATGCTCAAGTTTCCTTTAAAAATTTGTTAAGGATGTGATTGAGTGTTTGCTTTAGTCTCCTTATCAAATTAGGTGGAAAAAAACAGAACGTGGATAACACAGTCCTAATTAAAATTTTGCCGAAAAATTAAGCCGAAAGCACACCTTCATCTGATCCACATCGTGGTGAAGACCTAGATACGCCCTTGCAAGGTTACGTCACGACTCTAGGGAGGACTAAGTTGCACAGCCAGCAATGGGCCAGCCACAGTACCCCGCCACTGGGTACTCCCGTCTATGACGCCAGGCGGTGACAGTCCAGAAAATCTCGGGTTTAGCAGCACATCAGTGGAACCGGGACTGACGAGCACACGCACGACACGTCGTGGAGATAGTTTCTTACTATGCACGTATTATGCCAGAACGCTCTCCACAGACGCCGATCTTCACGCCTTTCTCGTAGCTGCAGATTGCATTAAATTTCATGTGATCGTATTATAAGAAACAAAAATCGAGAAGACCGACATACGCCAACTAAACAACGGGACCCTTGTGGAGGAAAGGTCTCGTCACGAAATGGCGGTGACGTAGGCTCAGTCGTCCACCCGTCCATTGTCCATCTCGTCGACTCATACATGATCCTTTCCCCCCGCATAGCCGTCCTCCGTCTTCAACTGTCGCATCATAAGAAGATCACTATCATCAATTGCTACTCACCGACCAACGCAGCTGATGAGTGCGAGTTTTTCTTATCCAAGTCAACACTTCGGGATGATGTGTTGTGGTGCGCCTCTCAAGTGGACATAAATTGCTAAAATTCGTACATCATTCGAGGTGAAGTGCCGTGGCGCGCTTCTCAAGTGGACTGGAGGTGCGGAAATCCACGGAAATTACACGTGCACTCGTCAATTTGTCACGATGGACGAGGAAAGGCTTGTAATTTTTTCACATTATGGGTATAGCCCGGACTATATGTAACCTGTATCTTGGATCTTTTCTGAGTAGCACAAAATCTCCTTCGTAAAAAACACTTCATGAACTTCAATGACTTCAAGTAGGGTCTCGAGCAGCCTGTGCATTTTACAGAGGAAAATATCCACGCTTTGCCTTACTATTAGGCTAGAATGAACGATCACCATGGTTATTTCATAAATGAAAAAGCAGTGTTTTTAAAAGGCGGTCCCAACTTTCTGTTAACCACATGCTTAAAGAGTTTTACAAAGTAGGCTCTTTAAAGGAAGTGGTGGAAAGCTCTTCGTCGAAAACAATGAATTTTGTGTAAATCACTGATCGAGATAAACAGGATCATGCAGTATTACTGTAAATTGAGATAACTTCCGCCTCATGAGAGCTACGATGGTTCTCTTGACGTGAAAGCGAAAAGCTAGCAGTCCTTTCTTTTCTTTCCTTAACTACTTCAATCCTTTTGAAAGCAAGACGTTGTCAATTTTTCTAGAAGTAGTATTGTTGGTACTCGTGGCACTAGAATGAATCGCTATAGTTTCCAAAAAAAGGTGCTAGAAAGTTTTCCTCTACCTTTGTCTCAAACATCTTAAACAATACATTTTTTATGTATACTTTACATCGTGCAAAAGTTATAAAGAGATCAACTTAGGGTTTCCTTGTGCTCCATTAGTGCGGTGGCGGCATCGATTCCGGATTCACGGCGTTCCTAATGGAGAGCCTATTCGTTGAATACGGTAAGAAAAGCAAACTCGTATTTTGCATCTATCCTGCACCACAGGTGATTCTGCAGTTTTCGTTATATTGAAATTCTAGACCAGTTTTTATTCGGAAAAAGCCGATGATGATCCATTGATTCATGATCCATTCATGCAGGCATCCACTGCGATGGTTGAACCGTACAATTCAATGCTCACCACTCATACCACAGTGGAACACGTAGATTGCTCGTTGATCGTAGACAACGAAGCCATGTATGACATATGTCGAACAAATCTGGATCTCACTAAACCTACGTACACGAACCTCAACCGTCTCATCGCTCAAGTACGGCCTCCTTGATATTTGCTGTATGTGATAACATCGTTTATTAAGACTAAGAAAAAATTCTACACGCTCTGAAACTATTAGTATGACTCGTATGAAATGCTGAGATACCTGCAAAACTCCGGACCACAGGTGTATGCAGTGGGGAACGAACACGCGCTGTTGTCCTTACCGGGGAGCAGCGCACTTCATCACTACACCATCCGGGTCCTTCGCTTTGCATGTATCTCAGCTAGTTCTATCGATCTTTTTTGCCATCAGCAATCACCCGTCAACGGGATCATGCGGGTTATATTTCACAACATACCCTGCCATTAAGAAGAAAAAGGCAGTAAATAAAAGAGTCAAGATTGTGATTATAACGAGGCCTCAGATTAACTGGGTTCAATGCCGATTTGGGCTTCTCAGATCAATCCCGTTGACGGGTGATTGCTGATGGCAAAAAAGATCGATAGAACTAGCTGAGATACATGCAAAGCGAAGGACCCGGATGGTGTAGTGATGAAGTGCGCTGCTCCCCGGTAAGGACAACAGCGCGTGTTCGTTCCCCACTGCATACACCTGTGGTCCGGAGTTTTGCAGGTATCTCAGCATTTCATACGAGTTATATTTCACAACATACCCTGCCATTAAGAAGAAAAAGGCAGTAAATAAAAGAGTTAAGACTATTAGTATGGTTTCCCGCTCCTTCATTCCAATGTCTGCATCACCTGTAATTGCTTCTTGATCGACCACAGCCGAAGTCTTTAGTGATTGCTCTCACGGACCAGATCTTGCTTAACGGACGCGTAAAGCACTACGTTTTTCCACAACCATCCATACTTCTATGTCTTTTCACGATAGAATGCTATAGATAGCTTTCTGTCTCCTCATGGGCTCTTGCAGCCCTTGAATGTAGGTTTGGTCGAAGTCAGCGCGCGGAATAAAATGTAATCCCTCGTATAGGTAAGAGACATTCCCTTCTACTAGGTCATCACGTACGACTTCAACGATAAGAGTGGACCTAGGAGAGCGTTTGGAGAATTTTACATTAGGACAAATAAATATGAATCTGAGTGCACGACTGTGAGTTTATTACGATGGCAAAAACCATTCATGGGAATTCAGGCTTCCAGAAGACTTCTCTCAATGATGTAAATGGGATGTCTCTCAATGGGGCGCCCATAACAAAGTATCACAGCAAATCGAAGATGTCGTCTAACCAACATCGCAGTTGTACCAAAATTTCACGTGAGAAACTACTATCACACACTTCGGGCCAAACTATTGGTTTTACAGAAAGGAGACGTAGTTGCGATATTCAAGAGACGAAATCAGAAATACGTCGTTATTCGGGGATTATTAAGATTACAAATCCGCTATTGAGAAGATGCCGTTGTCGACAGCATCGATGAGGAATACGACTGCCTTACCCAAAAACTTCAAGTCAGTATTTCTGTCTGGTTATCGTGGATCTAACCGAATTTCTCCGACAGATCTGGTTGTAATTCACCTACAGAGAAATTGGAGCCTTGATTGGTTTGAGGCGGAATTGAGCAAAACAGCGCCTTGAGCCTACGTAAGGGCTTGACTACTACTTCACTGTCTCTAGCCCTATGCGTTCCAGTTGTTCCTCACAAGGCGAAACACTCCTGTCAAAATTATTTGTAACGAAACTTGAGAATGTTACACAGAAATTGGAATGGAATAACTTAGTGTAGATTGCTAACCCTTAGGATAAGGGAGAAAATTTCGGGACATTTCGTCGCCATTTTTGAAAGGATTGGTCTTCGATTGAATCTCGGGAAAGCAATATTAATGAAGCGGATTTGTTTCTGATGCTTCATCCAAATTCAATAGAATGAGGTCCGAATGCTGCAGCCGTTTGTATTTCGATCGATAATTCAGCATGATGAACCACTTAGCTCTAAAAATGAAGAGAAGAAAATAAGCAACATGGAGTTCTTAGAAGAACGCAAACGATATAGCGAAGAGGATAAAAATGAAAACAGAGACTTCACTCTCGCTTTGCCACCCTACGGTTCCTCCAAGCTTGATTCACACGTCTGAAGCCTGGTACCTGCACAAGCACGATGGAAACACTGAGTAATGCCCAGGAATTATCGCCTATTACGCAAGTGAGACTGGCAATCCAATATTCCGAGCTACGTCAACGATCACAAAAGAGGGACAGCATTATGCACCCCAAAATTTCTAAATTAAGATAGGCCAGAGATGTGATTTTGTCTAAGCGATAGCTGATGGCAAGAGCCATTAGGGACTGGATTCCTGGGGATGTCTTACGTACAGCATGAAGTCGTTTGACCGAATACTCAGAATTCTTCATGAAGAACTTAGAAGAAAAGTATGGTACTGAATGAGTCCCTTTAGCGAAGGCAGCCCACCACTTTTCCATGCGACAGGGAATAATGGAGATGTTACTGGGACCCGTTCGACTTACTTGATTATGAACGGGAAGACAGATAACATACAGTTCTATAGGAGCGCTGCAGTACAGCAAAAACAACGATCTTATTTCCTAATTCTCCTGTTGTCTCAAGAAATATGTGCTATACCTGTACTAGGTGAGTTCAAGGACAATGGAATGTTTGTGACAAAGCATTTTACAAAATACATGTCTTTATTTATATTTCCCAATGTTTTAGTACTTATCTACTGCTTATTGTTTCTTCATAGCAAAGTATGATGTGAAATACAGCCAAAAGAATGCTGAGATATGAGCAAAACTCAGGTGCTCGTGTGGGCTTCGAATTCGTGAGTGCCCTTAGTAGAAGCTCACTCATTATCCACTGCACCATCTAGACTCTTGCTTTGCCTTTCTCTCAGCCAGTTTTTTTTTACCATAACAGTGCTATCAGCAATCATCCGTCAACAGGAATGATTTGGAGAGCACAAATCAGTATTGAATATAGTTAGCCGCAGTCGAAATCGCAATACTACAACTTTTACTCACTGCCTTTCCTTTTGCTATATTCCGTATTCTATATTATATATATATACATATATATATATACTCTATACCCTGTATTCTGTATTTTTACATTCTTCCTCTTTCCATTGCTGACAGCAATGGTGGCGTAAAAACATGGCTGAGGGAAAGGCAAACCAAGGACTTCGGTTGGTGTGCTGGAGGGAACGTGACCCAATGGCAGCAGTTATGGCGTGTTCGAAGTCCTTGTGAGGTTCCGCATTTTGCTCATATCTCAGCATCCTAGTGATATAGAGCTTACGTGGTTTTTATTTTCTGCTTAACTATTTGCCGTGCAATAATGACTTAATGGAAAGTGCATTTGTTGAAATAATACCGTCTTGCAAAAAAAAAACCTGTTCTTCTTCTTTCTGAAGACACCTTGGTAAAACTCCTTGGTATTAGCTGGACATGTCATCAGACTACTCAACGAGGTGCTTCCAAGCGCAGAAGCATTGGTGATTCGAGGATTTTGTTCGCACAAATATATGTTGAGAATGAAGAAGGTCGTAGGTACCCACTGACTGTTAAATGCAATCATCTAAGGACAGTAATCGAAGATAACCTTAAAAAATTACCTGGTAGCCTGCAGAGGGATTCATTATTAACACTTCAGTCATCGCTCATCATTTGGAAAACACTCGATGGATGCAAACGATTGGGGAATGGATGTCACATAAATTCAATAAAAAACAAAGAGATCGCGAGATTGTTCCCAGGATCGACTCTGAAGAAACGATACTGCCGAAACGTCAGCTACTATTGTACTGTACTGTGTGCTTTTCTATGGAAGTAAATGTATGCTATATAACAACCCCACGATTGCTGAACAAGAAAATGACGCATTCATATTCTGAGGTTAATAGAAAGTCGATCCTGGGAAGAAAGAGATCGCTGTTATGAACCTTTTTGTTCATCGTTTATGCTATAAAAGCCATCCATTTCTCAATGGGATTATGATATACTATGGGAAGTGGATGCTAATAGACAAACGACGATATTCAGCCCCAGTGTCTGGAACAAGATGAAGTCTCCAAACACTTCCCACAGCCAAATTTGAACCCAAGGAATCCATAGTAGCAATTTGGTGGTCTGTTGGAGAATTGAGCTAAATATTTTAATGAATTACGCTGAAAAGCAGTATTTTTGTGAAAATCAAACTTAGACGTAAAACCGCACAAACGGAAATGGTGGTTGCAGTCAACGAGGACTTCCTGGTTGTCGTAAGGTACACCGTCGTATTCGAAGATTTCGTAATGGAACTGGCAAAATTAAGGTGGCAAATGTGTGGACAATCCGATGTCATTAACGATAGTTGCGCTGAAGACTTTAAGTAACTCTACTCAGAGTGATTTGACAGCCTACGGAAGAACAGAGAGTAAAAAAGCGACACTTCAGTGACTCCTCGATCGAAGTGAAGAGTTTTCAGGAAATTGGACGAATAGATGTCGCACGTAATGAACAAAAAATAACTCGCTCTGAAACCCATACTTCGATTCCTTAAGCATTAAAGACTAATCGATTCTTGCTGGCATTGTAAGATTCCATCAGCGCCTAATTCCATGCATCTTCCAACGTTTACCGGAATAATTGGACAACGATGAAGCATTGAAATTCCACTGAAGCCAAATGAACACCAGAAGAAGATTGTTTTATTTTCTCAAAGATGGATTTATACACCGTCATTGCTTGAATCCTGGGAAAATCGCTAGCACCAAAGAGTACTTGTCAGGAAATCAACAAAACACATCAGAACTCTCAACGTCAACGATGGGAGCAAGAAATGTTGTTACCACTGGGAAATCTTTTAGAGTTGAGATAAGATATTCTTCTCCATCCGGCATATTCATTAGACTTTCCACCTATCACCTTTTTTTTGAAGCATATAATCATTCAGCTGATGAGAAACTCTTCAATTATCAAGCCATCGGTCCGTACGTCATCTAGAACTTGGTAGTGGTCAAGAGCATATTAGTTTACCGTGATGGAAAAAATGCCTTTTACCTTTTCAGTGAAGAATAGTGTTTTGGTTTAGGCTACTACAATT